CAGTTTAGTATTCCTGTTAATCCTGTTGCGACGTGCTTGCCCGCCCATCCCGATTGTTGTGCGTTTAGGTTTATTATTATATGAAATATAAAAAAGTGCAAGTATTTTTAACCTTCATTTCCCAGAAGAATGTGTCATGGTCTGGTCATTTATTGAAACCTACTTTTTTAAAATGAAGCATTCTAATACATTTTTCAAAATCCATGTATTATGTGACTTTTAAGTAAGACAATGTTAAAAAGTTAAGGTTTATTTATGTTTCATAAATTTTTTGTAATAAATATAAGGTTTTTAAATTACCAAGGGTTTTTATTATTTTTTATATTAATCTTTAGTTTCATAATATTTACAAAAAGGACTAGAAATATGTAAAGTTCCAGTTTCAGTTTTGCGGTGGCCCGGACATAAACCCTGTAGAAAATGTTTGGGAACTTCTGCAAAGGGAACTGGCTAAAGAGAACATCACCACATGCATAAGTAATATTAATAGTAATATTTATTAATATATTTTTTTACATATTTCTAGCTCTTTTTGTTAACTGATCAACAACAAAATTGATTTAATGTTAAAACTTAAGGTAAGTGTAATAATTTATATATATATATATATATACGTATATACAGGGTATCTCAAAAGTGAAGGACAGCAGAAAAGAGGTCGATAGAGGATGGGATTCTAAGTCGAATGGTTTTTGCCGTTTTTCCATCGACTTAAAATTCCATCCTCTATCCACCCCTTTTCTGCTGTCCTTGACTTTTGAGATACCCTGTATATATATATATCGATCCATTCCGGTATACCGATATCGATATATCGATTTATCGATATTTTTCCATCCCTTAATTCAGGCCTACTATTAATGCTTCTTTGCATTATGATAATGGTAACAGATCATTAATTAATGTATGTTAGGTGATTGGGATAATGTTCTTTAATTATTAATTGATTAAAAATTTATTAATTGGTTGATGTTTACTGGGCATAGAATTAATGTACTAGGACATTGATCCATGTCAATGGTAATTAATATTAGTACTTTTATTTGAGATCTTCCTGATTAAAATCAATGTCCGCCAAGCATTAATATTACGTCCTTGTACATTGAGTAATACTTTAAAAGCATTGTGGTAATGATTTTGAGCATCGGAGCAAAATTAATGTAAAAAATCATTGCGTTAATGTTTTTTTTAATTAATATTACGTACGTTTTTCGTTGTGTGCATGCTTTACTTACAATACACATCAAGGGGCATTACGTGTCCATTCTTTTAATATGTCTATGGTGCAAACTATGTGAACCTGCAGAGGTTTGTGTTTACCCTAGTTTTTTGAAAAATATTTGAAAGCTCGTTATTGAAAAATTACTGAATCGATTTTGAAAATCTTTGCAAATTCTGAATAGCTGATTCTTTGAATCTTATGTCAAATTTTGGGAATACGATATTTTGCACATAGCATTATACTACAGGGTGTTAAACGAAGAGATGTATTTTTTCCGAAATTTCAAGTTATTCCCATTCATGAGGCAGTTGAGTTTGATAGTCGTAATACCCCTCCCTAATATAAGTAAGGTAATCCCTCGGAACGTTTTCGAGATTTTGTGAATATCGCGGCTTACTACGATTATATGCCAATTTATCGAAAATTGTCGTTATTTCCCAGTTTAGTCCAAAAAATGGGCAATAGTGGATTCTTTGACTTTTATGTCTAATTTTGGAAATACGATATTGTGCACATAGAATTATACTACAGGGTGTTAAAAAAAGGGATTTTTTTTCCAAAGTTTAAAATCCCCATTCACAGGGCAGTTGAGCTTGATAGTCGTAATACCTCTTCCTAATAACCGTTAGGTTATCCTTTGGGACGTTTTCGAGATTTTGTGGATATCTTGGCTAACTACGATTATATGGCAATTTTTCGAAAATTCACGTTATTCTTCATTTTAGTCCAAAAAATGAGCAATAGTTGATTCTTTGACTCTTATGTCTAATTTTGGAAATACGATATTGTGCACATAGCATGATACTACAGGGGGTTAAAAAAAGATATGTTTTTTTCCAAAATTCCAAATCCCCATTCACAGGGCAGTTGAGCTTTATAGTCCTAATACCCCTTCCTAATAACAGTTAGGTAATCCCTCGGGACATTTTCAAGATTTTGTGGATATCTTGGCTAACTACGATTATATAGCAATTTTTCGAAAATTGTCGTTATTCTCCACTTAATTCCCAAAAATGAGCAAACTACGAAAGGTATCGATTAGTTATCAACACATCGTTTCCCTAATTTGCATGTTCTTGTGCCCATCTTCTTCTAGCAGAAAAAGAGGGCAGGCAGCTCTTCGTCTTGCGTGGTATGCAATCTTACTTCCGTCATTTTATTTTTTAAATTACCTAAATGTTATTAGGAAGGGGTATTAGGACTATCAAGCTCAACTGCCCTGTGAATGGGGATTTGGAATTTTGGAAAAAAACATCTCTTTTTTTTAACACCCTGTAGTATCATGCTATGTGCACAATATTGTTTTCCCAAAATTAGACATAAGAGTGGAGAATAACGTGAGGTTTCGAAAAATTGCCGTACAATCGTGGTTAGCCAAGATATCCATTAAATCTCGAAAATGTCCCGAGGGATTACCTAACTATTAGTAGGGAGGAGTATTAGGACTATCAAGCTCAACTGCCCTGTGGATTTGGAATTTTGGAAAAAAACATCTCTTTTTTTAACACCCTGTAGTATAATGCTATGTGCACAATATTTTATTCTCAAAATTAGATGTAAGTCAAAGAATCCACTATTGCTCATTTTTTGGACTAAACTGGGAAATAACGACAATTTTCGATAAATTGGCATATAATCGTAGTAAGCCACGATATTCACAAAATCTCGAAAACGTTTCGAGGGATTACCTTACTAATATTAGAGAGGGGTATTACGACTATTAAACTCAACTGCCTCATGAATGGGAATAACTTGAAATTTCGGAAAAAATACATCTCTTCGTATAATGTAGTATAATGCTATGTGCAAAATATCGTATTCCCAAAATTTGACATAAGAGTCAAAGAATCAGCTATTCAGAATTTCCAAAGATTTTCAAAATCAATTTAGTAATTTTCCAATAACGATATTTCAAATATTTTCCAAAAAACTAGGTGCGTCGATTTTTATGACGAGCAGTTTAGATCAAAAAATGTCGTTGCCATGACATAACAAAAAAACAGGTGCAAATTATGTTAATAAACTAAGGGCCGCCCCAGTGCGGTGCACGCACGCTCCCAGCGGGCCTGAGTGGGTGCAAAATCAAATGAAAATTAATAGTGGTTTAGAAGTTTTTTTAAATTTGACAGCCAGAATCTCTGTTAGAAAACATAGTTGACGAATGTTTTTTTATTTTATTTTTGATGCTCTTCAAATTAATAAGGGGCCGTTCATGAAATACGTTCTCACACAAGGGGGGAGGGCTCTTGCAGAGTGTGACAATGGGGGTATTTTTTGGACTATTTTTATTTTTAAATTTTCATCATTATAGAAAGTCATTTATTTCGTATTTAGTAAATATATAGGCTTTCAAACGTATACAATTTTATTACAATAAATTGTAACTTGATATATTTATTTTTGTTTATTTTTACCATATTCAGGGGAGGGCTTAGTTTTTGTGACGAAATATTTCTAGGGGGGGTCACAGAAAGCGTGACACATCGTGTCAATGGGGGCCCCTAACCTTTAATCTAATATTTATTAGAATTACAGTTACAATTTTTTTAAATTAAATAACTAAAGCAAACTAAAAAAAATGTATCTAAAATAATATTAAATTTACAAGGGTTTTAATGACAATCCATACCTACTAATTAAACAATATTAATCAACCAAATTTGCTAAATTTTGTAGTATCCAATCCATTATTATTTAATAAAAGGGGATTGTTATTTAACACTTTGTAACAACACACAACATTATATATAATTTAATGGTAGATTAATTGCGTCAAAATTAATTACTTTGCAGTAATATTTTAGCAAACATTCTATGCGGGGATAGTATATTTCACACATCTCTATAATGCATTGACATTCAAAACCACCTACTAGGTTTATGCTTTTTGAAAAAATCATAAAGATCACAGACAATAGGTGATAAAGATCCTTTACGTTTACGTAAGTGGCAATACATTATATTCATGTATTATTTAGGTAACTTTTTATAAAAAGAATTGTAAGCTTAAAAACACACTTTTCAGCTGAATGGCACACAACATTTTATCTTTAAGACCTTTTTATTTGTTAAATTAAATTATATAAACAATTAATTAATCAAAAGTATAAAGTGAGGTTGGATAGCTTCAGAGCTGTTAGTAGTTTTTGTAAAAAACTTCACCTTATTGGTCTAAATTATGTTTACAGCCTGGGAGATAAAATAATACTTTGAGCGTTGACAATAATAAATATAAAACAAAAATAAATAATAAAACGCTTAAAGATTAAATAATTTGTATGGTTTGTATTGTGGTGTTTTTTTTATTAATTATTTAACTTCTTTGCATAGACTTTTAATAAACTTAATAACGAAAATTACTTAATTTAATTTTTTAATTTTAATTGCACATAATATTATTATATTTAATTCTAAAACAGAATTCTATAAAAACATTACTTTCAAGAGTATTAAAATGTATAATCCTTAAGTAATATACACACAACATTATATATAATTTATATAATGGCCATTTATATACCAAATCTTTCCAATCTAATTAGATGATACAAGTTGAACGTTGTTGTCTTATTTTAATCCAATATAATGATGTTTTTTCGAAAATATTAAACAGTTGGTTTATTTTTTTTTTAATTTAATGTTTAATTATAAATTGATAACTTAAAATTTCCCCTCAGATGTCATTTAATTTTATATTTTATAAAAAATCCCTAATTTTAAGATTAACTTTCTGTACACCTTTTGAATTTCTACATAATATTAAAACTCTGTAACTTACCGCAACCATATCTTCAATGGACGCAGCGTTTTTGGAGCCCAACATAACCATACCCATGGCAATACCAGCGGCTTCTCCGGTGTTTGCGTCGTCCTGGTACAAATTGAACTTCAGTTGCTCATATACATCTTGCCTGTGAGTGCCCATAGCGGACAGGCCCAAACCCAAACAACCTCCATGACGAACCATCTAAAAAAATAGGAAAACAGGGATTAAATAAAATGTCACTTAATAAAACTTATTTGCTCAGCAAATTTATGCTTTCCAATTTAGATGCAAATGTGCAGAGTTGTGCATAATATTAATCTTAGTTTCTTGTGTACCATAAAGGCTTATTATAATTATTATTAATTCTAATTTATTAAAAATACAAAATTCAAAATAGTTTGTATCTTCCATTTTTATTTCATGCATGATAAAATAACTTGAATTTATATATAGAGTGTCCCACAGAGCGTGCTTATTGAATTTTATGTTTGTTATTTTAATGTTTTCGGATTATACAGGTAAGTATATGAAAAAAAAGAAAAAAATTTCTAAAAAAGTTTTAAAAATACAAAGTTAAAATTTGTAAATATAAAGTTATGATCACTAACCCCCCGCCCACCCAATCAATCCCTTGTCTATGGTTATGATAATTTAAAAGTTTAAAATTGCTGTCACAAACTGTCAAAAAATACATCCGTAATTTTGATATTAATTAATTGTTAATGTTAATGTTAATTAATGGTTAAAGTTAAAATTTGTAAATATAAAGTTATGATAATTTAAAAGTTTAAATTTGCTGTCACAAACTGTCAAAAAATACATCCGTAATTTTGATGTTAATTAATGGTGCAATTTTATAAGTGGAAATGTAGGTCAAAAGGTTAAAATTTAAAAAAAATCTTATTTTATAAATATTAAGTAAAAACCAAAAGCGAGAAACTATGAAGAAAAAAATCAAAATGTATTTAGTCTAAATTTTAGACATTAATAAAAAATATAAAAATACATGTATTTATAGTTATCATTAAGCATTTAATACAAATATATCCAATGGAAATGTAACATTTGAATTTTAAAATAATGTATTCCAGTCACATATCTGACTACATTTTAACAAAATTATGTAGGTATGTTTGTTATTTATGTATTGCATTTACTGTATTAAGATACTGAATTTTAGAATAAGGTACAAAATTTACAAAACTCCTTTTTGCAATATTCAAAATATGACGTTTGTTGTTGAAAATTTTAATATTAAAAAAAGTGAAATAAAAAATTGTTAAAATTTTTTTAATTGAAAATTTTTACTAATTTTCTTATTATTTGGCAAATAAAGAAAACATAGTTTAGTCAAAACTAACGTGTTAACGTCAAAATAAACGTGTTAACGTGTTAATTAACATGATAAGGAAAATTATGTTTCACTTTAATATTAATATACTCTTTTTAAAATTCATATAGATCTAGTTTCAGAAGCAATTTTTTTAAAAATCGATGTTAATTCGTGACAGAATATACTTTATTGTGAATAATTTAAGTGGTTTTAAAAAACGATTGTTTTTGTTTTTTTGCCGTGGGAGTCAAACCACGTCAAATTTCTTAATGAGTTTTTATTGATTTTTGGAAAGTAACAATAATTGTAAAAACTGTATATAATAAGAAAACAATTTTTTTAAGCGTAGAATAATTTTTATATTATAAGACTCAGAAGTCTATATAGAATGACTTTATATTAATACTAGTTCAAAAGTAAAATTATTATTTACGTCTGTACAGAAATAAATGTATGCTTGGCGATAATTTGTGCATTCTCCGCCTTTACTATAATCTACTATTTTTTCTCAACATCGCATCGTTTTTATTATTTGTATTACCCAAGAATTTTAAAACATTTAAAAGAAAAATTGATAACTCACACTTTGTTTGCAATAAATAGATAACATTTTTTCACACAGTAACTGTTGTAAAATGTTTTGTCTTTACAATGAATATATTCAAAAAATATTATTTGCAAAAAAACTTATAAATATAACAATTAAAGGAGTAAGAAGCAAAAGGGTACAAGTGCAAAAAAGAGAAGTGGAGTTATTTCCTTTTTAAGTTTTTGCTATACACAAAAATCTGAAAATTTGTTTCAATATTGTTGCAGGACTCGTACAATTTTACGTTATGAGAAACATTTTTAAAGAAGTTTAAACTGTAATTCTGCACTTAACTTATTTTCATGCTAAAATGCAGTTGTACCCTTTTGCTTCCTACCCCTTCAATTATTTATACTTTTTAGGCCAACAATTTGCACTTAACAGCTAAAAGGCAGTATACCCAATTTAAGTTATAAAGGAAAAAAGATCATTTTTATTGTTTAAAGGTAGTATATAATTTAATAAAATTTAGTCTGCCTTCTTATTTCAGTGTTCCAAAAAAAAATTGTGATTCCTACTTAGGGGTTTAAAGTGTCGAAAAAAAAAACAGAAAAATTGGGGAAAATCCCAGGGCTTGGCTTTTATGGGAAAAAATGATTTTTTTCTGAAAATATACAAAGCAATTAACTAAACATTATTTTAATTTAAAAAAACATTGAATTGAATTAAATTGGATTATGAAAATAAACATAAACGTTAAATATACTGTCGGTTGTGTCATTTTTGCAAAAGGGAGTCCATTAAAAATATCCATTTACAAAATAATGAATGATTTATAAAGTTAAATTACAAAATTATAATTTTATAAATCGATGTGTCAAATAAAACGATAGTTATGTTAATACAGCACCGAATTTGTTTTTTTTTCGCGACCCGGTAGAAGATTTTTACTGAATTATAATTATAATAATAGAAATAATTATTATAATCATGTAGGTATTATAAGATTATAATCAGAGTCAAAAATTCACTTTTTTCTTGATATCAGCATACAAATATTTGGAAATTTTCAGAAAATTTTTTTTTAGTATTAACCTTTAAATGAAAAAAGTGCAAAAGTCAATTTTTCTGAAAATTTCCAAATTTTTCCGTTTTTTTCCGCAGACTCACTTTTTCCGGAAATTTTAAAACCATATTCCTACTCTGACAGTATTGGATTTTTCTTAGGTACAAAAAATAATAAAAACGGTGCGGAATTTCGAAAAATAGTTTATAGTATTTTTTGTTTACGCAGTTATTATCCACAGATTTTCACAATTATTGTTACTCCCCAAAAAAACAAAAATTCATTGACAAATTTGACGAGGTTTGACTAACATGACAAAAAACCGTTTTTAGATCTCTATATGTAACCAATTGGCAACAGTATAGGTAAAGCCTAAAAAATCCTAAAAAGTTATTTACCTCATTTTGGGCATCCTTCAGTTGTCCCAACAAATAATCGATAATATTGGCGCCATGATTGGCATGTATCAGACCGAGAGCGTAAAGACCGCCACCCTCGGAGTACCCGCTACTGGGCCCCACTTCCTTAGGCAAGTAGCTCTGCATCAAGGTGAGCGCCTCTTGTTCGTGTCCCCTGTGTATGACGCCCAGGGACGCCGTGGCGGTCAGTTTGGCCCAGTTGGTAGCCCTGGCGAGCCATTCCAGGTTGTCTCTGAGGAACTGGTCGCTTGTGGTGCCGCTGTGCATGAAGGCGTTCGCGATTACCGTAGCGGTGTGGCAGATGCTCACTCGTACAGTCTCTTTGGTTTGCTTGAGGATGAGGAGGTCGGCGTGGTTTGACCTGATGAGAAATTGAAGGTGGAGTTCTATGGACACTTCGCCTGACAAGATGGTGTGCAACTTCTCTATCCTGGCCTGGTGTTCTTTGTCTTTGTCGCTCTGAAAAAAATTTGTATGTTGCAAAAAAATTTTCTTAATAGTCCGGCTGTTTATAAAGTATGTTTGACCTTTAAAGTTCACTTTTTTAGTTATTAGGTAAGAATTTGCTTCATTACCTTTGGATATCATATTTAAAGGGTATAGTTTTTAAAAATTAAATATTTAGAAAATTGATGTAGCCCTTTTTTATTTTATCCAATGTAGTAAATTATTTTTTTTTAATAATAAAAATTGTAAAATTTTGTAGTTTTACATTACTTTTGCATTTTTTAAGCATTTCAAATTTTAATTAAACTCATTAGACAGCTTTATTATTTGGCTTTGAAACCATATAAGTATTTTGAGATATTCAACTGTTTGATGAAGACCAGCGTTATCTATTATTTGTTATCTTGACACCAGTCTTGATGAAAGGTTAGAGATGCGACTTGAAAAAAAACGGTTCGTTTTTTTTGTTTTTTTTCATTGTTTTTTTCAAATGGTTTTTTTCACATTTTAGGTTTTTTTAAGATTAGTCCCATTTGCCTAATTTTTTATGTTTCCATGGACTAAAATTAGCCACTAAATGACAATTAGTAAATGTAAATACAGTCTCGCGCTTTGCACGCGCCACAACCAACGATTTGACCAATAAGGGCCGCGCTTGTTTTGATTTGGTCCTAAAAAAAGTAACTACATTTAATATTTTTGATTCAGCGCTTGATTTTTCAAAAAGCTACCAAAAGCACTTTTTACATGATTATTCAAATTCATGTAGAGTGTGAATTTTTTTTTCAAAAAAACAATAGCAAATTCTTGTAGAACATTTATTCATTGGTGGTTAAGTCAGAACATTCCGTGGATCAAAAAAGAAAGCAAAACAAAATTTTTATTACGTTATTTGCTAGGATTGAGCGTTGCACTTTTTTCATCTAAAAATCTCAAAACTAGAAACTTTAAGCTTCAAATTGCCTTTTTTTACGGCTCCAATACGACCATTTTTAACAAAGATACAGCTATCCGAAAAATCGCAAAAAAATGTTATCCTTTAATTTTTTGTATTAGTGTAGAAGTTTTACATTGCTATTGGTTTCTAATGGGGAAACTACCAAATAATATTTTTTATATAAAATTTAAAATTTGTTGATAAACTATGGTAAATAATAAATTGCTCCAATTAAATTTATATTATATTTATTGGAGGCGCCATTGGGCCAGTTCGGCCAAGCAAAAAGTTATTCACTTTATTATTAATATATATTTTACTCAAAATTTCATTTTGAAAAAAAAACAAAAAAAAAACCGTTTTTTTTCTAGGTTTTTTTAATGTTTTTTTTCACATCTGAAAAAAAACCGTTTTTTTACATCTCTATGAAAGGTAACATTCTTAAACAGTTGAATATCTTAAAAACATCCCCTCATTAAACTTATATGGTTAAGAATCAAGCATTCAAATAAGCTTGATTTCATTTTTTTGTAAAATGCTTTTTTTGAAAACATGAGATTTTTTTCATATTACTACTAGTACAGAAATGTCATCATGTTAGTTCAAAATAACCTAAAAATAATGTGAGAGAATCTTAAGAAATTAATTAATTATGCTTGATATAACATCCGGCTGCGAAAGCTTAATAATATGTGCTTTCGTCGCCTGGTCTAAAATTTCAAGATTATTGGAATTTTTTTAACAAAAAAAAATAAATTGCTTCATAATGAACAATCAATCTTTTAAATATTTAATTTTAAAAATGTTATATATTTGGTAAAATTTGAAAAAGAATAGCAAATTAAACAATTTTTTGGTACCCTTTGGAAATTTTGTCATGTGTCAAAAATAATTAATGATATGAAAAGTGTTGTACTTTTTTGTTGTGTCTATGTGTCCTTTTAAACGCCAATTAATTCAGCCGGGATGTAATTTATATTACATTACTTATTAATAGTTATTATTTATTTAATTTAGGTCCTTTTTATCTTTATTAGAGATGGAACAAACTGACATTGGACTGGACTACCATTCCCCAAACATCCAGATTACATAATTTTACCATTATATAAAATATTTCGTTTGTTTCCTGGTAATTGTATAAAGCTTTGATTAATCTTCACTCAACGCTTTAAGTTTTCAACAGTTAAGCTTAAAATTTTGTATCAATATCAGAAAATTTTTAAAGTTTGGCCAAAAAGCCATACAAGTTTATTTTTTTATGACAAGTTTTAAAAATAAGCAAAAAACAAGCAAATCAAAAACCGACAAAAACAAACCGCTAACTTCTGTGGGTAAAAGGCATAAGGGGATAAGTCAAAAAGATCAATTTTTCAGTAGAGCCTTAAACGTATTCGCATTAATTCAGGAAATATATTTATGGTTAGCAGGTATACCCTTTTGTTAGCACATGTCATATGCTAACAAAAGCGTATACCCGCCAAACATAAATATATTTCCTGAATTAATGCGAACACGTTAAAGGCTCTAGTGAAAAAATGCTTTTTTGACTTATCCCCTTATGCCTTTTACCGACAGACTTAGTAATGTAATCGATGTTTATGGCGCAATTATCGAGCAAGAGAAGCGCTGGTATTCACAAAACTCGTTTTTTGTATTTTTCATTTATTTTTTTAATTAATTTTGGCTGAATAAAACAGATTATAATAAAAAACTGTTTATTTGGCCTGGACGTCCATTCTATCCCTAATCTTTATACTTATAAATTAGTAAACTAATATATTTATTGTTACTGCTATCTTTGCGTTAATAAAGAATTTATTTATTTATATTTATTAATTTATTATTATATAATATAAATTAATGCCATTAACCTTAAGAAATAATTGCCTCAAATAAGACAATTTTCTTTTTAAAAATGTTTAGGATTTGTTAAAATTGACTTGTGTAGAACCATTGTAAAATAACCATAAAATTGACTCTTTCCTGGGAAAAGGAAAATATCACAAAATCAAATTTTCACATATAAGAGCAAAAGTAGGGCAAGTCCAAAAGCAAGGAAGATTTAGCAAAAATAGGGATTAAAAAACAATACAGAGATGAAAAGAACTCGTTTCAAATCTCTCCTTCAAAAATCAGTTTTTGGACTTGCCCTTCTTTGGGGCTTGGGTACAAATATATATTTTAATAATTATTGTTTTTTGATTTTCTTGTATCTTGTTTAAACTTTAAAATTTTAATTTTTACATGCACAAAGGAAAACGGAATAATACAAACTTGCCCATATTTATGTTGTTAATTTTTTATTTTATAATTAGTTTTTGCTCGGTTTTTGCTAAAAATAAATAAATTTCTTACCAAACTTTCCAGGGACTTTTCCTCCTTGATTTCAGGTTTAACATCAGAAGTAGCTTCAGCATCACTTGGTGCTGGAACCGAAGAACCTTCACCACTAGCCAAAGCTTTAGGTTTTAGTTTTTCCTCCAGCAAAGCAGGAATTGGTGCTGTTCTTCTCAAAGCTAACAAAACTTGTTCCAAAAACTGTTGAGTAGCTGACTCATATAAATCAAAGGCAATTTGATAGGACATAAGTTGGTTTTCTTCTTGTCCTTGGACTAGTTTGTCCAAAATTTCTGCAACTGATAAGGGATCTTCAAGGAAAATAAGACATTGACACATGTTTACATAATCTGGAGTAGTTAAACCTCTGTACAGACCAACTAGAGATCTTAAGACTGTATTTCTAAAGCCTCTGTTTTGGATTAAACTCATAGCAACCTAAAATTAACAATATTAATGCAAAATAAAACATAAATGGGAATAAAAATCATACCTGGAATGCATAAATGAGCATGGCAATAATATCATCTGATTGCATAATGGATGACTCAAAGATATCCATTCTTCTTGTTTCTAAAGCCAAACCCATGGCTTGACGGTACTGACCATCATCTAAACATCTTTGAAACATTCTGTTTACTATTGCTTCCAAACGGGGATCAATTGGTTTTGCATCAGAGACATTGTCAGCCAATGCAATACGGTGTTGAGTGTAATAGTCAATGCATTTGGCTAAAATTTAAATATTTTAAAAAATCACCAAGTTATACATGTCTTTTAGGCATTTCTATGATTGATTTTTGCAACTAAGAGACTTTGAGACTGTGATAATAACATTTATTTGTTGAAATGTAAAAAAAAATTCCACTTTGTAACTGTATATCTCTGGGTCATCTGTGAGCTGAAGCTGGCAACCCTTAAGTGTACCTAAACCTAATAATTACTTACCCAAAGTGGTCTCAACATATTCGGTTCTTGCATTTACATCAAACAAATCGCCTGCTCCAAGGGCATAAGTTAAAGAATCCTCAAAAGATCCCAAGTGATAATAAACTTTGCTAGCTACTAAGGCAGCCAGTTGATGCTGTTGAAATACTTTGTCTTCATGCAAAATTTCGCTAAAAAAATCTTAGTTTACAAAAAGAACAGCAGAGTCATTGGGTGGACTTACATTTTTTCTATGGCCTCTGATATTTCTGGCCAGAATTCATCTACAATGTTGTCCAATTTTTTAAGGGCAAATATCTTTAGTTCAGGTCTGGGCTCCTCCAGTAGGGAAATAATTCCCGCTAAATAAATAAATGTTAAATACTATTTGCCGGCAGCAAAGTAAGATTATGTTATAAATTTTAAATGCCCAAATATTGACAAACTAATTTTGAGATGAATTTGCATGAAAAGTATTTTATTTACGCAGAGATAAGTCATAAAAAACACAGTATTTTTTCTTTTTTGTGGCATAATAAACTAAAATTTGTAAACGTCATGTCAATGACTTGCAAAACGCATGTGCAATTTTTGGGCATAATTCAAATTAGAAATTTGTTTTAACAATTGTTTTGTATAATTTATAATCCTTATTATATTTTGCATACCTGCTGAAGTAATATTCATTTTGCATTCACTAGTTATTACGCGAAACAACCGTCTAAACACAAAGCACTTTTTGTAACTTCACGATTTTCGACAGAATTTTGACGGAATGAGCGCATGCGCAGTCGAAATTCGACTGTCGAATTTGAAGAAATGCCAAACAAACGAACAAAAAAGTTCCAGAATAATGTGATTCAAAATTTGTATGTTTTGTGTTCTGTGCCTTGCACAATAATTATAATTAATATTGGTATTTAAAAAAATACCGTATTGTTATTATTTTAATTTTTACTAGGAATGTTAAATAGTTCTTATATTTTATTTAATAAAACCCAAATTTATTTGTAATAGGTATTTTATTGTGGTAAATTTTTACAAAATAGGATGTTATTGTTGGTGCGATTTTAAGAAATGATTTGATAAGGGGCCTTCATCTGCGTAACCAGCAATTTCTTGTGGAATAATGGCACTTTCTTCAACTCCTGTACACGGACGACACATGCACTCCAGGGGGGCTTTTGTTGTTACCTAAAAAAACAAAGACAATTTTGTTATATTTCATTTAAATTAAATCAAACAAAAATTTGATTTTAAAATTTCTAGGGATTTATGTTTTTAGCATTACAGTAACCTACTTTATCGGCGATATGGTTGCTTGTGTTGGTGGAAAAATTTGACGTCTTGTGTTATTGCGAACCTTTCTTACTCGATTTATAGTGAAAAAACTGTTAATTTGTACATGACTGTGAGTGAAAAGAAATAAGTCAATACGTGTTGTTGCATTACATAAGGTTCGTTGAAAATACCTAATTATTAAAGTAGTTATAACCTTTTGTTGTCATTTTACCTTGATGAATTTTCTCTCCCCTGGTTTGGCTTTTGGACAAAATAACGATACTGAAGCCTCTCTTTCTCCTGATTCTTGGCAACACATGCACGAACGTTCCATTTGCCAAATTTTGCTGCCAGACACCTGCAAAAAGTGCGTTTGTAAATGTATTACAAGTCTTAATATTCAAACTATACTTGGATATACGAAGCGCATCTTCCAATACACGCGAAACTTGGTATTGGTTTAGGTACACATCCAGGGTATTGCAAAACATGAATAACTGGGGTAACTTGGCACTCGTCTGTAGAGCTGGATCCTGATACTTGAACTCCTTTTTTCATTAAATAGGGATCCATACACATACCACCAAGGATTATAAAAATAATTGTGGTTTTCCATAACCGAAATGAAACTACAAAAAAATGTTTTCAAGTGCTGTTACTATATATAAATATACATACCAGTGCTAAAAAGATTGTTTAACATTGTTTTAAGAAAATATCCAACCACTATACTTCCACAACCCACACTTTGCCATTTTTTTCTTAGTTTTCCCTTTTTATAAAATTTCCCAAAGGAAACATAGTTTTGATATTTTTCTAATGTGTTTATTGAACATGTTTCAAAAAATTATTTTCATTGGTGGATTTTTTGTCAGGGTTTTATATGAGAATTTCATGTTTGTTGTGGTCAGGAATAACACTTCCTACTGTTCACAATATGACACTACTTTAATGGCTTGGAAATTCTTGTTTTACACCCTGGGTGGCTAAAATGTTGTTTTAGTAAAGTTTAATGTAGCTTTGCATGTATTTAGATTTTTATATGCATTAATAATAAATATTGAGATACCAAAGTACCTATAGGCTGCCCAACTATGGAAAAAGACAATAACTAGCAAATAGTGCAAAATGCGGTTTTTTGTGATATAGTATTACTGTGTGCATTTTGTATCTTAATTTAACACAGAAATGCAGTAAACAACCTCATTATTAAAAAAAATTAATTAAATACTTTTATAAAAATGTAATATCCCGTAAATTTCTTGGAGGACAAGGACAATCAGAACTAAACTTACTTATATTAAAAAATAATCTACTCATTGAGTTATATTAAGACACCTTATAACAATTTAAAAAAAGTGTAGGTAGCTATTTGTTTAAGATAAACAGTTTATTAACAATTGTTGCACATTAATGTGCAATTGAACATTTCTGCCCCTTGATTAAATCTATTTAAAAAAAATTGTTGAGAATTGATATATTTTTTTAATAAACAAATGCCAATTTTTCTTTGCTCTCCAACTTGTTTGTGCAATTTTTTATTAATATTTTACGAGTTAATTACATTGTTAATAAATAAATATAAATTTCTTTAAAAAAGTTATAATGTGACTTGATATTAATCAGTAGATTATTTTCCAATACTTAGTTCCAATTTTCCTTATAACGCCAAGAATCTAAGTATGAAAAATGTACACGCGAATTAATAAAATAATAACAAAAAAAAACCATTTTTTTGAGAAATTTTGAAAAGAAATACCTACTTCATGTATTCTTTAAATTTTCCAAATTTTACTTTTGAACAGAATGCATTTTACTTTGGTAAAAATTAGGGATGCACCGGAATTCCGGCGGTACCACTAAATCCGACCGATCCGGCCAATTGGCCGGAACTACCGTTCCGGCCGGATCGCTTTCCGGCCGGAATTTTCGGAACTTTTTGGAAATGTTTAAGTTTTAAATTTTTAATATTATTTAAATTCAAATATATGCAAAAATAAAGAAAATTATTTTAAATGAATAATGAAATGACCTGCAGCCCTGTGCCTTTGCTTATGATTAGCAGGCGTCTGGGATTTCCCGAGTTTCGCGTCTGTGATTCCCCGACTTTCGCGTCTGGGATGCCCCGACTTTCGACCAGATATATTTTATAATTGGTCAACAGTGGTCAGGGTGTGCGTTAGGGTGGGTCATTTATATAGGGAGAAAAAAAATAATTCAATATTTTATCGGGCACAGTCAAAAATTGCTGTCAAATGACGACCTTAAATAGCATATAAAATTTTATTATAATTGAAATTCATCTTCTGCCTCCGGATCCTTCTTAAAATTACCAAAAAAGTCGCTATTTAAGGAATAAACTTATTATATAAGAAATCACTTTAAATAACTGTATAATTTGTAGCGTGTACATAAATAAAAATACTAAGATCGTTTCTTGCCATTTATTAAAAATAAATTATAAATATTGTTAGTTACTTAAGTTGGTATGGTTGGCTAAAAAGTCCTTTTTGCTGTCGAATTTCGGCATTGTTTTTCGTGACTCTATTTGTGCTCTTCAAGTATGCTTTTCTTCCATCAAAGTACAATGCAGGTATCTGTAAAACTGTTTGTTGTAAAACTATAGCTTCTCTAGTTTTTTTTCGTTCTCGACGCAGTTTACTTTTGTCTATAACTTGTGAAGTAGATGCGTGAAGCGATGGCTGCCCCTGCCCTATCTGGCACTCCATATCTATCGCAAGTTTTTGATAATAAAGCATAATCAACTGTAATTGTGGACTTACTTTCTGCTTCAGTGTTTGCAGCTTGCAACTGTTGCATAGTTTGGTCTTCGCAATCAGACTTGTTACATTCGGATGTACTACTAAGCTCTTCTTTCGTACATGTTTCATCTATTTTCTGGCGTTTACTTAGAGATTCTTCTCTTCTTTTTATTGTTTTCCTGATTTGCGTGGTTGTGGGAACATTTATGCCCCCTATCACCATTTTTCAACAATTACGTTGGTCTATTAAGAAGCTTTGTTCTCTTATATGTACTTTTTTCTGTTTAGGGCAAGTACATTTAGTAATATCTGGGCACTTGCAGGCCGAAATATCAAACAAAGCTTTCCCTCGTAGTCGGAATTCTTCCAATTTATTGTCTGGTATTTTTGGGTGAGACTTTAAGATGTTTTTGCATTTTAAATGATATGCTTGTAACATAGTTTTCACTCGTTTTTCTTCTACTGTAGGAATAGAGGCTTTATCCCATATTTTTATAAGTTTTGAAACCACAATAATTTCTATTTCTTTGTAAGTGGGTTCTTTTTTAGTTTCTCTTAGATGTTTTATATTACGTCGGGTCCACTCATAAAACTTCATGACTTCTGCATAAGTGGGTAATATATTGTCTTTTAAATCACACACATCACCAAATAAGGGACAGTTCCAATTCATACGAGTACTCGTCATACTTGTAGGTTTGTAGGAATATATTAATTAAGCACACTTGATAACGAATCTAAAACGAAATAATTTAATCCATGTTATTAAACATTAGCTTATATATATTGTGTCCTATTTTGTAGGTATAGATTTAACTGTAAATTTTATTACCTTCTTTATAATGTTTTATACCTCTTTAATAATTAATAATTAAGGTATAATATTTGAATTTTTAGTTTTTAATCCAAGATCCAGATTTTTTTACCTCTTTTAATCAGACCACATATAATTTATTTATATACTTAATTCATTATAAAACCTAAATACATCATTTCTCATATAGGGGGTTTTTAAATTGGAATCGTAAAACTAAAAATGACAAAATTTGGCAAAAACAGGTCAAAACATTCCTTTAATAGTATATTTTGTCATTCAATCGAATATAAACTATATTTAATGTATGAAATACCTTATCTTTTAATTGAGAAATAAATTCAAAAACATGTATTTATTTTTAAAATTCAATCAAAATCCGGAGGCAGTTAAACTTAACCAAACCCCAAAATAAAAATATTTGTGGAATAACAATACCATTTTGCACCTTTTTTTTACTGTGCCCCCTAAAAAAATTTAAAAATTTAAAAATGACCCACCCTAGTGTGCGTGCCTATGATAGACCGGCGGCTGTAGTTCCCCGACTTCTTTTTAATTTTTTTATTATTGGCAGGTGGCTGCTATTCTACAATTGAATGAGTAGAATTGTTTTAATTTTGTTAACGCTAATTAAAAATTAATATTTAAATAAACAGTAATTTCTATCTAGGTAAAATTAATAGTAATAAACACTCTGCATACTGTAGTTAGTTTAAAAAAAAGTAAAAATAATTCAGCCTCAATATTTTCAATGTTTTACGTATAAAAATAGGCATGCACATACATTTTAAATTTAGGTTCCGATCCGGCCGGAATTCCGGCGATCCGGTCCGGCCAGCGGCCGAAATTCCGGTTCCGGCCGGATCGGCAAAATACCCGATCCGGTGCATCCCTAGTAAAAATACCATTTTCCAATAACAAATTTTGTCAATAAAATTTTAAGTTAAATAATAATTTTTAATTATGTCGATTTAATAATGGGGATAGAAATTTTTTATGTCTGATTTCACGAATTAATACTAATCGTAAATTTTAATTAAGCATAAGCTAAAATCGAGATAAAATCAAAACATATCAGCAGGTATTTGTTTAACTTAATTTTAGAAAACTAAGATCACATGTACCTATAGCACAGGTGGTCTGTGACCTATAGGCATTGTTTCATATTTTATGTAGAAACATCCTGTAGGCATGTATCTTAAAATGCTTACTTAAAATTTACACGCGAATTAATAAAATATAAAATAACATTTTTTTTAGAAATACCTACTTCATGTATTCTTCAACTTTTCCAAATTTTACTTTTGAGCAGAATGCATTTTACTTTGGTAAAAATACAATTTTCCAATAACAAATTTTTTCAATTTAATTTTAAGTTAAATAATAATTTTTCATTATTTCGATTTAATAATGGGGATAGTAATTTTTATGTCTGATTTTACGAATTCAAACTAATCGTAATTTTATTTAAACATTACGCTTCTGAAGTTTGGGAAAGCATTTTAGTTATGCCCTGAATAAGTGCCTAATTTTTGAAAAAGGGCAACTTTGGTGATATGTGTAACACTTTGCTTCTGAAGATGCCAACATTGTTATTGAAAAGTACTTTTTGTTTTGGTGTTTAAGTGCCTTGTCGTTGGCAAATATCTATTTTTGAAAAAGGACAACTTTGGTGATATGTGTAACACTTTGCTTCTGAAGATGCCAACATTGTTGGTGAAAAGTACTTAAAGCACTTTTTGTTTTGTTTTGTTTTGGTGTTTAAGTGCCTTGTCGTTGGCAAATATCTATTTTTGAAAAGGGGCAACTTTGGTGATATGTATAACACTTTGCTTCTGAAGATGCCAACATTGTTGGTGAAAAGTAATTAAAGCACTTTTTGTTTTGTTTTGGTGTTTAAGTGCCTTATCATTGGCAAATATCTATTTTTATCATTGGACTATTAAGTCTAATTAAAAAAACTTCTTGTAGGTAATCAACATGCTGTTTTAATTTCATGGATATGAAAACTATTCCCAAAGCAATCAAAAAGCCAAAAAAGCCTGGCTCCAAAGAAAACAAATCAAATTCCGAATTAAAAGCAATTTACAAGAAATTATTAAAAGAAGGTGAAGATTTTGATAGACAGATAGAAGAATACGAGAAAAAAGGCATAACGTCGGATTTGAAACCTCAAATGAATGCGTTGCACGATTACAATGAAATGAAGGATGTTGCCCAGGTTGTTTTAGGGTTTTTGGCAGATGCAGAACACGTTGGTATAACCGAACTGCACGCTCGATATAATCTACCAACGGATTAAGTCGGTAAGAAAAAACTTGTTTTTTTATTTATAATTCGTCATTTAAGGCATTTATAAACAACTGTCAAATCATTTGACTTAAATGTGAATAAAATCCCAGTGGCATATGCCACTATATACATAATTTGCTATACAAAGCAATACACATTACCTGGGTTTTTCAACTTTGCCATAGGAATGTGAAAAACCCGCAATATTCTTGCTCTAAATAATACATTTTTAAGTTAATTTTACCCAGATTTTCTGAAAAAACTGTTTTAATTTAAAAGACTTAAGTCATTTTCTAAAAAAGAAGGGGGTTATTTAAAAAAAATACGTGTCCACCTTCTCGGCAATGAGGCAACATGTCGACGTCGACATTCTACGCCCCTTAAGCTGACAGAGCAAGATTAGCAGAACGCAAATTTTATTTATAATCCCAAAATTAGGTGCTAATAAAATACTAATTAAATGTACTAATTAAAAATGTAATGTTTTCTTTTTTTAAACAAAAAACTTGTTCAGCCAGCTTTAGATAAAGTTAGAAGAACAATAAGCTAATAAATAATTATAATATGGATGTGTAAAATATTTTACATACAGCCTGTATGATACAGGGTGTCCCAAAAGTCGCGCACCAACTTAAAGGTGTATAATCTACAAACCTACAGAAAATTTTACCTTGATAATAAAATAAATTTACAGGTGATACATATTTTCTTTAAATGGTAACATTACCTAATATAAAAGTGGTCGTTTAATCCTTAATCATCATTACAATTTTATTATTTATATATAAATAACCCAATAAAAACAACCTTTCCAAGGCCCAGGGAAAAAACGGAAAAACAGTTGATTTATTATCTATGATTACAACAAACAAATATTTTTGTTTAAGCTGGAGGTTATGTAAACAATTGGGACATTTTTTTTTTAAATGACGGGTACCTATTACAGATACTTACTATGGATTATACCTAAGAAAAAAATGTAAAATTTTATTTTCTCCGTTTTTTTTTAATTTTTCGTTTAAAATGCTTGTGATGTTTTAAAGACTGGGAAAAAAACTAAATAAACAATTTTTTTGAGCATTTTTATTGTTGTATCCAATTTTTCCGAAAAGACATTTATGTAAAGTGTGTGTTCCTTAGGGTGTGTCATTTTTAGGTGACATTTTTTTTTTCGCTGTTATACCAGAAAATCTAATACTTTATAGAAAATAAAAAATTATGCCGCCGGGTAAAAGGTTCTAAGTGCAATAGCGGCTTAGCTCATTTAAAAATTCAATTTCCCATTGAAATAACACAGAAAATTTTTTTTGTTCGTTTTAATTAGATTTTTCGCTGTTAAAAACTTTTTTCCCTAAAAACTTTTTTATAGCTTTTGTAGGAAATTAAATTCTCTACAAAATCATCCCTTTGCTCGAAGAAAAATAAAATGGAATTTGAGGTCTATTTTTATAAAAGTTTATATTTCCAGCTCTATAACTCTGAAACTACTGGTTATACGGTCTTCGAGCAAAGGGATGATTTTGTAGAGAATTTAATTTCCTACAAAAGCTATAAAAAAGTTTTTAGGGAAAAAAGTTTTTAACAGCGAAAAATCTAATTAAAACGAACAAAAAAAATTTTCTGTGTTATTTCAATGGGAAATTGAATTTTTAAATGAGCTAAGCCGCTATTGCACTTAGAACCTTTTACCCGGCGGCATAATTTTTTATTTTCTATAAAGTATTAGATTTTCTGGTATAACAGCGAAAAAAAAAATATCGCCTAAAAATGACACACCCTAGTGTTCCTATTAATAAAATTTCCAAAAAAAATCAATTTTTTCCAATAAAAACAATCTTTCCAAGGCCCAGGGAAAAACGGAAAAAAAATTTTTTCCCAATTTTTCCGGTTTAATTTTCCGACGTTTTAAAACTCTAACATACACAAGCTGAAGGACTTTTGCATTTTCCAAATACAACTATACTGGCTAAAGAAATAAATATCAATATCTAGAAATGCTATGACGGAATCTAACTTAAATTTAAATCATGAAACATTGTTTTTGGTGTGATGTCAATAAACTTCTATTGAAATCATCGTTTAACCATTATAATGTACATAAATGTACAATATGCATTAGGCCTAATCTATAAAATAATACTTGAAACAATATAAACAAGGTAAATGTATTATTTTTAAGTTTAAAAACTAAATGTTAACGCCCTCATATACTTGTATTTTTAAATAATGTAGGTGGTGGTTTTGAAAAAAAAATTGGATTTCTGGGGGTCTGCAGATCATACACCTTTAAGGTGGTGCGCGACTTTTGGGACATCTATTATAATGTACCTTATCAAATTTAGTTTATTGTTATTTATTTGTAGCGCTCGTAATTTAAATACCTAAAAAACAAAAGTAATAATTCCAGTGTACAACTTACAATTTAGTGAATTTAGTAAGGTATTTAACTTTTGTTTTTTTTAATTTGAAATAAAATGGCTGCATTCTACATTAACATTATTTATTTATTATTTAAAAACTTAATTTATGTGTGTGCCTATTAGGGTAACTTAGTTTAGATTTTTACTAAATTATTCAATCAATTTTAGAAAATAATACTCAGTATGTCGCAATTTCTTTTTGATATTTTTATGAAAAAGTAATTAATTATAACTATTTATTTCTTTTATTTTTTAATGTTAAGTTATTGTTAAGAGATTTTATGACGTATGTATACAGGGTGTCATGTAATAAGTTGTCATCACTTGGAGGGATGATAGTTCACGCCAAAGTAAGCAAGTTTTTTACTCTATCCCTTTTGCATTAACGCTGCTGTTTTTTTTTTTTTTTTTTTAAATGGAAATGTACTTAATTTTTAGACATTCGTTTGGCACGACACTGGATTCGTTTACACCTAACGTTTAAGCGGTTGTAGTCGACGGACCAAGTAGAGTTGGCCAGTTGATTAACTATGGTTCTTATCGATACTGCTTTCTATAGTTTTATCCTGTCGCAAATGAGACCATAGCTGCCCATTAATTGCCCAAGATTTACGTAAATTTGCATGCAAACAGTAGCACTTGTGCAAAAGTGAGAAAAAAGCTTTTTTGCATGAACGACAACTTATTACATAACACCCTGTATAAAGGGGTAAGTAAGTTAAAATTAAAATAAGAAATTTTTTTTACATAATGACTTTTATTTATTTGAATTAAATTACAAATTACAATTAAAAGTATTTTTCTTATATCCTGCCATATCTTTTACAAAAATCTTTACAAAAAGCATTTACAACAAATTTAATGTAGAAAATATAAATTAACATAGTTAAAATAACAAATTATCGGCTGAAATCGCCGCATTTATAACATTTGCACTCTGCCGGTTCTTTTAACTTAATATCCATTGCATTATTATTTTCTCCTGTCAATCTAACACCATCAGGATCGTAGCAGTGCGTTAAAGTTATTATTCTTTCACGCAAGTAGCTCTCGCGGCAACAGTAACACTCCTATAACAAAAATTATATAAATAAAAAAAATGCGAAAAAATGTTTTACCTTTAAAAATCCTGTTGGCGTTATTACAGATGGTTGCACTTGACTTTTACAGGATCCCTCGCATTTATTAACTGCTATTTCGCCATTACAAGTTCTTTGCAGCCTACCTAGTTCATCGTATTCCTCTGAAAAAAAGAAAATTATTTTTTAAATAAAATTAATATTAATTAAGTTACCTTTTGTTAGGTGCAAATCTGACGGTATGGTTTCGCATGTTTCCTCCGACATGTCGGTAACACAGTAAACATAATAAAACAAGGAACTAAAGAAAATAAACTTTTGTATCGCGGTTATTGCCATTATGTTGGAGTATAACTGTTTTACAAAAACACTGACGGGGGTTTATATATAACAACCCCCTTAAAGTGGAAATCAGTTTTGATGGAAAAACGATTTTTTATGTCGAATTAAAGTTAAATCGGTCCGATTTAGATTTTCTTCGTTGTTTTATTTTGTTGTCTTATTTGTATGGGGGGGGTGACGCATGTTTTTTCAACATGAGTTTTTTAATAATGAATTTTCGGGATGTTTATAAGTTTTTCTGGATATTGACCTTATTTGCAGTGAATGGTGAGACCCCCACCGCCATTACACGCATTTAGTTTTAGATAGATTCTTTGACCCTTATTTAAAATATACTTTTTTCTTAAATGTGTTTAAAAGGTTGTGTGTTTTTGATACAAGCTAAAGGACTAAAAGTATAAAATAGGTTTAAAATGTTAAAAGAATTGTATACTCTTTTTATTTAATAATATTAAAAATCGATACCTATTTAAACTGAGAAAATGCCCAAATAATGTAAATAATATGATTCTTTTAACAAAAAGGATTAAAAGTTAAAATTATCCATACTTACATACTAGCAATAATGCGAAAAAAATTAGATTCGATTCTTTGCATGAAAATAAGAAAACAAGTCTTCGTTTCCGAGATAGCAATTTTCTTAATATAATATTTGAAGAACCCTAACAAAAACAATAACAATTTAAGTTCTTATTAAAATTTGTTAATTTTAAATGTCCCTTTATTTTGAGCATATGTGTATTTATTATATCTCGAAAACAGATCGTTTTATTTATATATCAAAACAAATTTGCCATATTGCTTCTTAAAAATAAAACTCTAGATATTGTATCTCTTAATAACATATTTAAAATTAATTTTTAGCTGTTTTTAATAAATTTATATGTTTATAAACCTTTTTAGTATAAACATTTTTTTCCTAAATGAAAAAACACAATTTTTTTTGTAAAATTAGGAATTGGACAAAATTTTTAGAATTTCCCGCTAAATATAATATACATTGCATATCAAGGGCAGAAAGGCAATGAATGCAACGATTGTGAAGTTTGCTTTAAACTTTGAGCACTTCTTAGCCTTATTACACTCTAAAGTGTTCTACAATTGTCATCTACAATTTGCTGCATTTGGCGCGTCAAAGGATAGTTGTGACAGAATAGTGAATTTCGTTGAAAAAGCGTGCTTTATAAATTTTTTGTAGTGAGCGGTGTTTTATTGGTGACGTTTGTCGTGACGTAATCTTTTCTTTCCAATAGCCGTGTTCTTTTACCACAAAGATCAAATTAAACGAGTTTTGGTCAGTAAAACAATCAAGTGTGCTTAAGTTCGTTGCTAGCCATTTGTAGGTGTTTTAAAGCCTAGCCTTTAAATACTTGAACAAAATTGATTTTTTTTCATTACAGCGCCATCTATTACAAATATGAAAAAATGTTTTAGACAAAATCTACCTATTTTTAGTCGAATGATCCGAATCTGCAATAAAAATAGGGTGTTCCATTGGAAATTTTAAAGTTACCCCCTGTTCCCCCTATAAGGAGGAGAGTGTGAGGACCAATTTTAGTACTGATTGATTTCCCCCTCGCATCATTTAATTTTTAAATTAAACATTTTTTTGTAAAATGCATACTAACTGAGATATTTTAAGTTAAATGACTCACCCTGTATATAAACAAATCTGACATCTGTTAACCTTACTTTTTCCCAATTTAAAACCCGCGATTGGTTCAAATAACAGTGAATATTGAAATCAGCCAATCACTGCCCAGTAAACACAATTACGTAAATATGACGTAAATATGACGTCATGTCAAGTCACGCTTACGTAAGATATAGGTCACACTTGAGTCACACAAGAGTCATTATTTCACACTTCCTTACGTCAGACTCTGACGTAATAAATATGACATAAATATGACGTAAACATCTTGATGTAACACTGACATCATATCATTACATAATATTTACGTAATAAATGTGACATAAATATGACCTCAGAATGACGAAGCCCCCTTCCTTATTTTTCATCATGGGGCAAAATAAGTGAATACTGAAACAGCTCACTTGGCTGAAATCAGTTCCCTCTTCCAAATGATAAAAATTGTGGGTTTCGCGGCTCTGGCCTTGCAAAGCAGGCACTGTTTAAGCAGAGGGCCAACAAAGAATTCCAGTGTAAAAGCTAAATTTAATCGTGGGCCACAATTCGTGACTCGTTTATATGCCGAGGTTCGGATTCCTAAATCTCAAATTGCAATGCAGCCAGTGTCAACTTATATACTTAACAAATAGTGCCACATAAGCGAGATGTATTATGCAATAAGGGTTGCCCATGATAAGTAGATTTCTATTATATTATAGTAGATGCCTACTTATCATAGGCAACCAATACTGCATATTGTAACTGTTAACAATTAATATATTAATGTTATTTGACAACATTACCCTTATTTGTCTGAAACACAATAACCGGACCATATTATAATATTATTATAAAATTTGTTTATCAATGAAAAATTCTTTAATAGTTTACATATATTTTTAAAAATCTCTTGGTTTCTTAATACTAAATATTCTCAGTGTACTTAAATAATTTCGTTTGTCAATTTCATTTCTTTTATTTATCATTTTTTAAATTTAAAAAATATACTAATACCCACAATATTGTGCAAATACCTATCTATTATTATAGGTATTATATTAATATATAATTATACCATATTATATTATAATACTAAATTCTTTAAATTTGGTTGTATTATTTATTATAGTTTTATTTTTTGAACCTCTGTATTTGGAAATTGAAATTTCAGTATGTTAAACAAGGCATTAAATATATAGGTACTACCAGAGACAAGGGTACTACTTTTTGACTTAAACCAATTTTGAAAATTTTCTAAAATGGCGTCGTACTGTCAAAAGGCCACATTTTTTTCAATGGGAAATGGAATCATTATCGAAAAGGTATTTATTGCAAGCTGATACTTTATCTAATTTATGAAGCTGATCAAAACCAACTCACAATGGATTTTGAACCAACTACTAATTTGTCAGATTCTTTACAGGGTATGTCAGAAATAAGAACAAAAAAAAGCGCTTTTTATAAGTAGCTATAGCTATAGCTAGGGACAATATTCAACATTTAAAAATTATTTTTATTTAAGAAATTTAAAATTTTAGTATTTTAATAGGAGGTAACATGCATGGATTAAAAAAAAAATGACGTCGTACTGCCAAGGACACATTTAAAAAAAATTGTGAGTGAGTGAGGTCTTTTAAAGCGTAACTACTTATTTTTTCGATTGTACAGGGTGGAACAAAAAAATTCCACTTTCACCAAAAGCGCCATTTTCAAAAATTTTCAAAAAATAATAACAGTAACATACAATACAAAATAGCACGTAAATCTTTTGTTGATAATTTTTTACAATTTAAAAAATAAGTAGGTACCTACTTGCAAGTACTTGCAACCATGATTATGAGTACCTAAATGATTTTTCACATGACCATTGAATAAAATGTGTACTTTTGAAAGTACGACGCTATTTTCAAAATTTTTTACGTCATAAAGCAGTAGGAACCGGAATCATAAAAATCTATATGATGTTTATTACATATTAAATTAAGATACATAATTTTTTGATTAACTTTAAACCATATTTTCATTTAATCGACCAAGTACTAAGTAGCCAAAAAATTCAAGGAACTTCGCGTTATTTCTTTCATCATGCTAAATGCAAAAGTAATTTCAAAAATATGAAATTTGTATTTTAATGTTTGAATTAAACTGATTGGTAAGGAAAAGTATCCACTGATTTTATTGTTTAAAATGATCGGCGTCAATTTCAATTAATAGAATTTACTTACGTTATTTTACTCAAGGATTGAAATTAACCATTTCAATCAATAAAAAATAAAAATTATGTTTGCCTATTTCATTAATTGAAAATAAAAGTCCATTCATTGAAATTAGTTTAATTCAAACATTAAAATACAGTGAATTTCATACTTTGAAATTACTTTTGCATCTAGTTCGTCTAAATAATATGTATGACAGATTTCTTATGTCAGTCTTACCTTACAAAGTGACCTTAAACTTATGTAATGGTATGACATATTTCTTACGTCAGTCTTACGTAAGAAAGTGACCTAAAATGTATGTAATAATATGACGTATTTCTTACGTCAGCCTTACGTAAGAAAGTGACCTTAAACTTAGGTAATATTATGACAGATTTATTACGTCAGTCTTACGTAAGACAGTGACCTAAAACTTATGTAATATTATGACAGATTTCTTATGTCAGTCTTACGTAAGAAAAGTGACTTTAATGTTACGTCACGATATGACTTTAATATTACATAAGATGTACGTAATATGTAAGTCATTTAATTACATCATATAAAAGTCACGTTTTGGGTCAGTATTATGTCACTATGACGTAAAAATTGTATTACCTAGATATGATCTACGTGTTACGTAAATTTTAGGTCATAAGTCACGGTTTGGTTCACTGGGTGATGCCTAACAACGTGAATAATGAGTTCAATATTCCCGTTGTTAGGCCGGGCGCTTATATTGGTTACCATTATTTACGAAAGAAAAACAAATAATTTCAATAATACGCAATAGGAGTAAAAAAATATAATTAAATATTAAAACAAAATCTATAAGTTATATAAATAATATGGCCAATGGTGAAATTTCAGTTATTTTGTTGTTTTTTACCCTTGAAAGAAATAAGCACCATTCTTATTTTATTTGTTTGTTCCAGAGACAATTTGTAAGTAAAGTCTCGGTGTGAAGAGGATGTCCGATACCTCTGAGGACACAATATCAGACAGATCGAACGATATTAACAAAGAGGACAGCGTCTGCCGTGACTACGTGCGCGGCATTTGCGATCGAAATTTTTGCAAGTACAAACACGAAAATGAATCCAAGATGTTGAACTTCTGTCATGACTTTCAGAACAGCGTCTGCCCCCGGCCCCATTGCAAGTAAGAACAATAAACAATAAGCATATAGGGCTGCTAAATTTACTTTAGCCCTCAATGCTGCTTTGGTCGGTTTTAGGACATTTTATTGGCTTTATAGTCCAGAATTTTTTATGTCAAGTTTTTGGAGTATGTAATAAAATTTATCCGTTTTTTTTTGTTTTTTTTTTCATTGTTTTTTTTCAAATGGTTTTTTTTCACATTTTAGGTTTTTTTTTCAAGATTAGTCCCATTTGCCTAATTTTTAATGTTTCAAGTCCAGTTCATGGACTAACAGTCCTACAGTCTCGCTACATTAGTAAATACAGTCTCGCGCTTTGCACGCGCTACCACCACCGAATTGACCAATAAGGGCCGCTTGTTTTGATTTGGTCCTAAAAAAAGTTACTACCTATAATATTTTTGATTTTTCAAAAAGCTACCAAAAGCACTTTTTTCATGATTTTTCAAATTCATGTAGAGTATGGAAATATTTTTATCGAAAAAACAATAGCAAATTTTTGTAGAACATTTATTCATTGGTGGTTTAGTAAGAACATTCCGTGGACTAAAAAAGAAAGCCAAAAAATTTTCGAATTTTTTTTTTACGGTATTCGTTAGGATTGAGCGTTGCACGTTTTTCATCTAAAAATTAGAAACTTCAAGCTTCAAATTGCTTTTTTTACGGCTCCAATACGACCATTTTTAACGAAGATACAGCTACCTATCCGAAAAATCGCAAAAAAATTTTTTTATCCTTTTTTTCTATTAGTGTAGAAGTTTTACATTGCTATTGGTTTCTTATGTGGAAACTACCAAATAATAAGAAATCAGATTTTTTAGTTTCAGTCAAAATTTTCAATAATGAAAAATGTAATATATTCTATATTTCACTTTATTATTAATATACATTTTACCCAAAATTTTATTTTGAAAAATTACTCCATTTTTTAAGATTTATTTTATTTATTGACAGAATATGCTTTATTGTAGCGGGTTTTAAAAAAAACAAAAAAACCGTTTTTTTCTAGGTTTTTTTCATTTTTTTTTTCACATCTGAAAAAAAAACCGTTTTTTTACATCTCTACACACTACACAGTAAAAACATTTTTATTGCAGATTTATACATTGCACTCCCGAGGAAGTGGAGGAGTACAAGCGAACGGGCGAAATGTCGAATCAGATTCTCGCGGAAGCGACAAGAAAAAACCAGTTGCCAGGCACGCCGCCTGTGTGCAATCAATTCAAAAAAGGCCAATGCAGAAGGAATTTCTGCAAATTTCGACACATTACCAAGGAGCAAGAAGATACGGAAATTATGGAATTAATACAAAACAACATACAAAGAAAATCTCAAGTTGTTACCGTGAATGGCTTGAGCGAATCTCAATTGAATGTTATCAATATAACAAGTGGTTTGCAAAGAAGAAACGGTGTATCATATGAAGAATACCAAGATGTAGGTTTATCATTGCCAAAGAGACGTTTTTTATCGCCACACGATGACTTAGAAATAAATGCTAGCGATCAAACCCGACTTAGATCTATTGGATTTAAAGGGTACTTTGCTGGAACTCCCCCTCCCCCAATGCTTAGCAGAGCTGACGCACGGTAAGTTTGATTATTTTTACGAATCACTAGTAATACTTTTCCTTTAATTTGTCATTTTACCAAAAATAATAATCTTTGTTTAAAAGTATGCCTAAATTTTAATTAAAAAATTTATTTATTTTCACTTGTAAAAACATTACTATAAAATGCACAATATAGAAAAAAACTTAAAATCTTATTATATTATTGTATTATATTTATTTATTTATTACTATTACAATACAATAATATTTCCTTTCAAAAAAATAATAAAACTTTGAAATGATATAAAATCTGTATGATTTTATTATTTCAATGTGCTTCCAACACTTATAAATAAGCAAAATGTCTAATTTATATTTTTTGATGAATATTTTATTTATTTTCACTTGTAAATCATTACTATAAAATGCACAATATAGAAAAAAACTTAAAATCTTATTATATTGTTGTATTATATTTATTTATTTATTACTATTACAATACAATAATATTTCCTTTCAAAGAAATAATAAAACTTTAAAATAATATAAAATCTGTATGATTTGGATTTTTTAAATAAAATTTGAAGTTTGTCGGTAAATAATAAGAAGCACCAATTAAATTTATATTATATTTATCGGGGGCCCCATTGAGCCGGTAGGGCCGAGCAAAAAGTTATCTTTTTTCGCAAACTTTAATTTAAATTCTGCTTGCGCAGAACTTGTTTATTTAATGTCATTATAAACTCATATGAATTTAGTGTAGGTCCCATATCTAATAATTGAGATATTGGTATACTCAAAATCCACCAGCTGCCTCTGTCAGCCTAATGACATAAATAACTATTTGTTCACAGTTTCTTTTATTTAACAAATTGTCGTTTGTCAATTTATTTCAACCTACATTAATCTAGACCCCTAATAAAGCTAGATATTTATAAATCTTGCATAGGGATAGAACGATATCACTTTTTTTTGCCGATACGATATATCGGCCGATACCGATATTTACGTGCCGATATACCGATATATCGTATCGGCAAACATAATGCCATCTATTTATACACGACCGAAGCAAAAATCGGGGAAGTCCCGTTTTAATTCCGTTGCAAGGAAACGTTTGTGAACGGATTTCTGGGAAGCCCCTTATACAGTGTGTATTAAAACGAATAGATACATTGAGAATTTATAGGTTTTATTTTTATCGAATTAAATTTTAAGTATTAAGTATATACTGTATTTAGTACCTGCTACATTAGGTGTTAGGATTTGTTTTACTTTTTTAGTAAAAATGTTACCTTTAGAATTAAAATTTTTATTTTGTTTAATAAAGTATTTCATTTATGCACTGAAGAGTGAAAAGCGCATTTTTTTTGCCGATATATCGGCAATTATCTTGCCGATACGATACGATACCGATAATCGGAAACAATTGCCGATATACCGATATCAATATCGGTATCGTTTTATCCCTAATCTTGCAATGGGGTAAGGACTCTCTCCTTGTTTCTAAACGAGTGTTTAAAATCGTAGGACCATAATGCTGGAAGAAGAAAACAGCATGCTTCACAAAGAAATAGCCCAATTAAAACAAAAAGTGTCTGACCTGACGGCGACCAATGAATTTTTGTTGGATCAAAACGCGAATTTCCGCGTTTCGAGCAAACGAAATCAAGCTGTCAACGTGCCCGCGGTGACTATCGCGCAACAACAGCAACAAGTCATCCGAACGGTGACGGCCAGCGTGGCAACGGTGCCTGTTTCTTTGGCAACCGTCACTTCCTGCAATCCCGTTTCCGGAAATCCCGTTTCCATTGCCGGATGTCCCGCTGTCAGCATAGCCTCCCCTGCTCAGCTTTTAGCTCCTAGTCAACAAATACTTGGTGAGTGCAAGTTTGATAATATATAATATATCACTTCTATTTATTAAAACTGTTGTTACAATCTTTATACACCAAACAGTTTAATTTTGCCAACACTATTCCACGCCAAATTGACGACTTTTGAACCCGACCCCTTTTGATTTGGCTGCATTTTTTTATCCTTTTGTACCCCACTAAAAAGTTTCTCAACATTTTTTTCAAATTGTTTCACCCAACCAAAAAAATTGACTTATTTTTCAAATACCCATAACTTTTTTAAAAATTGACTAAATGACGTGTTTGTGTTCTTTAATTTACCTTTCAGAAAAAATTAGAGAAGGATGGGCACTTTCAAAAGCGCTCATAAGTGCTCATAAATGCTCAAGCGCTTATAAATAAATGCAGGGTTATAAATTAACCAACAAATAACTACTGTTAAGATCAGAACATGTGCAGGTCACAAAAGTGGTGCAGGTTTATCCAATTCCAAAATGGTTTACTTACCTCTATTTTTTTTCAATAATTTTTAATATAAAATTTATATTTCATCGTTTATAAATGCTCGAGCATTTATGAGCGCTTTTGAGCACTTATGAGCGCCATCTATAGAAAAAATACAAAACAATATTTTTTTTTTTTTTAGAAAAACCTTCAACTTTTCAAAGTTCACCATTTTTTATATCTTATAGTTATAACTTTGATTAACTCTGCAAATAATGCTGCTCAATCCAGATTCTTTCTTTTTTTTATAATTCAAATTTTTTTTCCTAATCGTTTATTTAATTTTTGTAAAAACTCTGTTTATGATTTTATGGTTATTACGATTAACAATAATTTAATTTTGTATTTTAATAACAATTTATTTTATTTATCCAAAATTTACGAAATTCATGAGCATAATTATACTGGTTTGTGACTCATTATGAAGGTAGTGTCCTACAATCCAATGGATTAAATCCATCCATAAGACACTAGTGTTTTATGACAATTAATAAAACAAAATACGTCAGAATTTCTCTCGTATTTATTTATTTATATTTTATTTGCTACTTACAATAAAGAACTATTGTTTTTGGCGTTTAAATAATTTACATGTTTTATACTCATTTGAATTCGAACAATTTTGGACAAAAAGACTACAATCTGTGTAATCCCTATCATTAATTATAGGGTTAGATTATTTAGTGTTATTATTATTATTATTAATTAAGTAAATGTACTTAAATTGATTTTATTATAGAAATAAAAAAAATTCAATTAAAAATAAACAAAAAGAAACACTTTGGGAAATGCGGCATTAATCTCAGAATAAAAAAAATTATAGATATATAGTATTTTTTTCTGAAAAGTGCATTCAAAATAAATAAAATTAAAAAAAAAACATCCCATTTAGTCAATTTTTATAGGTATTTAAAAAAAAATTACCCATATATTTTAAAGTGTAATTAAAAAATATAAGTAATTCATCATTTTTCCAATCTATTAAATATATCTAAGAAATTTGACTTGTTCCAACAGAAATTTAAATTATAAAGATCTAATTTTTAAAATGTTGTAGATGGTGTAAAATGTAACAATTAATTTCAGTTACCACAAATCCCACTACCCAACTGGCGCTTGCGAACAGTTCTCAGGCTCAATTGGCCATCGCCCAGCAAAACCTTGCGAACAACTTGGCGCAACAGGCCCAGCCGCAGTTAACCTCTCAAGCCCAACAGTTGGCTTTGGCCACAACCACGCAGCAGCTCACGTCGCAGGCGCAACACATAGCCAATCAACAGTTGGCATTGGCCACGACGCCCCAACAACTGTCGACGCAACCGCAACAGCTCACCTTGCAGAGCAACCCGCAAACGCTGAATCAGCAGTTGACGTCGCAAGCGCAGCAGCTGGCCAATCAGCAGCTGACCTCGCAGGCGCAGCAATTGGCGCTGGCGAATTCCACGCAGCAACTGACATCGCAAGCGCAGCAACTCGCGATGGGCAACACGCAGGCGCAAGCGCTTGCGGTCGCGAGCGTGCCGCAACAGATCGCGCTCGCCGCCAGCACGAATCAGCAGCTGATCGCGCAGCAAAATCAGCAGCTGGAGTTGCATCGGACGAACCCGTTGAACGCCATTAATACCTCGCAGGCTATCGCCATGTCGAATGCTTCGCAACCGATGGTCTCGTATCCGATCATGACGCAAAGTATGAATCACGCTTTAACCCACTGAATTTATCTTAACTCTTGTTAAGTAACATCAAATATCGTCAAATTTTGTTTACTTTAGACAGAAAGGCTAACTTATACCAGTGATATCAATGAATTATTTAAAAAAATTGTTTTTGTGAAATAGACTATGATTTCTACCATTTTACGAATTTGAAAAAATGGTAAAGTAATATTCTTCTTGGAACTACAAGACCCTTTGGGACGCCAATTTTTGGACACCCTGTAGTAGGGTTTTAAAGTTTCGAAAAAAATACGAAAAAATTGTGAAAAAACTGTTTTTTTTTCAGGCCTAGGAAAAATGGAATTTTTGGGTAAAATTATTGTTTTTTTTGAAAAATTACATATTTAAATAAAAAGTAGCAATTAACTTAACATTATTTTAATGTAAAAAATATCCTTTATTACAAAATCATGAATGATTTATAAATTTTAATTATAATTTTATAAATCAATGTGTAAAATAGTTATGTTATTACAGCACCAAATGTTTTTGCGGCCCGGTAGAATATTCTTACTGAATTAAAAATTAAAATAGAATAATTATTATAATCATAATGCTATATTATTATAATCAGCGTCGGAAATTCACTTTTTCTCGATGTCAGTTGGAAATTTTTTAAAAAATTCACTTTGCATTTTTTCGCATTACCCTTTGAATAAAATACAAAAGTCTAATGTATATTTTAAAAAATTATTTTTTATCTGACATTTAGTATAATAATTATTATTATTATTAGGACCGTTCATCATATTTTTTAAACCTAATGAGAACCAAATAGCTTAAGCTAAGGTTATTAATTAAAAAATATGATTTATAAAGCAAAAACCATGAGCCAGATATTAAATTTATAATCAGGCCCCTGTCTAGATTTTGCGGGACCTATAGTAAATATTTTAGACAGGGCCCTTAAGTATTATTTATTTCATAAAAAACATAAAAAAGGATAATAAGTAGGAAACGTCATCAATAGGAAAAAGCCCTGTTTAGAATGCACTTTCCAAACAGCCTTGTCAAAAGTGATCATTTTTAACGGTACTTATAATTGTTAAGTAGGTGGGTATTTAGTAATTGAATTCGTTATTTTTTAATCTTCGTTACATTTGCCTAAAAACAATAGTTTTTGACGTAAAAACACTCCAATAGAGGAAGTTCTATTTAATAAAGCAACGTAATTTTAAGAGCTCACATCATTAAATTGTTTAAATATTTTTAAAAATGTAGTTATTTTTAAGTAAATTTTATTAACCCAACTCTCAACTTAACTGTGTAAGTTATAGACCAGTTTTATTAAACATTGACAATCATTCCATTCAGTTTGTCTTCCAATTGCTTTCACAGTTAATAAAACACAGAATCTTCTTGTAAGAATAGAATTATATCGTTAAATATTTAAAATATTTTATTTTGAGGAGCACTCTATAGACCTAATTAATATACTTCTGAAAGGCAATAAAAAGACGTGAGAAATTCATAGTATGTTATTATCAAATTAAAGTAGCGATGTTTTAAAGACTTATCATTAAAATGCTGCTGTGACATAGGCATAGGAAACGTTTATTTATTTAGTGAGGTATTGTACTTTCAACCTACTTAAATATATAAGGAAAATAAATTATTTATGTATGTGATAAGTTTTTTTTATTTTATTTTAAAAACAAATGCCTAAAAATATACTAATAAAACTGTAACAATAGTATGTTGTGCGACTAGTGGGAGAAAGAGGACATTCCTCGAGCGAAATCTTCCCTTTCGGCCAATAGTCGCACACATTTTTAACCACTACCGCAAGAAATATACATAACGGTTTAAAAACAAACAGAAACAATGGGGTTGGAACTTGATGTCGAAAATCAGTGTAAAACCACTTATATTATAGATATTAGTCACTGAAAACAACCATACCGTTAAAAAACATTTTGTTCCCAACGAGGGGTAAACCACTTTAAAATCTTAGAGACAACCGTTCAATGTTAGTGGACGTTGTGTTGAGATTTTTTTCCTTATCAGTCGTTATCAATAAGGAAAACTTGCTTAATCGGTGCTTAATCAGTGCTTAGCGAATCAATAAGGAAAACTTGCTTAATCGGTGCTTAATCAGTGCTTAGCGACGCGTTGTACATGACTACCCTTGTTATTGTTATTCTTAGCCGTTAATTCGAAAGCGATTTTTAATTTTAAAAAATCAGTGGTTTACCCCTCGGTTCCCAACCATATAATAATTTTCAATTATAACTCTAAAGTCTATGTAGAATGACTTCATATTTATACTAGTTTAAAAGTCAAATTATTATAAATTTCTGTACAAAAATAAAATCTAAAATGTTATCATGATATCGGAAAAACTCAAATAAGTTTATATTCTATTTTTTTCTCAAGAATTTAATTGTAATATTTAGGTTAGGTTTAACTAACATGCATGTTAGTTAAACCTAACCTAAAAATGAGGTAACAGAATCTTAAAGAAATATTCCAATTAAATTCTTGCATGCATGTTAGTTAAACCTAACCTAAAAATGAGGTAACAGAATCTTAAAGAAATATTCCAATTAAATTCTTGAGAAAAAAATAGAATATAAACTTATTTGAGTTTTTCCGTATATAATGGTAACCATTATAACCGCCCCGGGAATAATGAATAATGGAAATGTCTGATGTCAGAATTTGTATATTTGTTATGATTGTACACTTATGTTTTGTGTGTATTCCTATGTACGGGGGCGCCTTAATTGATCTTCAAAATCGGGAGTAGAAACAGCATTGTATTACACTCCAGATAATGCGCATTATCTCTCATATTTAAGGCTCGAGAGCGACATGCGAACAGTTGGAATAGCTTTCCCGATTTCGCCGGGCCGTTGCTATACGCCCAGCAGAAACAAAAGGATATGTGGACTGGGGGACAGACATTTTGGTTTTTAGGTGACAATTACGCCGACTCAAATCTGTGTACGACGCGGAATCCCCCTAGACCGGGAAATTAGTATTACTCCAAACATTTGGGATTACTATTTGAAGTTGGGGAGTTGCTAGTTAGTTGTAGGGACTTCCTTGTCGTAGGCTACGGCTTGACGTGACGGTGACGTGGTTTCATTTGCGACGTTGAAGACGTCCGAGGCGGCTAGTGTTGTAACCACTAGCCAATAGCCGTTTTTGCCCTAGTCGTTTAAGACCAAGATCACACTATAATTATAGTGTGGTCTTTTATGTTTTAGTAACGAATGCTAAGTTCGATAATTGCATTTTCGACATAGGGACTATAAGTTTCTAGGTTCCTATGTTTATTTATGTCTCGGTTAGTTTACACACTTCTGTTTATTGGAAAAGGTCTTTTAAGTTTATGGATTTGGTGAATTACTTGGTGATTGATTTATTTGTCTTGCTCAGCTATATCCCGTGAATAGGTAAGGTAGCCTTTAATTCACTGTAGATACAATACATTATAGTTTATTTGCACTGTAGGAGTAGTTTATTGTCTCTATTAAAAATGCCCTATAGAACCCAGATAAGGAAACTAATATGGATTTATATGGTTCTATATGTCCTATATGGAACGACCTAGTTTACACTTTGGAATCTATATGGTTTAATATGGAATTTCATTTTTAAATGTACAACTTAGGGATTTTTATATGGATTTATCTGATTTCTGTTTTATGTCTTTCCATATAGGTTTTCCTATATGGTTGAATATGGAATTCCATTTTAAAATGTATATATATTTAAACGAAAATTGCATATTAAACCATATAGATACCCCTATATGGTTAAATATGGATCTATATGGTAATAATTTTTTCACACCCAAACCATATTGGGCCAGATAGAGCAATATTAACCTATATGGCAATCCATATAGAAATCACTTTTCTATATGGTTTTCCAGGTATGGAATTCTATCTGGTTCAATAGTGCAATGCCTGTTTCAAATTCCTATATTGAACCAGATAGATTTTTATTTTGTGTTTCTATATGGCATTTTTAATAGGGGTGGGATTTAAAATGTTGGTTTTAAGTGAGGTCTATGTTTCTATGTCTTACCTCGTCAAGACTTCGAACATGACTGCTTATTTAAACATCAAATATGAAATGGAAAAAAAATATTTAAAATAATACTAAATTTCATAATTTTAAATAAACTTTTTTGATTTATATTCATTGTTCAAATAATTAAATTTGGAATCTATTAAATATATTTGTTTAAAATTGATTTCTTAGTGTAGGCGGCAATTTGGTTTAGCCTATAGGCAGCAAATTTGTAAATCCGCCTCTCGACACATGTTACGCTCTCTTTAAGATCATTGAATCATTGATCAAAGTCGTGTGCGTAGATTCCAAATATGCAATAATAAATAAATTGCATGTCCCAACCCCATTGTGTCGCAAGAAATTTAAAGCCAATTTTGTTTTAAATTTTATCTGACATTTTATATGTGTCAGACACTTTTTTAAAGTTATTTTTTTCCAATTTTAATTTAAAGCCAACTTTAGTCCGTGGGCCCACTACTGGGCAAAATAGCATTTCGCCCACGGGGTGAAATTAAGTAATGAACAATAAGGCAATTCATTATTTAGCCCACTCTTAGTAAGGCCACTAAGTTACATATTTCTTGCGGGTGTTGAATATAAATTATATTTAAATATTAGGCATAACAATACATTTTTAACCGCCACAATTTCTTAAAAAACTTAATATATAATATTTGAACAGTAATTAGTATTTCTTCTTGAGCTCATTGAACCTTTTTGTCAAATCATCAAAATCAATATCATCGGATGGATTGTTAGATGGTATGTTAGGTAAAATATTTGATGGGACTGATGGCAAATCTGGTAAATCGTTCATTTTTGTCCTGGGCATTGGTTTCGGTTTGTCGTCATTGTACTAAAAATAAATTTAGTTTAGTTTTACATAAAGATTACAACTAAAATTGTGAGTGTTAGTTAGTTAAGATGTATGTTTAAAGAGAGTTAAAGCAAGACATTACCCTGCTTAAAATACCCCATAGAGACCCTGTTCAAACCGATAGATATTTGGTTTTTCTATAGGGTGTATCGGTTTGTATAGGACCCGTAGTTGAGATTTATGGTTGTTCTATAGGGATATCCACCATTGATTTATTTGCTATCGGTTTCAATGGGGAAAATACACATAAATGTAGAAATTAGTTTTTTCCCTATAGGACCCTATAGGTTTTAATAAAATTTTGTCAAATGTTTTATGGTTGCTCTATAGGGATATCCCTATATATCCTTCATTGAGTTATTTTCTATCGGTCTCAATAGGGAAAATGTAAAAGTTATGTGGTGCCTATAGGTAATTTCCTATACATTTTCTATCGGGCTGTATCCGGAAAAACCCATGGACAAATGCACATATAGAATCCGGTAGCGCCCGATAGATTATTTTGTATAGGTCTCTATGGGGTATTTTAAGCAGGGTAGTAATTACACATTCATGTTTTTTAAGCTTTTAGAATTGTGGTGATGATTATATTAGCACTTAAAACAGGATGACAATTATGCCATACCTCTAAATTATCATCACTCAAAGGATTATCATTTTTCATATCCTACAAATATAAATTATCAGGAAAAAGTATTTGTTTACTACTCTAAAGCATTATCTAAAGGCTATTTCATTAAGAGCGACGCATTTTTTTTAATAATATATTTTGGCATTTAGTACCACTGATACTATTAATTATAATTATAATTAATATACATATGTATTAAAATTAATTTTAATTATTATATATATATACATTGTGTCTACTTAAGTTGGCATTGCCAACTTGGCAACATATTATTAATTTTACGAAGAAAAATTATTCTTTATAAAAAGTTCTACATGTTCTAAACTCTAAAAAATCATCAGATATCAAATTTTTTAGGAGTAGTAAGTACCTTTATTTGTGACAATAACGAAAACTGTAATTATTAAAAGTTGTTCGGAATGAAAAACTATGTTTTAATATGTAATTACATCCTTCTACTTAACAATTTTTTTTCAAATTACCGATACCAACATTTATCTTTTTTATTTATTACAAACATGTAGAACCTTTGCGTTCCATTCAGGAAGTAATAAGCATTCAGTGTCAAACATTTCTTGCTATCAATAAATCATTTGTTTGTGAGTGCATCCTTGATTACATGTAACTGCAAGTATATTTGCATTGTTATTGTAAACAAAAAAGAAAAAATGATTCCATGCAAATGGAAGTAATTGCATATTTGAACGTAGTTTTTAGTTCTGATCAACTTTTGTTAATAAGAATTTTCGATATTGTCAATTGTACTTTACTCTTGAGTAAGATTCATATTTTTTGACAAACCGCGTATACGACCGAATTTTTTTTATATCTGATGATTGTGTTTTAGATTTTAGAACATTCAGAACTTTTAATGAAGAATAACTTTTTTTCTTAAAATTAATAATAAAAAAGTTTCCCATATGTTGCCATCTTAAAAAGTATATAATACAATCAATAGAGCAATAACAAAATATGCCACAAAAAAGTCTAGATTCCTTAAATCACACAATCGAGACGTACAAATGATCAAACCATTTCAATTACCCAACATCAACTTGTTGAAACCACAATCACCCAATTATCCTTAAATATGCCACAAACGGATTAAAGAGTTGCTCAACAGTTTATACTTTTGTCATCTATCTAGTGCAGTCAAAACATTTTCAAACGAATCAAATTTTGAACGATTATAAAGACCGAAAATTAAGGTAAACGGATGTGCGAGTTTTGATAAAATTAATTTATTGTCGAAACAAACCGGAGTAAAAGCCACAGATAACAAAAATGCGTTGTTCCTTTTGAAACAACATTTATTACTTCTACCAAGCTATATTAGTTGAATATACCTCTAAATCATTTTCTAAATTATTTTGACCTCCCAAGGTCCCATCCTTTGATGCATTAAAATAATTTTAAAATCAATTAAATATTTAAATAAAAAAAAACTTTAAATACAATTTAAATACAAAACCCAAAAGGAACAAAACACTACAACTAAAATCAACAAAAAATTACCTGTAAATTATTTGGGTAAAGGTTGTTATAATGTGGTAAATTATTATCCTAAAATGAAATAAAAAGAAAAACTAATTATCTAACACAAAGAAAAAACATAAAGTCAGTACATGCTTCAAATTGTATTTAAACCTTACCATAAAATCTGTGTTGGATTCTTTTGGCTCATTTCCAGGTGGTATGTTGTATGAAAATGGAGGCGGTGCCGAGGCTCCCATATCTGATGGATCTTGGTTTTTCTAAAAGTTTAAAGTAACAAAATACAAAAGTATTATAGGTACCTTTTAAAAAAATAAGCCTAAACTTAAATATAGGCTTTATAGAATGTATCTTTTGGGATGAAAATAAACGATTTGATTTGAATTATAAAGAACATGTTAACCTCAATTTTGCAATTTAAATTTAACTGCTATAGGACTGTAACAATGCTTCTCTCAACATCATATTATGCCACTATTATTGGTATCTACTTAAAATGTCAAAAAAACTTACTGGGTATGAAAACGGTGCTGGTGGCATTTCAAAATGAGGTAATGCTGGAGCTTGTGGAAAACCAAAAAATCCTGGGGGTTGGGGCATTCCTCCACCTCCTCCCCCCAAATTATTTCTATCCTGTGAAAGATCTATTAATAAAGCATCTTTGCCTAAAATAAAATATGAATACAAATGTACAATTAGACAACTATAATAAATAACATAATTTAATATTTCGGTATATTGTAAAATTTATTAAATATTTAATGGTAAATAAATACAATTTCTATTTTAGGCGCAAAAAAAAGTCTTTATTTAAATGTATGAGGCCGTTCATCACGCTTTAGGGTGGAGTGGGGTCGGACGATTTGTGACAAGGGGTGGGGGTCATTAACTACGTGACGTCACGAAAATTTGAATGAATATTTGTATAAGTCATACAAATATTCATTTAAATTTTCGCGCAGATTGTATAAGGATGTTAAAAATTTGAATTTGTGATGTCACTAGAGGGGCGTGGGGTGATACGTTTTGTAACTTCGTGTGACCCCCAGTTTTCGTGAAGTCAAAAAAATGTCTGGCTAAATCGAACATTTGAAGGGGTAAGAAGCAAAAGAGTACAAGTGCATTTTGGGATGAAAATAAGTTAAGTGCAGAACTGATAAGTTTGGTTCTCAAATTTTGTTTAAAAAATTATCATAATGTGAAAATTGTATGAGTTCTGCATGTTGATTAATGCAAACGACAATATTGAAACAAGTATCCAGATTTTTGTAAACAGCAATAATTTAGTTAATAACTCCACTTCTCTTTCTTGCACTTTATTTTTACAATAGAGGAGTAAAATAGTTGTACTTAGCACTTTAAGGACTCTTTTAAGGCTTACTATGAGAAACACAACGTTTAAAACGATTATTAATCTGTATAAACAGAGCACAAACCCAAAGCACAAAAATTGTAAACAACAAAAATGGCCGCCGTTAAACTGTGCAGTGTTGCAGTGATTTTTTAGTACGAGATAGAACAGACCTTGTTGTGTGGATTATGAACCCCTCTAGCCCTAGCTCTCATAGCTATTGCCAGACAAGTCGTCAAAATTCAAATTGTTTTTTAGTGACAGTGAATTTCATTACTTAACAAAATCCTTTAAATTTACTATATTTTCTAATATTCTAATCTAATAAGCAAAATTTTTTTTTTTTATATAAAAAATAATTTATGAAAAATGTTGTGCTTCATATTTTTGTATCTCCCCTGGCATTCTGTAATCCTAAAATATTGAGCTTGTCAACTTCATGAATGAGATGACTCAAAGCTAGCAACAAGAGATGAGAAAGCCATATAGGTATTGCCAATCATAATAAAAATGACCTATTAAATAAGAATTACCCATATTTTAAATTGTATCTACCTTTATCCAATTCCATGATTTGAGGATCAGGTTCATAATGTATATTATAAGATTTGGCAATTTCAATTACATATTTCTCCACCAAAATTTTTGGTGGTGCATGAATAGAAAGCTTATGCTTAAGTTTTGCACTAATAGTATCAACAGATTCAATTCTGCAAGCTTCTGCATATGAAGGTCCATACTTAGATGTTAACAAGTCTGAAACTATTTTTAATTCCTAAAAATATTATGTTTATTAGAAAGTTCAATTAATTGACCTTTTGAGATCAAACCTGGCAATCTGACTGCAACCTTGGAGAAACCCATATTAAACTGGACACAGCTTCTGCTATACCATCATCTAATTCTTTTATATTAGTCACCAATCCAAATCTTGCCAAGAGTAAGTCACAATACATTTCCACAATTTCCATTGCTTCGACTAAGTAATCCTCCCTAAATATATAAATATAATTACCTCAATGACCGTTAATTGTTTATAAGAAAGTTAAATACCTAATAATGTATTCGACTCGAATTTTTGCCCGTTCATACTTTCCGTTTGCAATAAAATCAGCGATTTCTCGTCGGGTCTTTTCAGTTTGTTCACTTTTTTTCTTTTCCAACAACTTAAGCCTAGCTATTGCCAAACGGAGGTTTGTCTTTAGTTTTGTATAATTTGGACCGCTCGAAAACATTTTGTTTATAGCTTACACAACGTTAAAAATAAAAGTATGATTCATATTTACGAACTGTCAGATAATGACGTCTGTCTAGTGCACAGAACATAAGTCTAGTGATAAATCAAAACTCCCCAAATTAGAAATTTTTGTATAGGACCGTACTCTATTATTGTTTAGCCCAGAGTCCTTGGATATTATTATACGAGACATAATATGCAGGCCACAGATTATAAAGGCTATTATTCACGAGTATGAGGTTTGTGTCTTGAGCCGCCCTTTTGAAAATCTGGGGATATTTTATGGAATATTCTGTCAAATATTAAAATATATTTTAATATTTGACAGTGTGTAGGTCTGTGGAACGACTATAGTCGTTCCAGCCATAGGTTAATTTACACGTAAGCAAAATAAAAATCGAACCCAATAATTTAATAATACAACCGTTGATTAATTTAACGATTCAACCAATACAAGTCATCATTACCAACGATTCAAGAACCAAGTCATTAATTCGGTCGAACCTGAATTGTTCGTTAATTATCTGTTCCTGAACCAGTAAGTGAATCAGTCGCGAACGAATCATTTTAAAAGAAGGCATTAAAAGAATTGTTCACCAAAAATAATCGAACTTCCCACCTCTATTATAAAAACCGTTTACATATTAGTAGTATCAGTAGTCTATACAGGGTGCACCCACTCATGAGTTTTTTTTTTCATGAGTTTTAAGTTGACGCGTTTCTTTTAACAGCGTGTAGAAGTTAGATAGACAAATAAATATTTTAAGTAACTTTTTTATCAAAACTCAAAAATAAGAGAGATATAGCCCTTCAAAATTTAATTAAATTTTGAGCCGGTCCTGGCTATTGTTAACAAAAAACATAACCATAAAAATAAAAATAACAAATGTGCAGTGTTGCCAACTTCAGCCATTTATGGCTAAATCTAGCATATTTAACAAGACATTTAGCTATAATTTTAAGAAATTCCGGGACCCCGGAATCCTGGCCTTTTTTTAAATATCATCTGGCTATGTTCTGGCTTTATTTTTTGACCCGTGTAAATTTTAAGCACACCATGAATATACATTAATAATATAAATTATTTACAACTAGTAATTTACAAGTTGTAAATTACAAGTAGGTATACAATATATTGTATACATGTGTATCGTGGGTCACATACATACATCTCTGGGTAGCTGCATTTACTAAGAGATGTCGCCTGCAAAAACTACGTCATATGTATACAATACAGATTTCTTTCTTATCATCTGTTCTGCATTTTTCTAATATCAAAGTCTGTGTTAAATATTATACAAATTTTGTTATTATCCAAGATAGATACAATACTTTTATCTATTTTGGTTTCATAATGACTTCATTATAACACCGCTTTTGGTTCTTTAATGAGGTACTTTATTCCACCCAACATTTTGATTTTATAGGTTGGCTACTGGTAAAATACAATTTTGAATACCTATAGGTTATAATATTTTTATGATTTGTTTTCTAGTACTTACGAGACTTTTCGTGCAATAAATTTTGTTTAACACCAAAGAAAATCCTTTTTTCTTCTTTAACAGCCGCTTATTGTAAATACTTATTGTAAATTAACGACGCCATGGCGCCATAGCGAAAGAATGTGATAATGTTTGAAAGGTTAATGACCTTTCAAACTTCAAACTGAGATACCAACTATGTAAAGTAAAATTCGACCAAATTAAATATAAGGTATAAAATTAATTTGTTTTATGAAATGTTTGCAAAATAGATAAAATAGCATAAAGAACTCATGTCATGACCTTTTCTCGCACTTGTCCATTATAAAACTCGCTCCTTCGTCGCTCGTTTTATAAATTGTCCGCGTGCGACAAAATGACGTCTTATGACATTAGTTCTTTAATATGATAATAAGGTGTAAGTAACATACACCTTTTTTGTTAGCGATAGTACCAGAGTCGTAGTTTTTGTTTGATATATTTGTCAAATATTTACTTATGTTTGTTTTTTTTTTGATAAAACAATAAATTTTTAATTTTTGTTTTAATTATTTCCTTACCAATTTTAAAATTCAGGTGTTTTTTTACTACTTTTGATACGTTTTTAAAATTTAGCCATAATCTAGCCATTTTAAACTTTACATCTAGCTACTTTATTGCATTAAGAGTTGGCAACACTGCAAATGTGTCATTTTGGTTTAAATGGTTATGTTTGTTGTCATAGATGACATTTTGCATTGTTTATTTTATTTTTATGTTTATGTTATGTTTTTTGTTAACAATAGCCAGGACTGGCTCAAAATTTAATTAAATTTAAAGGGCTATAACTCGCTTATTTTTTGAATTTTGATAAAAAAGTTACTTAAAATATTTATTTATTTATTTATTTGTCTATCTGATTTCTACAGGCTGTTAAAAGGAACGCGTCAACATAAAACTCACCCTGTATATGTCATCTGTTAGATGGTTAACCTCACTTTCCACCAATTTTAAATATTATAGTCGCCCTTTCCCGATTGGTTTAAATCACTTCAATTAAACTAAATGTATTATAACCTTACTAGTGAAGCTTCCTCCAGATTTTAAAGATCATTATTATAAAATGTATGTATATCTGTTAGACAGTTCTAACCTCATTTTTTTTCCTATTTAAAAACAGGTTGGTTTAAATCAGTGAATATTTAATGCCTAACAACGTGAATAATGATTTCAATATTCCCGACGTTAGGTGGGCGGTTAAAACCCTTAATGGTTACCACATACGGAAAATCACAATGTCAATATTATGCAATAGAAGTAAAAAAAAAACTAATATTAATTTAAAATAATATATAATATTGGGATTGCATTTTTATTTGTGGACAAGGTACATGTAACAACAATATTGTTTTAATGGTTAAATATTAATTCTATGGTTTATACTTGAAATCTCCTAGGCCGGAAATTCCCAGGCCTTCAATTACAAAAGTCACGCCAGCCGGATCTTCCGGGACTTCACCATTCACTTCCATTTTTGCTGTCGTTACAAAAAGCTTGTCCAGCTCAAATCCACCGAACGTCACAGCAGTAACCTTAAAGAAAATGTTTTAACGATTTTTTGGAAATTTTCTTGTTGGTAAAAAATACTAATAAACCTACTTTAACGCTTCCACAAAAGTATTTTTAAGTAAATTATATTCTGTATAATTCAATTATTGTAATACCTGTTCGGCTGGAATAGGTATCCTGGCCAATACTTTGCCAGTGCGTGGGTCAAAATGAATTAGATGTCCGCCAAAAATGCAGGCAACAATCAAGTTTCCATCCATGTCGATTACAAGACCGTCAGGTTTACCTTCTACGAAATTATTTTCAAAATCGAACACGCACGTTCTGTTACAAATAGTTCCTGTTTTGGGATCATAATCATATTGATAAACCCCTGGGAATAATGTATCAATATAATACATTTTATTTTCTTTAACATCCCAAGCCAATCCATTGGAAATTCCAATGTTGGTTTCGTGTTTTAAAAGAAGGCCTTTTGAGTAACTGTAAAGAGAACCTCTTCCTGGAATGGTGTCGCCATTTTCATCAGCTGGTCCCATAGTGCCTAAAATAGAAATTTATAAGTTAAAAAACTGATATCGCATACCTCTAAGATGCAACCCCAAGCAGCATTTTATGTTTAAATAACTACAAATTTACTACTAAGTCTTACGTAGTATTTTTTAGGGTTTACCAAAACGGTTTAATACCGTTATATATAATTATATATAACGTTAACGGTATTAAACCGTTTTGGTAAACCGTAAAAAATACTTTATAGTTGACTTTGTAGTTATAATTTATAACGGTATAAAACCGTTTTGGTAAACTTATAAAAAGACAAATTACCAAATTTGGGGGATGGTTTATTTCGTAATTTTACCTACATAATAACCTTTTTGATCTATAGATACTAAGAATAACGGAATAAAAACAACAGTGGTGGATTTTGCGTATACCGATATCTTGGTTATTAGAAATGGGACCCACACCAAATTTATATGAGTTTATAATGACACTAAATTAACAAGTTCTGCGAAAGCAGAATTTGAATAGAAGTTTGGGAAAAAAATATAGTTTTTGCTGCAGCTCCCCATTCCAAAAAAATATTAAAATTTATTTAAAAAATACCAATATTACACCAATATTACCATTTTAAATTTCTATTACCTATAGGAAAAGTATACTTTTCCTAAAATAGATGAAAAAAGCGAAGATGAAAATGATTTTTTATTTAAAAGATATCCTTCCATTGTAAATTTTTTAGAGAAGAAATTATATAATCAACCGAAACCCTTCAACATTTCTTCCTAATTACACTGTATGGAAGTGAAAATATCACATCTAAACGCTCGGACACGTAAACTTAATTTTTGGTCGTAGATTACAAATCCGTGCTTGGTTTAGCTGTATCAGGTCAAAATTCAAAGATATTAAAAACACCCTGTATAAATTTAAACACCTATTATAAATTTAGAAAAAATTAAATTAAAAAAAAAATATTGCAAAATTTGAAGTTAATTGATCAAAAGGATAACGGATAATTGGCAAAAAGGCGTGAAAAATGTTTGTAATAAATGATCAGTTATATGTGTGTTAAGTTTTAAACAACAACAAAGACTATATATACTGAAGACTATATACATATGTATACTAAAATTTATTGTGACACTTCCCTTCTGAAGATCACAGAACAAACCAAAAAAAAAAAACCTGAAGATGCGTTGGCGAAAAGTACTTTAAGCAATTTGTGTTTTGTTTTGGTGTTGGGAAATATTTCTAATATTTGTTAGCAAATGTTGTGAGTACTGTAGTATATTTAAAAATACGTAGGTACTGTTGTTCCCAAAAATGAAAAGAGTTCAATATAAACGAGAAAATGCTTCATATATCCTTTTTTATCGTAATATTCTTTCATTTAATTATTATTTGTAAATACTCGAGATTTGTTCAAATATTTGCCCAAATTAACGTCAAAAATGTGGCATCGTTTTGTTCATTCCAAAGGCGAAAGGACAATTATTGTCCTAGTTTTGACCTAATATGGCTCTTTGGGTCCTGTAGTTTAATATCGTATTGATACTTTTGATGAAAGTGAAAGTGAACAGTTTTTGTGATATGGTCAATTCTCCATATAATATGGAATTGGCTATATCTCAAAAACTGCTCTACTTTTATAATTTTTTAAGGTATTTTCGGATTCAGAGGACCATTTATATAAGAATTGGCTGTTAAATGTTGGGATACAATGGTATCCCATGGTTAACCACTTAGTCACTTATAACTGAGGAGTGATTTTTCAAAAGGCCTTATTTCCATTTTTACTTTATTGTAATTTTTGACAAAATCCTAAAGGTATGGTTAAAAGGCATATATTAACGGCGCAATATGACAGAAGGTCTAAAGTATTATTAAATATTCATCAGAATTTTTTTTTAAATAATCTATATTGCCCTAACCTATACAGGTTATAGTCATTTTTTTGAAAAATTGTTGCAAATGAAAGTACGACCTTTTGAAAAATCACTCCTCAACTGTAGTATTTAGTCATTTTTGACTAATTCATTTTTAGAGAGAAGGCATTCCAGCGGCACCTGTCCCACCCGCCATTATTTAAAATATGATTAAGACAGATATTTATCTGGGTAAAAAATACAAAATAAGTTATTTTTGTTTTACCTGCCCATAGTCTTCCATAGGGATCGACTTTGCCGCCATTCCAACGATTGGCTAGATAGTCTTCTTCCCATTCGACTTCGGTGATTAGTTCAACTTTTTGAACGACTGGACACTTTCCGTCCCACGTCACGAAAACCAATTTTCTTCCTAATCCCGCTATAAACTTCTTGTCGTCCCCTTCAACAGGGAACATAAATGCCAAAGGCTCATCACCTGAAAGCATAAAGTAAACAATAAACAATAATTTTTGGAAAGGTTTTAATTTTATTTTGTCGTTTACCGACTGTGGCTTTTGCAACGCGGTTTCCATTGTAACAGTACTTATATATAGTCGAAGTCTTTACGTCCACAAAATACAAAATTTGTCTATCCTCGTCCCAGAAAGGCCTAGTGCCAACTTCCAATTGTTCCCCATCTAAAGGGCATATAGTTATCGGAATCTGCTGTAGTAAAGTTCCAACTCCCAGCAAATTTATGGGACTTCTTATTATTTTCGGTATATATTTTGTTGTGGCTTGAGCTAGAAGGTTTGGTTTGGTAGGGAATTTTAAAGAAATTTTTGTTTTTTACCGATTTTGTTGCAAAGTTGAGGTCCATGTTGAATTAGTCTACTAAACTGAAGAATTTTGGATAATCGAAAGTATTTATTCATTGTAATTTAAGTCGGTTACATGAACCATTTTAAAAACGTCATTTTTTATTGTAGACAACGATTTTGAGGGACAGTTTGTCAGAATTTGTCAGGACTTACCTATAGTAAGGTAGTGTTTAAAAATATTAAAAAGAAATATTAAAAATTTAAAATGGTATAAAAAATTAATTAATGTGCAATATCATAGTCACTTGTAAATAAAACCGATTTACCATCATTGCTGATTATTTCCCTACAAATTTTGGGGGCTCAACCGGGATTTGGATATTTAAAATGAAATTTGAAATTTTCTCAATAAACTATGGTAAATAATAAATTGCATCAAATAAATTTATATTATATTATATTCATTGGGGGCGCCATGGGGCCGGTACGGCCGAGCAAAAATTTATATTTTGTTCACAAACTTTAATTTAAATTCTGCTTGCGCAGAACTTAATAATAATAATAATAATAATAATAATAATAATAATAATAATAATAATTCTTTATTTGTCCAAAGATCACAAAGTGATATAGGATAAGTCAAAATAATACATAAAGCAAGTAATACACAACTATTTAAAGAAGTTCAATTTAGATGTATTTATTAAAATTGAATGAATTATATTCATCAATCGAGTAAAAGGCTTCTGTTGTCAGTATAAACTTAGTTTTTCTCATATAATTCTTGAAAGGCAAATCTCTGATACAAGCTGGTAATTTGTTATAGAGCTTAGCTTTGTTTATTTAGTGTCATTATAAACCCATATAAATTTGGTGTGGGTCCCATATCTATAATTGAGATATCGGTATACCCAAAATCCACCAGCCTATATATGTAAAAGAAAACAACAATAATTGTAATGTCTGTGCTTGATTCAGAATTTGATGACGCAATTACTATAGATTACGGATACTAAAGAAAAAATGCGAAAGTAATTTTAATGCTAGTAGTGTTTTAAAGGCTTTTTTGTGTAAGTTGCGTTAAAATGTATTTTTATCGAAAATTATTATTTTTTGAACGGCGTTACCAAGTAAAAATAACATAAAAATGTTCCTTTTATAAAAATGTGTGTATTTTTTAATTTTACAACAAAAATCCCATTTCCGGAAAAAAGCAGAAAAAACAGTTGTTCTTCAATTTTTCCGTTTTTTCCGACGCTTTATATTTCGTAAACCTAAATTTATGTGTGTAAAATTTTATACTGCAATTTGTCTTGTGTTATTTTGCTCGATAAACTTATTCTTTTCTTGATATATGCAAAAACACGACTTTAATATAGGGTACTTTTTGTGATATCAAAATAAATTTTTCCACAAAAATTTAGCTATACCTAGCTACTTAAAGATTTTACTCTGCTAAATTAACCCCGACGCATTCGCCAGTTTTGCAACTTTATTTTTTAAATGTTAATATATTAAAATATTATAATATAGATAACAGTATGTTTTATATAAGATATATATATATATATATATTATAATATATAATATTTTGACAGACTTAATAAAGAAAAATGTAATATAGGTATATAGTATATTTCAATCAATTAAACTTGGTATTTTAATAAAGTAGGGTATATAAATTCCTTACCAACTTTAGTTTTAACTGTTTCCCCGGTCTCGTTGTCGTATTTATATGCATAGGAAGTCGGAACATCAACAAAATACAAACATTTCTTTTCAGCATCCCAACAAGGTCTCGTTCCTACCTCCAAACTTTCCGAAATCGGCCTAATTATCATTTTATCAGTCATTTTTTTCGGCTTTCCATTCACCACACTAAAACCAAATGCTGGATCTCAAATTATTTTGTAATTAGGATGGGTCATAACCCGTGCTGTTTGTTTATATAAATATCTATTAAATTGATACCAATTAAATAATCGTATCTAGCGATTAAATTTATGTCCTGTGCGAGACATAACAAACTGGTTATCGAAGATAACAAAGTAAGATTGTAGCTGATTTATTTTTTTTATAATTGATAAAGGCAATTTTTATAAACTAATATATTGTAAAAAAAAAATTTTAAATGCTTTTATATGAGGCGCCATATGTTCCATAATTATTTTATTCGATAAATAAAATGTTTTGCAGAAAAAAGAATACATAAGTAAAATTTACTACAATTTTACAAGTTTTATATAAGTTTATATAAGTTGATATGATTCTAAAAATTATATATATTGAATTTAGCACCATGCAAAGTTCGATATAAAATTTTAGTTTAAAATTTCATGAATTTTATTTGTTGTATAATTTTAAATTTAAATTACCCATCATTTATAATATCGATGAACCACCGTAATTACCGCCGTTATCTAAACAATAAGTGTGCAAATGATGATTTTTTGCATGGTGCTAAATTTGATATATGTATATATTTTTTCGAATGTTATCAATTTTTATAAAACTAATATTTTAATATATATATATGGAAAATTTTAGTAAATTTTACTTATTGTTATTGTTTTTTCTGCAAAACATTTTATATATCGAATTAAATAATTATGGAACATATGGCGCCTCATACTTTTAAAACAGTTAGGTATTTTGATAAAAAATATTGCTTTATTAATGAATTTCCTAAACGAAAAAATGAAATCTTACCTACATAAATGAACACAAAAAAACATACACACAATTAAATAACACACCATTCTGAAATCATCAAATCAAAATATAATGAAATTTGGTACAATATATGTAATTATCAGTACTACTACAACACTTACTAATGTATTTCGTAACTTTAACCCACTATATGCCCTAATTTCAGTTTGAAAACCAGTGATGGCATCTTTTTCGGATACTTCGCACTTTGCACACTCGTTAAATAGGTATAAGAAATCCGAATAACAATGATAACAGATTTCTGGTACTATATTATAAACCCTCTGGACAGTTGTTACGAACACGTTACGAATTAGAATAAAGTAAGCATAAACATAAGTTACAGACGCTGAAGTTAGTTGAACTTGTTGATGCGTATTGTCAGTGGGAAATGTTTTGATTGACTGCCTGAAATCACGTGTACTTTTTCAACAAAATAATTTGTTAAACATTAACAAAATAATCTGTAACCTTTAAAATTAACAAAATGCTTACAAAATTGCATATTAGGTACCTTTACAACTCTTTGTTAAAATAATTGGTTTTCTACAAAAAATTATGTTAAAATTTAAAAAAAATAACATTAACAAAATACAAACTCATTTTAATTAATCTGATATTTATAACTTAACTATAAATTTCAATTGTTTATAATAAATTTATGCAAAATTCGTTTATTTAAACAAATTTACCTTAATTAAATGATCATTCAATAGTCTAAACATTGCAACAATAGTGTGTAAAATTTAATTCAATTATACAGAGTGGTCCCAGAGATTCTATTTTTTCAATTTTACCATGCTCTAAAGTTTGACAAAATTATTAACTTTAATAACATTACTAAAGAAGCTAATTTCAAAACAATTTTTTTACTTTGACATATGCGTTATGCCTACTACACAATAATAATAAATAAAGGTGTATGTATTTTGATAATATTATCACATATGTGATTATTTTTAAAATCGGTGATTTCGTGAAATTTTCTGGTACCACTTGATGTGGCTTGACTCTAAACTTAGTTAACCTGTTAATTAACACATTTCATTTTTAAATGCGCTTTAAAAATTAAATAAAAAAACAGAAATCCAAGTAGAAATCCGATAGCTATGAACGTACTGGTAGGTACCTATTGTTTACAGATAAGTGTTTTGTTTTTTAGGTTAAGTTTTTCTATGGTATTCTTAGATAGGTACCTATAGGTATGTATACATACTTACATAAATATGATTTTAAATATTGCTTACATTTTTTGAATTAAATCTTAAAGCAAATAATTCAAGAAACCCATAAAAAACAACTACTTAATAACTATAGTTTACATAAATCTTGTTTTATTTGATTTTTAAAAATGCTATTAAACTCTATGTATTTGTTGATGGGTCCGATTAAAGGATAGATTTTAAATGTGATTAAACAAATTTTGCTTAAAACAGATATTACCCTTAAATTTTTCTAACGAAAGGAAATAACAATTTAAAAATGTGTTTCCATATAGGTAGCAATTACATATATTAACTGGTTTTGATTACTCCTTAATTTTGTTCATAATATTGTTTATTGGTTCATGAAAAATGTACATTTAATTAATAGGAAAAATCGAATATTTATTCCTGTTTACAACTAGGTATATTAATAATATTAATTGTAAACAGAAATTAGTATTTCTCTACAAGTAAACAAAAACTAAAAAAAACACGTAGTTAAACTTTTAATTGTTGAAATTTGTTTCTTAGCCTAAGTAACAGGTGGTTGTTAAATCTTTTATTAAACATAACCAAAAAAATAAACTACTAGAAGCACAACATACATATGTATATACCATGCTATAGCATATATATTAGACTGGTTCAAAAAAATCGAATATTTTTTTTTCTTCAAAGCCCGCATTAAAATGTCTTCCTAGTAGTGAAAAAAGAAGCTTGTGAAAATTGTAGCTCTTAATATTAATATTTAGAGGTCGCTCATCGTGAATTTCTATTTTACGTTTAAATAACACAGGAATTCTTTTTTCTTAACTTTGAAATTTTATAACTCGTTTTTGAGTGAACATATTGGAATGAACTCTATATATTTTTGAAGAAAATTGAACGTTCTACAAAAAATATCTCTTATAATTTTTTTCGTAAATTCACTCCTTTAATAGTTATTCAAGGTTGAAATTAGACATATAATAAATGTAAGGTTTAAATAACACAGGAATTTTTTTTAACTTTTAATTTTATAACTTTTTTTTGAGTGGACATATTGGAATGGGCGATAATTTTTTTTAAAGAAACATTAAAAAAAATTAAAAAAAGTTCACAAAAATCTGGATTCGAACCCACACTAAGCAGGTTACAGTTGAGTTCAAATCCAGATTTTTGTGAACTTTTTTTATGTTTCTTTAAAAAAAATTATCGCTCATTCCAATATGTCGATTTTTTTGAACCAGTCTAATATATATATTAAAGAAATGTGCCCTTTTGTTTACCTTGCGTTCAAAACCGCTAAAACAAAAACCAATTGAATAATTAAAAATGATGTCATCGTTGATTTCAAAGTCAATGTTTGTGGTTATACAGTCGTAGCATTTTAGGGTATAAAAGCCGTTATAAGCAATATTGAGCGTGCCAAACATAGATTGTTGTACAAGTAGGTATATTACATAAAAACGTACGTGCCAAGCGACGGCGTCGCGACGCTTCTATAATCAAACTGGGGTTCGAGATTTTTGTGACAGGTTTCATTCGATAAATTTGATCCTGCGCAAGCTAGATAACAACATTTTTGTATAAAAGGATGCCTTCAATAGGTTTAGGAAAAGGAAAAATTTTTGTCTACAATTTTTTTCTCTAAAACTTTTTAGAGAAAAAAATAATCAAGGTTTCACCTTATTCCGCAATGGATCGGATCCCGCAAAGTTAGGGTTGAGCTTTTCTTATTTAAAAGCCTCAAATGATTTAGGCAAAAAGATGACTTAAGTCAAATTTGATCTTTTTTTTTTCAAAAGAATGGCTGAACTAAAAATGTTAAATATTTAAAAAACTAGGAAGGTAAATTAAACAAATCACTTAAATTCTCAAAAAAATAATAATAAAAGTTATTTATTTGCCAAAATTTAATAAATTAATAAAAACCTTTTATTTGCAAAATACAATCTAAAAATAATTTTATTTTAAAAATATAATAATTAGAATAAACTCACGATGCACAAGGGATCGGATCCCGCAAAGTTAGGGTTGAGCTTTTCTTATTTATAAGCCTCAAATGATTTAGGCAAAAAAATGACTTAAGTCAAATTTGATCTTTTTTTTTTCAAAAAATGGCTGAACTAAAAATGTTAAATATTTAAAAAACTAGAAAGGTAAATTAAACAAATCACCTAAATTCTCAAAAAAATAATAATAAAAGTTATTTATTTGCCAAAATTAAATAAATTAATAAAAACCTTTTATTTGGAAAATATATTTTCCAAATAAAAGGTTTTTATTAATTTTGTATACAATCTAACCAAAAACACAAAACACTCCTGCAAGAAGAAATATAATTAAAGCTACTTACAATTGCACATTAATGTTTGCAATAAATAAATATATTTGTATTTATAAATACCAATATACTTACTAAAATCTTCCTATTCAACAAAAATTATTAATATGAATTTGAGGACATGGTCAATTTGACAATTACAAAAATAAGACATGACAAATACGATTTGGGGATTTTTTAGTGAATTTGAAAATTAACTAATTAAAACATAACCGAGTGTTGCACAACAAAATTTTCTTTAACCAGCTATTATTGATTAATCCGTAATTTATTAATCTGTTGTTAATCGGACTTTTATACAACTGGGCCTAAATCACAATAATTAGAAAGAATCGTAAGATACTGAATCTTGTCTTCAGTACCGCGAAAAAATTTTAGCAGTGCCCCTCTGACTTCAAGAAAATTCAACCCCTCATGCTAAGTACCGACTTCATAGTATGCCGTTTAGCTAGTCGTTATTTTACTAGCTGAATTATTTTACCCCACTGTGCGTAATCCTTAGTTGTCGTTAGTTGCCCTTTATATGACTGTATTGACTTTTCTGTATTTAGGTTACTTTTTCATTGCCTGCTTGTTCAATATACTTTAAAAGACAGTTGTTTATTGTTTATTTTAGTTTCGTTAAGTTCTAAACACTTTAGTTTTATTGGGGCTGGCCTCTTGGTTTATGCTTATATTATGTTTTGTGACGTTGGTTAATTTACACTTTTACGCTGATTTCCATAATAATGATTGATTATTGAACTGTTTTTGTTCTAAGTTTGCGTGTTAGGTCATTTGGTTAATTATTATCAGATTTTGCAGCTGATGGCCCCCTTCACTCTTTTTTAGACTCGTTTGTTCTTTACATAAGGTGATTCATATTGGCCTGTGGTTAGTCCGCCAGGTATACTGTCACTTATCGCTATTAAGTGTACTTCCGTGTCCGTATGGTCTTTATTCACTGTATGGTCTTTATTTACTGTATTCACTTGTTAAGAGATTGCTTTTTAATGCTATAATTTAATGTTTCTTTTAAGATTTTGGATAACATGTTCACTAATTTTACCTGCACAGGTAGTAAAACTTTGCACTAATTTCACACAGTATTTTTCTTGAACTACACTGTTTAAGAGCGATTTTTATTTTCTTTAAGTCTTTTATTATTATTAGGTTCACTTAGGAGCTCAAGAGCACATATATTCGACTGCCCGTCTGTATTGGTACTGTTAATTTATTTTTTTAAATCGATTTATTATTTCTTAATAAATTTATCGTAAATAATTAAACAAGAATTTTTTTATTATACCTTCTTACATTTCATGCGATATCTTTTTAAAAAACTGATAATTTAAGAGCATTACATTATCATTTATATTTATTTTTTATCCAAAAAACTCCCATGGTGGACTGAATTTATAAAGTATAAGTAATATTAATTATATTAGTAATTTTGTATATTTATGTTTCTTATTTTAATTTCTTATAAATATACATTTACAATTACTTAAAGTTTAACGCTGACACCTGGGAACCCTTTAACTCCAAGTCCAGTTACTCTAAAGGTAGCTCCGTGATCTGGTGGTGGTAACTCCACACCATTAACTGTAAAGGAAGCACTGGTCACGTAAAGTTCGTCCAAGTTTGGTCCACCAAAGGCAACTGAAGTTGTCTAAAATACAGAACAATAATAAAATAGCTTTTACACATTATACCTTATTAACTTGTTTAGCTGGAATTTCAACAGTTTGCAGTAACGTTTCGGGTTTTCTTGGATCTATTTTTATCACTCTGTAACCATTGAATATGGCAACCCATAGATTACCATCGGTATCAATACACATACCATCTAAGACTCCATCAACGCCATGTTTTGAAAGGGTGAAGACATTTCTACTGTTGCCTTAAATTAAAATTTATTTGTGAATATATGTAGTTGTATTTATTTTTAATAAGTCCTAAATAAATTTCTTTAAAATATGTTTTTGCTAGATAACTTACTTATTGTGCCATTTACGATATCAAAATCAAATTGTTCCAAATATCCTTTATGTGAATCAATGTAATACATTGTTTTGTTGTCGGTAGTCCATGCAAGACCATTTGATATTCCAATCTTACTTAAATGTTGTTTGGCTTGCCCCTTGACCAATGAAAACAGGGCTCCTTTTTCTCTTTTTACTGCTCCGTTCTCGGGCTCGCCGCCCATGGTACCTTAAAAATTAATTTAATAAAAGTTTTTTTACATAAGTTAATTCTTTTAAGATGGCGTTCAAATTATTTTGACAATGTATTGTATTAATAGAAATCGTAAGCTATTTTTATAACTGTTGGGTCTTTTTAAAATAATTTAAGTACAAATACCTAATATTTAAATCTTTTTTGAGTTTGAACAGGCAAAAATATATATAATTTGTAAATTTATCTATTAACCTGTATATATTACTTACTTACTTACTTATATTCTCTTATTGTCTCTATTAATTATAAATACATTTTAAAGTAATAGTAAATGCAACTACGTCAATAACCTTTTAACTAATTTAATTTTCTAAACCAAGTTTTTGCCACAAGTTTTTACCAGAGCTGGCCAAGTACTGAGTACTTTTACTCAATTACGAGTAAAAAAGTACGAGTACTTTTTTACTCATAAGTATTTTTCATTTGAAATACTTATTACTCGTACTTACAAACCAAATTCAATGTAAAAAATACTCGTGGAATTCACGAGTAATATATACGAGTATTTTCGTTTATTATATGGATGACTTTTTGCCAAAATTTCATAACATTTTGTTTGGAAGTCCGTTTTAAATTATATAATATATTATAGCCTTTATAAAGAAAACACTCATTTATTATTACAAAATATAAGTTACGAACACATTTCTTTATAAGTACCATAAAGTTATAATTTTTAAATTTTGAAATATAATAAATAAACTTTTTGTTTAATTGGTAAAACATGATGAATTCCTAGAACTTAATTATTGCCTCAAGATAAGATATCTCTAATTTTTTAATAAATAATATAGAATAGATTTTAAACAGACGAAGGTGTTTTGCTGGTTGATGTCTTGGTTATTAACAAAAAAAGAGTATTAGGTAATAATTTGGCGGTTATTTAAGAAGTTATATGAATAATAGTTAGCTGTCATGGTTTAAATGTATTACACTGGTTTAATATCAGTAATCTTACAATATCTACAGAATATTACACTATGAGGTAAAAGTTAACTCATCGGGTAATAATAAATCTACGAAGAGATGATTCCTAGACGTTTTTATTATTATTATCCAAACAGATTTCTTAATACTTATTGTTATATATTATTTATTGCTATAGCATGGTGTTATATGTAATAACTTATTACTATTTACTAATAAGATTCATTTATACCCAATAAACCACTGGAGTGGGGATAAAAAAGTACCTATGCCGCATAGGCTATGCGAGTTTCGACTAGTTCAGTTAAGACTCTTAAGAGATTTAGTCGATTCACATCATAGAATAGTAATAGTTGTATCATTAAGTGGAATAGTATATTAAAGTACAAGTTGCAGAAGGCCACATATTCTCGCACGAATTCGAAATTTGGCCTCGAGCGACGAAGGAGCGAGTGGACGAACGAATGAGTGCGAGAATAGCCTTCTGCAACGTGTGATTTATACTATTTTCTCGATTTTAACTTTTATTTAGGTTTTTTTAATTGTTTTGTGGTCGTTGTTAGTTAGGGGATTTTTCTCGCAAAATGTCAGTTGGCAACACAAAATGACAATATTTGTTATCCTGCACAAGTACAACCTGAACTGCACTTTTACACATTAAACTTAAAATTTTGCATTAAAATGCATTGTTGGAGCAAACTTTATATTACAAAACAATAATAAAGGCTTCATTTTCAATAAAAGTAATGAATTTGAGGTTATTAATCAGTTTGACATTTTGGGGGTACCAATACTTAAAAACTAAATGTTACCAAAAATCGTTTAAGAATGAGCTTCATTCTTCAACGATTTTGCGTGCGAGAATATGACATTCTTACATAAAAATCGAGAAACGTTTTTTTGTGTGCAAATTATGGAAAATTCCAAGGCAGATTGTCAGGAACTCTTAACAACTAACTAAGGAACTCTTATCTAAGTGTACTACTGTAAAGAATATCACTCCAGTGGCATTGCACAGAAACGGCATTTATGTTTTCTTGGTAAAAAAATACTAAAAGTAATATTTTTATGAAAAATAATGAAATCATATTTTGTTACCGGAAGCTCATTAAAGATGAGTGGTAACTTCGGATATTTAGTCAGTTCTAAAAGGATTTTTTTATTTTTATATACCGGGCTTGGTATATACCTACGGATAAATAAAACAGGAAATATAAAGCATTAAAAAAATAAAAATTAAATTCTTTTAGAACTATTATAGTTCTAACTACAAATCATTGATTTGAAATCAGAAGTTACCACTCATCTTTAATGAGCTTCCGGCAACAAAATATCAACACATTCTTTTTTCTAAAAATATTACTTTAATTATTATTATTTTTATGTACTCATAGGTATAAGCTTACTCTAAATGTATTCATTTTTCAATGGCGGCTGGTGGATTTTGGCTATACCGATATCTTAGTTGGTGTGGGTCCCATGTCTAATAACTAAGTATCGGTATACCCAAAACCCCCCAGACGCCACTTTCTTTTTTTTGTTCTGTTACACCTTAAATATTTTTAAACTTTCTTTAAAAATAAATTTTCTTATAAATACACACTTTTATTTATTACCTTATACAATCGCACTGTTATAAATACATGCTATACTAATAATCATACATTTCTAATAGTTAAAATATGAATTGATAATTGCAATTAATTAAAATATTTATTATTATTTCTCGCATTATAATAAACACCTATTGCCTTTTTAATACAAAGCTCTTGTGGATGAAGTATTACCTTAAGTTAATTTACTATAAATAGGCTTTTCTAATATAAAGCGCCTGTGGATTAACTATTAAGTGAAGACCAATTACTATAAGAATACTTTTCTAACATAGCGTTTTTTTTATTAATAGCTAACTAACTAATGTTTTAACTGTTACCGAACTAACTTTTTTTAACAAATAAATATGATATACTTTAAGATGTGTTTACTATAAACCCATATGAGGTCGGCAAAATACAATGCTACGTTAAGGTGAATATAAACCTATTTCGGTGTTTACAACCACTCCTTTCTCTCTGTGTAGGTTTTATAATATGTAAATATGTAAAATTATAAACTATTTAAGAATTGTTATTATTTTATGTACATAATGTTTAAAATAAATTATCAATTATTCCATATTATATGGAAAATGGACTATATCTCAAAAACTGTTCTACTTTTCTAACTTTTGACGACATTTTCGGATTCAGGGAACAGTTTTACATGGAAATTGACTGCTAAATGTTATAAATACAAATTTCTATTGACGAGAAATATTAGTGGCTGCTTTTTCGCTATGACCATTAGTCATTTTTGACTAACCCATTTTAGAGAGTAAAGAATAATCAATTATATTAACTAACTTTTTTTTTTTAAAGTACTTGTACTCTTTACTCGTGTTTTCACGATTACTACTCGTAACCGTAACCTCTCTTTACAAATGTACTTACGAGTAAAGTACTTACGAGTAAATATTTTAAGAACTCGTGCTTAAAATTTTACGAATACTTTTTTTAGTACTCGTGCCCAGCTCTGGTTTTTACTTAGTTAATTGATTTCAAAAAATGGCGAATGCACCGGGGTCAATTTTGTGGTTTGCAATATTCTATTTCTAAATTGTTTACATTTATTGACTATTATAATTTTTTTAGCAATTATTAAAAGTAAAAAGTAAGGTCAATCTGACAGAAGGTGAAATGTAGTAAATAATATTTGTGTACGGCCTAGGTCATAAATAACGTAACTTGATCTAAATAATGTTTAAGTGCCTATTCCATAATCAATCACTTTAGTAACAAGTATTGGCAACAATAAAGTATTGAAGATAAAATAAATTGCGTCAACAACTTATAAACTAAGTACTAGATAAGTATAATACCTAGATACGTGCTTAAAGATATTTAAAATAAAATATTATAAAAAAAATAAAAAAATTACCTGCCCATAAGCGACCGGAAGGATCACATTTACCGTCATTGAACCTGTTATCCAAAGTATCCGGCTTATTATCAACTTCCGTGATCTCTTCAGTCTTTGATACTTTGTCACTTTCCCCGTCCCAAGTGACAACGGCCAACTTTCTTCCGATACTGATTAAAAATTTGTCTTTTTGGCCTTCAACCGGTACAATTAGGGAAACATGTCCACTACCTTAAATTAATTGATTAGTTTTAAAACTCATATTTTTTATGTTTTTGGGTATATTACCGATAACTGCTTTTGTGTGTTTCTTAGTGGATGGTACGTATTTATGTATGGCTTTACCGAAAATATCCACAAAATACAACGATTGGGTGGAAACATCCCAATGTGGTCCTTCCCCTAAGTGTACACTATCCACTACTCTTTCGACAACTGGAGCCATTTTACTAAAAATAAAATTTCACTTGTCTATAATATATTTTAATTTATTTTAATTAATTCAGTTATTTATCAAGAAAATATTTATTTTATCCACTGCACAAGTATATAAATAATTTACCTGTTATTTAGGTCTTTTATATCAGCACTTATTACTGCATGTAACAACACACTGCCTGCAACTAACAGTCTAAATAATAACTCAAATACTTTATTTACCGCCATGTGTTTGGCTGAGTTATTTATTAATTACGTCCTTGAATAATTAAGCATATATCTTTACGTGAAACTATACATCCAAACAGGTCCGGATTTAAAAAGAAAAAAAAATTAAATTTATTTTACAATCTTGGAACCATACAGTTATAGAACATGTCAAATTAGATAAATATAAATACATCTACGTTAGGTACATAAAGTATAACAGTTAACACAATAATAAATTAAGTAAAACTAAAATTAAATAAAACTTGATATCTTGTATACCAGGTATACTATACCTATGTGAGAAACGAGATCCTAGACTGTGTTATGAAATAAGAAAATCGCTCGATCGATTGATTTTATTGATTGCTCGATCGATTGAAACTATTACAAAATTTCCACGCTATAATTTATGTGAATTCGACACAGAAGATAAAAATAGTATGTTTTACTACATTTTATATCAAATTTAGTTTTTCAATAAAAATTTAAAATTATGGTTAACTTTCCTAAAAGATTAAAAAAAAAATCCTCTTCTAAAATATTTGAATTTTAATAATTCGATTGGTCCAAAATCCATATACGTATAACATATATAAACTTTATATAGATATACAATTTATAATGTATATTATACATATAAAGCAAATTAAACGAAAATATTGCACAGTTTTATTATCTTTAATGTTGTTTATTCTTTTCACTATCATAAATATTTTATCAACTACAAATATTATTCTGTTTCTTAAAAACAATTGTAATCAACAATAATTTTTTCTTTGAGGTTAATAAATTTAGTTTACCTAACAAATAAGTTGTAAATCTTTATTATACATACCTAATTATGTGCAACAAAAAATAGCTAGGTTTGACCATAAAAATGGATACAGTTTTGAAAAGAAGAATACTCATTTTAGGATTTTTTCATATTAAGTTTGGTTTTCGAGATATTATATTTTTAATTTAAAGTAATTTTTAATTTTTTAAAAATTGTAATTAAAAAAAATAATCCTAAAATGAAAAAACAAGTGTATAATTTTTTAAATTTTGAAAAACAATAATTTTTAAATTTCACGTTATATATAATATATATTACTATATTATCATTAATTTGTTTAAATGTGACGTTCCCAAGTTTTGGTGTATCCTCTGTGGGAAACCAATTGGTTTTTGTTTTTTTGTTATTTGTCTTTATTTTTGGTGTTTGCTTACTATTTTCTTATTAATGTTACTATTGTTACTGATACACTTTGCTTCCTTTATGTTTTTTTCTAGAGTTTATGCAAGGTGCCTAACTTAAGTTTTAAGGTAACTGACGTGTCCAATGTTGCAAAATTATGTGTCATGCAGATGTTTAAGGTTACTTATTAGATTTTGCAGATGGCCCTTTCCTCCCTTGGTTGTCCTCTTTTGTTTGTCTCGTCAAAGGCATCCAATTGAGAGGTAGTAAGACCGTAGCTAACACTTCACATCACCCTTTCTTGAGTACTCTCTAAAAATGAATTAGGCATAAATGACTAATTTAATAGTTATTAGTGGCTTTTTCAGTTGTACCATTGTTAACCAAAGAATACCATGGTATCCCAAAATTTAACAGCCAATTCTTATGTAAAATTGTCCCCTGAATCCGAAAATACCGTCAATTTATAAAAGTGAAGCAGTTTTTGAGATATAGTCAATTCCAAATTAAATGGAAAATTGACTAACTCTCAAAAACTGTTCTACTTTTTTAACTTTTGACGACATTTTCGGATTCATGGGACAATTTTACATAAGAATTGGCTGTTAAATTTTGGGATACCATGGTATTCCATATTTAACCATGGTACAAGCCTACTCACTATAGATGTTATACTATATTTTATTTGCACTTTAGTATTTACATATATAGTGTTGTTGTGTTAATAATAAACTAAAAATAAAATTATACCCAATAAGAAAAAAAAAACACATAACATATATTTTTTTGTAATACTGTGTTCATTTTTTTGCTATTAATTTTTAAATTTTTTTTGCAAAGTATTATAATAGTTGGTCCCGAAAAATTCTTCATTAAAGTACTTGTGAAGGAAATAGTGTACTATATATATCACATTTAATAAACGCCATTTTAGTTACGAATTTTAATTAAGCACAAGCAAGCTTGCGAGCGAGTGTTTAATTAATTGAGTGTCTAGAAAAGTTTATAAACGAGTTGCCTACTATACTTTTTCTACTACAAATACTTATTATAATCTATAAAATTTATCATTCCAATACAATACAATACAATAATTGAAATATTTATTAAATAAATTAAAATGTGCAAAATAAAATATAGGTACGTTTTTTTTTACTACTGTTTTGCACATTTAGTTCATTTAATAAATAATACCTAAGGTTGGGACAGTTGAAATTTTCAAATGAAAATTTCAACTTTGAAAGTTTCAAACTTTAAATATTTCATTTAGTTGGAAAAGTGAAATTTTTGAAAATTTCAAATGAAATTTTCAATTCGAAAATTTCAACATTGCCTGTGAAACTTTCAGAAATTTCATTGAAAGTTTCGGAATATACTAAAAATTTCGCATAAATTTCAAATGCGGCCTCCCCTGGAACCTTTAATAATAATTTACAACAGATTCCGAATCGACCAATAAGAACGAGTTATCAAGCGTCTGGGCGTTTTTGTTTAGTTCGGCTTGGATTTGAATACCTACACTATAAGTAATTATTGTTACCATATGCATAAATTAATTTAAATAATTTAATTCAGTTACCAATTTAATTTGTAAATTAAATCAAACTTTAAATTTTTTTTAAAAGTCATGATTAATTTAAACTTTTACTTTTTGCTATAATTGTATCGGAAAACGGATAAAAAATGCCTTGGGCTCATAAAACTTTGATGAAGTTTCTTCAATTTTTGTAAAATTTCAGTAAAATATATAAAAATAATAAATATATATAAATATAAAACAATGAAAGTGGCATTGTACAATCTCATTAGCTTACCAAAAAGTGCTATATCTCCCTTAGTTTTAGTAATTTTAAAAATATTTTAAAAGGAAATCTCAAGAAATTTGTGGTAAACATAGGTATTTATATTATTGGTGCAGGAGCCCACAGAGGGGTAGGAGGTAAGAGAGGCAATTTTCCATGGTCACCGAGTGGGCTTATTTCAATATTAATATATTAAACTTAAAGTGATTGAAATTTATTGAAAGTTTCAATAAATTTCATAAATTTCATGAAATTTCAGAAATTTAGGAAATTTTAATAAATTTCATAAATGTCGTGAAAATTTCAAGTGAAATTTCAAGTACAAGTAAAAAGTGAAATTTTCCCAACCCTAATAATACCACAATATATTGTGTATATTATAATATACATACGTCTTGATATTGCAAAAATGACTATCCAAAATTTCAATAAGCACGTACATTAATACTTTCAAAATATTCTTAACGTTTTAAATAATTCTATATTTATTGTACATAAAACGAATATAATTTTTTCCACTTCCACCTTTAAAACGCCCATTATCGTACATGTTTTCATGACCTTACACATTGACAAGTTCAAGTTTAAAGTACTAAAAAACATATTCGGTTAAATCCAATCACAATATTCAAAAAATTCATGAATTATTACAAACTTTTAATTCTAAATTAATTGCAGCAGAAAACAAAAAATGATGCTTCGCCTGTTTAATTTATAGAATTTTAATTAACAAATTTAATCTAAAGGCACTCTCTAAAAATTAATTAGTCAATAATGACTAATTTAATAGTGGCTGCTTTTTCACATGTACCATGGTTAACCATGGAATACCATGGTAACCCAAAATTTAACAGCCAATTCTTATGTAAAATACTGTCAAAAATTATGAAAGTGGAGCAGGTTTTAGGATAAAGTCAATTCCATATTAAATATAGCAAATATTTCTTTAATGTTCTAATACTACAGTAGCAACCCTAGTTTCTAAAGAAAAAAGTTATTTAGAATTCTAAAAAAATACTTGAGTTTTTCTTCTATTTTTTAGATGCCTCGAGAAAGAACTTTTGTTGTTTTTTGCTGTAGCGACTATATCACTAGGTATACTTGTATATCATATCTCATAAAAATAAAAAAATAAATAGTTCAAATCATTTTTATTTCAGAAATAAAACAATGCTTCATGCCTACTAATGTACCTACGTAGGTTTAAAATATAATCCTTAATTACTTAGGGATTTTAACTTTAACCCCGGGTTCTCCTCTAACCCCGAGACCGGTAACCCTAAAGACAGCTCCGGCTGGATGAGGTTGCTTCTGACCTTTCACAACCAACTGAGCGCTGGTGACGAAGAGCTCATCCAGGTTTGGACCACCAAAGGCCGCAGCAGTAATCTAAAAATTATCATCATCGTAATACTGTTTTCCTTATTTTAATAATTTATCTACTTGTTTTGCTGGAAAGTTGATGGTTGTTATCAGTTCAGAGTTGTTTGGGTTAACATGTAGAAGTCTTCCACCATCGAATACAGCAACCCATAAGTTACCATCAGTGTCAATTGTCATACCATCAGGAACACCGGGAATATCGTGATGGTCCAAATTAAAAATTGGCTTGCGATTACCTAAACAAAAAAGTAAAAATTGGCAAATACTTGATTGATGGGGTTTATTAACAGTATGAAATCAATGTTGAATCATAATTATTTTTTTTTTGGTTTTTTAAATACCTACATGGTTGAATACCAAATATTTTATAAAAACATAAAAAACATAATTTAGTATGACTTTTATAGAAAAATATTAATTCCAATTAAAATGTTAAATTGTTGGTTTACCACAATGTGGTAAATGTCATACATGTAGGTATGCATGATTGCAAAATAAATATTGCTAAAAATTTTACAATTTTTTTAAATTCCAATTTGATAATTTTTAAAGCATGATAAACACGTCCAAATAAATAAAAATACTTGTGATCAAAACACTTACAAATTTCGCCTTTTTCCATATTATAATCGTATTGATCCACAGTTCTTCTAGGAGAATCAATGTAATACATTTTCTTCAGTTTTATATTCCATGCCAAACCGTTAGCAATGCTAACTTTGGTAAGATGTACTTTTACAGTGTTTTTACCCACCAAAGTATAAAGAGTACCTTTTTCCTTTTCCAATTTTCCTATTTCTGGTTCTGGGCCCATAGTACCTAGTAATAGTATATTTTAAAATGTTTTGGTATTAAATATTTTGGAGCTTTCTGTATTTTTACAATTTAAAATTAAAAATGCTTTGTCAGTTTTTACAATAACAAATAAGGATTGACATACATTTTTGTATTAAAAACCGTAAGCTTACCTGCCCATAACCTTCCGGTTGGATCAGCTTTACCATCATTGAACCTGTTATTAATGACTTCAGGTTCCTTTTCAACTTCTATGATTTCCTTTACATTGCTTACCTTGTCGCTAACACCATCCCATTTAACCGTCAATAATTTCCTACCAATGCTAACCAAGAAAGTATCGTCAGTACCTTCTACAGGTATTACCAGAGTTACAGGACCACCCTCTAAAAATTAAAACAATAAAAGAAAAAGAACAATATTTATTAAAAAATAATAATTATTAAGTCATTTTTATTTGACCAAAATCAACAAAAAATATTTGTACCTATTTTTGCCTTGGTGTGTACCCCAGTAGATGGTACGAACTTGTTGATGGTCTGGCCGAATATGTCCACGTAGTAAAGACACTGCAAAGCTTCATCCCAATGGGGCCCTTCTCCAAGGGTTGCCCTTTCGGTAATGATTTCTATTACTGGTGCCATGGTTAGTTAGCTGATTGTTGAACAGTTTACTGTCTTTTCAAATAATATTGGATGCTTTTATATGGAAAACAAAGAATTTTTAATTAACCCTTAGGTCGCACTACAGACGTTTGTTGATAAAAGAATAATTAAATTTGCAGTGTTTATACAGATTTAATTAAAATATAATCAGTTAATTTTCGGTTAATCTTTAATAGCGTGAGGTAGTCACAATAATATTAACAACAAAAATAAATTTTACCCATTCATATTTAGAATAAAACATTTTGGTGAGTATGTTTCTCAATCACAAGGTACTTTTTTCCACAAAACTCGTAAAATAAGGACCACTCTTCCCCTCCAAAAAAGGTTTTTAAAAGGAAAGTTTAGTATGTACTTTTAAGATGGCGCAACGATTTAGAATTTCTCGAAAACCTTACCTGATAAATCAAAACCTATTTGGTTGATCAAGTCCAAAACGTTCTCGGCTATTGCAATTTTTTTAATTTTAACCCCGGTGCATTCGCCATTTTTGCGCAATTAATAGCTATTTACATGAGAGGAAAATAGTGCTTTTCCTCCCGCGAATAGTTTGATGCCCGACGCGAAGCGAAGGGCATTAAATATTCAAGGGAGGAAATGCATTTTCCTCCTGAGGTATGTATATAGTTTTTTCTATTACCTTTTAACGGTTTTAAGACATTTTAAGCGTTCCGGTTCCTTTTACTAACCCGGTATGGGGCTATAAAATTATGACAAAATATTAAGTAGGTGTTGCGTCGCCGACGTTATGTTGACAACGCTTTGTTGCTATGGTATTTTTGGTAATACAAACATAAGCGTTTTTATAAGCTGTCAGAATGTTTATCATAAATTTGAAATTCGAATCTTCCTACGTTTTGAAATGAGTTCTAGCGAAGAAGACCTGCCGCAAGATCTTGCTAAAGAGGCAAGAATAGTTGCAATTAATTTCCTTCCTTAAAAATCGAAAGAGCGATATAAAAATGAATATAGTTTGTTAAAAGAATGGTTTGACATGCGCGGAGTAAATCTTTTTCCTACAAAATCAAATAGGGATAGACAAGGTACAAAAACTCTTGCTAATGTAAAATTGTTAAAAAAAAAGAGGGAGGAATTTTTTTTTCTCCCGGGGAGGAAAAGTGGCATAATCCTCCCTCGCTCGTGGGGTGGAAAATTAAGTTTTCCAGTAAGGTAGTAGAAAAAAATTTGTTTGTACCATGACTGCAGTCATTAGATATTTTGGTGGTATTAAAATTAATGCATACAGTTGTTCGTAAATTTAGCTTTGTGTCTGAGCCTATAAATAATAAATCATATACATACATTAGGTCGATTCGTTTTGAAAGAAAATTTAGTTTTTTACTCTCTAAGCAAAATTGTGATGTACATAAGGGGAAAAAATTCCCTTTATTCCCTTTAGTCCTTAATCTTATTCCTAAGAACTTTTATTTTGATTTAAAAGTTTTTCCATTGAAATAACATAGGATTTTTTTTAATTTCGTAAATCTGGGCGGTATTTTACGCTACTACAATTTACATAGGTACGATTTGTACATAATTAGATGTTCTATACCCAGATAGCAATAGTGCGTCGCACGAAAAACGCATGACGTGCGGTCTCACGCGTGCGCGCTATTACCCATTCAAAATTAAGTAACGCGTGAGTTTTAGGCGCACGCGTTGAGACCATTTTCGCATATCGCACACGTGCGTTCGTATACACATTCACAGTAAAGTCACCATGTTTTAAAATTTGTGCGTGGCAGGTATATATTATATAAGGTAAGTGCGGGTAATAAGGCCCACCTAACGCATTATATTAAAAAAACAAAGAAAACGTGCACATTTTTTAATTTTTTTTATTTTATAAACATATATTAACTTTAAACTATATACTGTAACATTTATAAACTCAAATGAAATAAACAAAAAGAAAAATTCTTAGGTTTTTAAAAAACTCGTTAATGGGCCTTATTTCATGCTCAACAGATAATAAAGCCCATCCATTCAGGGTGCACATTTGGGACAAATAAACACATCTTCATCCTCAGGCGTCAGTCCGACACATTTTTTATGAACCCAGGTAAGGCACATGGCACACTGACGCATATCAGCCTTAAAATCCAGTTCACAAAGCTTGCAGAACCAATCTTCCTCGGGGTTGGCGTCTGCGCTTTCTGTCGAGGTCGATGGTTCTACAGTGGCCTTCGTTTGACTGATCTTCGCTTTCTTCTTGCATTTTGTTGCCGAGCCGCTCTCCTTTTGGGGTTTCTTTCCAGTTTCATTATTTGGTGGGCCTTATTACCTGCTTTGTAACGATCCTTGTTTTAAGGTTATAACTCAGACATGCATAGTACAAAACCAATCATTTTCTAGGAAAACATTGGTAATATGTGTATTGATACATACCTGTAATGGCGCAGCAATTGAATAAACGCTTTTTAGGCACAGCTCTAGGAAAATACCACAATTTTTATAATTTCACGAAAGAAACTTGTTGTCGAAACACTTGTTGTATTTACTATTAGCAAACGACATCTTATTAAGGCGGAACTCTATCGAATATCAAATATTACCTAGTAAAATCATTTGATGGCAGCCCCAGTATTATAATTTAAAAAATGAAGGTAAAATGGATGTCGGGCCTTATAACCTGCTGGGCCTTATTACCCGCACTTACCTTATATATAATATATAATATTTTTACATTTTACACAGTAAGAAAGAAAATTGTGACAAGAAAGTTTTTTTTAAATAATAATAATAGCCTTAAGGCTATAAATAAATTTATTTTTACATTTTACACAGTAAGAAAGAAAATTGGTTCAAGAAAGTTTTGGTATATAATTAAAGTAATTTTAAATTTAAATTAAGACTCACACAAACAAACAATTAAGTATACTTATAAGATTTATGTATGGGTATTTAAGAATAATTTATATAAATACATAAAATATTGCAAAATAAAACATTGTATAAATAAAATACCTACTAATTATTACAAAGGACTGGTTAATTTAGAAACTCATTTAAAGAATAGGGTTCTTTTTCCAGAATGTAATCAAAAATAAGCTTTTTATAAGATTCTATAGAATATAAATGCAATGAAACTTTAATATTTTGAGGCAAGTGGTTAAAGAAGAATATGCACAAATAGTAGCAGCCTTTTTCAAAAATAGCAAGCCTGTGCTTCGGATACAGAAAATCATTACTTTGATTTTGACTCCAAGAATAACTTGTGGTTTGATTTAAAAAAATAGGAGAATTTCATAAATGACCTCTACAGCATATTGTAAGTTTAAAATTGACCTTATCCAATGGATAAGGTCAATTTTAAACTTACAATATGGATAATATCCATGGTTGACCAATGGTTGCAAATTGAATAATAGTGGGATTATCATTGCAACCTAAGCCAGCTCGAAAAGACTGTCTTGGTTAAGGGATTTGAGTATTAGGGATTTAAAATCTTCTTTTGTTAAAAGATAGATCCAAATTTGCCTAAAGGCGTGGTTAACCAACCAATTTGTGATAGATGCTTGATGGTCTTAATTGTGTAAGAAGTGTTAATTAACACCACCTCCTTGTTAATTCTTTGGTATATCCAAAATTTAACATTTTTAAATTCTTTAGGCCAGAATTTTACATGTGAAGATCATTTTCTTTCAGGTGGCTTTCTAAATCGCATTCGTGCGCTTCAGATGCAACTCAAATGTGGACATATATGTAAGGCCAGATGCATCGCACACGTGCGACTTAAGTCGCATGTGTGCACTCCAAGTGCGCGCATCGGAACTACATTTTGCTATCTGGGATGTTTGGAGTACAAACTTTGGACACTGGATGCTAATAGCAGGCATTTCCGTTAGATTTTTGTTTGATTTTTTTGTGGCCTCACTGACCTCGTCCTAAATCCGGCCCTGACCGTATGCCCTCGGGACCAGAGGCCCTAGGGTTTGTAAGATAGTCGCCCTCGGGGCATAAACACCTATATAACCATAGAAAAAGAATAGAACTATAAATAAATAACAATTTTGTAAGCCGGTATAAGTTACACCATGTAACAATAATAATTGAGGGCCCTAGAAGCCAAGGTTTACAAGTGACATTTAAATAAAAATGTACTTATGTACAGAAAAAGATAGTAAATGGTACATTTTAGTTGGTATCCAAGGGATATAACTGAATTCTAAGCTTAGGCATCTTGAAAAACAAAGTCATAAATCAACAAACAATTTTGACTCCAAATTACAAGTATTTGTTTCTTACTTTAAACATGATTATCTCAAAACTAACAAAATGTACTTATACCCCTTGGCTTCTAGGGACCTCAATTATTATAATCCTGTGTGTTATCCTAGTTGCCTACAATTGATTATACTGCAGAAAATTGTAACACTTAATTTCTATAGCTTTTAAGAGATGTCACTAAAAACAGGCCGTTTTAAACACCCATCAATCTAACTTGACGTTTCTTATGTTTTTGTGTTTATTCTAAAATTTTTGTTTTTTAAAGATACAGAAATGAGAAGTGCCATTGCAGATGACTCCCTATTTATTTATCTAACTAATGTAGCCAAACAGAACAAATTTAATGTAGGATTAATCTTGGGCCAGGTAAATATAACCTACAACTTTTAACATATGTTGTTAAAATACGTATTTCAGCATTGTTTGGGCAAAGATTTTATTATACATTTCGCTAAAACACCCCCTATATTAAACCCTGAAGCCGAAGTAGCCCCAAAACTATTAAAAAGTCTTGCAGATGTAAATGAAAGCTGGATGAGTGACCATGCAAGACATGCAACAAGAATGTTACCAGGAGGCATGTGTGTATTAGGAATATTTGTTGTTTCAAAGGATGACATTTTAAATCCTTTGCATGCTAAAATAAAAACTATATTATTGCAAATACATAAACAATTGGATTCAAATAAGTTTTTGTTTGGTAATTGGTCTACTGAAAAATTAGTTTTGCATTATAATACTACCTCACAGAAATATATGTGTAAGAGTTATGATGTTAATACAGCTAATTTCTCCAATGCAGAATTTAAATTTTTGCCAAAAGTTTTAAAATGGGTTCAATTTGAATGCAAATATGAAATGAACCAAAGTTATAGTATTTCACAGAACGAATTAGATTGGCCTATAAAAGACCACATGAAATTAATACTTGATAAAGTGGAAAAATCTTTAAAGCATTCCTTCTTTTTATTTGATGGTGAAAATAAAGATGAAGATGAAACAGTCGAGGATATTGGAAAGAAAGTAAAACTTCCTAGGACTAAAAAATTAAGTCATGAAGTTCTTGAGACAGACTCACAGCCTGTTTTGGTCTCTATTTTTGAAAATTGTGTAAGTACCAAATTTAAAAACAATCATGAGATTTGTTTGCATTACATTTGCTATTTTGACAAATTGAGAGTTACAAAAATTGACTTTTTAGACAAATTAATTCCTATTCACTTTGTTTTACAGTAGGTAATAACATAGTACCTAAAGGTACTATTCTCCACACATCAAAGTCCCACCATGTGACTTTTATTAAAGTTAATTTTCTGTCAGACTGAATCTAATTTCATTCAATTTTCTAAAAATAATACAATAAATGTATTTTTAGTGTATAAAGGATTAATTTAGAACAGGACTTAGATGTGTGAAACAAAAGAAACTAATACAATATGTTATATTATTTTATTATTATTTATTTATTTTAAGTTTTAAGTGTTTTTCTATTTCTGTTAATTAAAAAATATTTGACAAATCATTTTTATTGTCTATTTTGCAATTTTTCATAAAAATCAGTTTTTGTTCATTTTCTTTCCACCAAATGAATGTTATTATAACAGCATTATCTTTTGAGAATATCCACAAAATATATAGTAGGTACTTTTATATTATACTTTTTTATTTGTACTCGATTTTAAGGAACAGAGGCTCAAAAAGATAAAGTATAAAAAACTCTATCTAAGCTATAAAAAATATTTTCAATGTCACTTGACAGATGCCTACTATAACATTTTTCTATGTTAAAAATTATTAGGGTCGTTTTTTCGAAAAAATAAGAACGCCACTGAATGCAGCATGTTTCAAAATGGACTATAGTCCAAAAGTAAAAGTACACAAAATGCATAAAACTGCGATGAAAAACGTATTTTTGGCGATAAATTGAAAAGTAAAAGTTTTGAACATGTCAATAGAAAGGATTACTTTTGGGAAAGGTCAAATGATCGAAAACTGATCAAAAATAATTTTTATCAAAAAAATTTCAGTCCACAATTTTCAGAAAAATTAAAATTGCAAATTTACCATAGACAATAAAAATGGTGTGTCGCATCTGGGAATTTGAAAAAAAAAAATATTTTATTTAAGAACAAAATTAAAGAAAAATGTTTACTCTTTGGAACCCCATCTATGGACATACAGTAGAGCAAAAAAACAAAAAATCATTTTTTTAAATTAAAATGTTTTATTAAAAATGTTGAAACATTGAAACATTACATTTAATTTTTTGACTTTTCTTAGTTTATCTGTTAAAAAAAATTGAAACGTTATTTAATGAAACATTACATATGGGCTAGTTCAAATTTCAGATGTTAAAAATGTGATTTTTTTTCCTACTAGATTTTAAATTTCCATCACCATCTTTTGTTTTCCTATGGCTGCCATATCGGAATTGGTTAGATACAAAAATTATCTTACTTATGGTGGCCCTTATAGAAGCAAAATTGGATAAAAATGTATATAAATTTGTATGTTTACATGTACAACTTTTTTGCTAAATTCCCAGGAATAAAGAAGTTATAGCGATTTTTGGTTTTGACTGGTTTTTAGTTTTTTTTCAAATATATATTTTAGGAACCGCTGTTTTTTTACAATTTTTAAATTTCATTTTGATAGGCTTGTAATTAAACTAAAACTAAATAAAACTCTTAAAATAAAAAAAATACCCATATATACATATATGTATACAAATGGAAGAATACTTTGTGTCCCTGAATAGTTTTTATAACCAACAATCTCTTTAAACTTATACATTTTTGTTACTGTAGAATCATGTTGATACAAAGAGTACCTCATCATTAGAAGTGACTGAATCAGGAGGTCAAATACAAGTTGTTGGTCATGTAGCTTCAAAATTATGGTTGAATCCCAAAGTGTCTATAGCCTGTGCCAAACAGTGTGTGATGCATGATATTATTAGAAGTTTAACAGCTAGATTAGAAATGCATTGGGACTCATTGACTGAAGAGGAGCATTCCGAAAGTAAGAAAAGATTTAAATTTAGGCAATGATATTCAATTAACGTATAACGTATCCAGTGTATTTTATTCTATGGATATGGATATTTTGATGGATATACGCAAATACCTAATACATACAGTTGATATACATACATATTTTATCCTAAATATTCGCGTTTTAGGTTTTTAAGCTTAATTCATATTAGTTAGCGCGCTATTAATTGCGGTAACTTAAGCGGACATGATGAGGAAAATCACAAATTAATGTATAGGGTATAGGGCGATTCCATGGGACAAAAAGAAAGAAGACAAAATGTTTTATGAATATTTTTGAAGATATGTTGTTTCTATAACAATAATTTTATGATAGTTATTATTATTTAATTTTATTGCCAAGAACTATCATAAAATTATTATTATAGGACCAACACATCTTTTCATAAAACATTTTTGTTTTCTTTCTGTTGGTCCCGTTAGTAATCATGGAATCGCCCTATAGTAAGCTGTGCATCTTGTTTTTAAGCAACGAATTTACATTACTTGCATTATTTATTTGTTATACAATAGTCATTTGTTTTACAAGTGTTGAAAAGCGACTTTTTCATGCGAGTGTTTAAGTTGCTCACGAGGCCGTGTTTGACAGCTGTTTAAATTACTTTTCACACAGAAATGTCACTTTACATTCGAATTTTGCCTTACCAATGAAAAGATTTATTTTCTAAGCAACGATGCCATTACGAAATGTTTATTATGATATTAATTTAATTGTTACAAACAGTGCAAGTTTTAAATAAAAATTTTGATGTTGGTTAAACTTTAAGAATTAAATATTGTCGTTTTACTGCGAAATAATATATCTGATTGTAACGCGAGTTACCATGGAAGGAAAGACTTACTTACTTACTTACTAAAAATATTTTATGAATACCAATGGGCCATTTCAGGCGCGCAAAACGCACAAATTACAAAACTGTTTTTATAAAAAAAATTGTAGATAATTTATTATATAATATTTTGGCATCAAAATTGTCAAAAATATTCTTCTTTTATTAGGCTATACATTAAATAAAAAAACCGCAAGAAATATTTTTTAAAAATAGAGATAATTGTAATCATTAAAAGGTTTGGGCGGGACAAAAAAAAGATTTATCTTGTCCCGTCCACACCTGTCAATTATTACAATTATCCCTACTGCGTTTTTTTATTTAATGTATAGCCTAATAAAAGAAAAATATGTTTGAAAATTTTGATGCCAAAATATTATATAATAAATTACCTAGCATTTTTTTGTAATTTGTCCCGTCCGCATGCCTGAAATGGCCGCAATGAGGAAAAAAGACTGAGTAAGATTTTTAATAAGTAAAATGAGTTTTAAGTCTTAATTCCTCTTAAAAACTAAGACTAATAGCAAGTAAGGGGCCGTCCTTTAATCACGTGAGGTGTTTTTAGCCACTTTTTTACCCCCCCCCCCTCCCCCCTGGTGATGCGTCGTGAGGTTTTAGGCTACCCCTCCCCCCCATTCAATATCACGTGTATTTTTTTAATATTACGGAAAATATTTTCTTATTAAAAAATATTTTGTGTATTTAAAAAAATATTTTTTTTATTGGAAAAATATTATGGAAATAGTATATTACAATACAAGAGTTTATCGAGACGCGTAGAGGCAGTAGTAATCATTTCGAAATTTGCGTCGTGTGACACGACTCGTGTATTGTATACTTTTTTATTTTCAGCGAGTTTTAATTCAAAAACATTCGTTTTTATTAATAAATTAGAATATTATGCATTTTAATTTCATTTATTTTAGTGAAATAATTAAAAATATCAAAAAACAATTTAATTTTAAGTTAGAATTTCTAACACAATAATGCATGTGCTGCAGCGAATTATTTTTATTGTTGAATTAAATTGTTAGCTGAATTAAAATGTTTGTTGAAAATTATTTTTACTAATAGTAATGGAATGAAAATGATTGTTAATTAAATTACTAACAATTAAAATGTTTGTTGATAAATTTTATGTGCTCGCAAAACTTGTGCGGCACAACAATAATATTCTATATAATATGGTATTAAATAGTATTAAATATAATTAAAAAATGGGAGTGAAAAAAATACAATTAAAAAAGGATTTTAATAAAAATGAATAAAAATTTAAATTAAAAAAATGGAAAAAAAATAATAAAAATTAAAAATAAATAAAAATTAAATTAATACACGTGATTGTCCCAATATACCCTCCCCCCCTCATGGTGATCAATCGTGATGTTATTCTAGCCCCCTCCCCCCCTGTTTGAACCTCACGTGATTAAAGGACGGCCCCTAAGACCAATAGATTTGTGAGTCTTCTGGAGAGATATTCTGATTTAATAAGACTTTCAGCAGAGAAGTGGTCTAGCAATAAAAATAAATATTCGGAATTCATCAAAGATGTATTTTTGTATTTGCTAATAGTCTTATTCCAACTTTCAAAACTCTTATTTTTGCTAAAACTTTTTCTCAGTTTTTTTCAGTGAAAAATTTCCAAAGGGATATTCATAAAATATTCTTTTATGGATATACATTTTTTTAATAGGTAGCCTTTTTGTTAAAACTATAATATTGGAATTGTTTAATTTAATTATTATTTATTTTTAGATCTTAATAGTGTTCATGAGCCACCAAGAAGGGTTTTAGTGTCCTTACCAACAAACAGCATAATGCTCTCTGATTACCTCTTCCCAGGAGAAGGTCCTGAAGATGCCCAGACTTCTTTGGAGGAAATGCTGGACATAAAAATAACAGATAAAAATACTATTTTTGATGTAGAGGGACAAGCTGGTAAGTAGTACTCAACCATAATAGTAAAAACTCTTCATTTATTTGCTTTTTAGAAACAACTGATTATTACACTGATAATTTGGAAACAGACAGTGAAGAGACATTGCCTAGTGTACAAGACACAAATAGATTTATGTATTTAGCAGGGCTAGGGCTTGCATTGGTTGTTTTAATATTGTCATTGTTGATACATTTCATTAGAACATATTACTAAGAGTTAACATGTATATATTTAATATACCATTTTTTATTTAATTAATGTTTGTTTTATATAAAGGTTGTACGTAAATTTTAAATTTCTTTAATAAACTGTTGAATTAAAATAATACAAATTTATTTTAAGTATTAGTTTTGAAAAATAAAACTACTAAATAACAATTAATAAATCTTTATTATCAAAACTTATTATTGAATAAATATTTGAGTCTTAAATACTTATAAAAATAACTAAATAAAAAAACCAAGTGGTAAAAGTTTAACTTATTTTCGAAAGTGATAAAACAATTATTACTTTATGAAATTAAACAAGATTCTGAATCACTTTCTATCTCATGTTGAAGCTGCCCTCCTTTTAGTACATTATTTACAACAGCTCTAGCTAAATACCCAGTAGATTGCAAATATGGAATTTCCACTAAATTAGAAATATTTTCTTCCTTCAAATTATTATCCTAAAAAATACCGATTTTATCATTTCACATCACAAATAGCTTATAAATAATATTTAAATACCTTGGCAAACATATGTGCGGCATCTTTGATAAGTTGTTCAAGTTCTAAAGGTTGGCTAAATGTCAATTCTGGATTTCTGCCCAAAATTGTTGATACTATGTTTAATAATTCAACAATTAGTTGTCTGTATTCAGGCTGTTGTATATGATTTAGCATCTAAAACATAATAAACATTAAAATATGTTTGGTTGAAAAACTAAATATTTTTATAAATCTACAATCTAAAAACTGCTTAGGACATACAGAAAAACTTACAGTATTCGATATAATCTGATGGATGATAGCACAAAAGTAAATATTAGTTAGGCCAAAATAAATAAAAACAACATCAACTTACTTGCTCCACTAGCAGAGAAAAGGTGAGTTCGTTTCTTGTCATTTGTGATAAAGTTGGTTGCTGTGGAATTATTTTACCAGCCACTTTAATACCTTGGGGAGTTCTAGTCATCACATCCCAGACCTGATTGTAGAAACAGGAAGGAACTCTGCACAAACATCCTTCCAGCTGTCTTCTTTGCCTTGGTGTTAACCTAAAGGTCTATTCTTTAAAAATGTTGATAAGGTAAAAATGCCTAATTAATGATAAATAGTTTTAGGAAAATTATTATCTCGTTTGAAAAAAAATTAAAAGTTACTCCAACTCTATAATCACCCCTTTTATTTTTTGAACCGCTGGATTTAAAAATTGTAAATTTTAGTATGTCTAACCAACATTAAATACTACTGTGCTATAAAAAAAAATTAAGAATTTTGTAATGACTCAATTAGGTAGTATCTCCATTTGAAAAGTCCATATAATGTCTAAAATTTAGTATATGATTTTGTGAGACATCAGACACATTAATTTCACAAATAATTTCAGATTTTTTTTACAGCACAGATTCCATGAAATTAATTTTTAAAGTTACATTGGTTTTATACGTAATTTTTTTATTTTGTTTGTCTCGAGCTTGCTTATGAGATTTCCATAAAACATAAACTAAATAACCAATTTTGAAGCTATCAGCATTATTCTATTTTCTTTCTCAAGTTTGTAAACGAAAATCTTTGGGAAATAACACTTCTACACTGTGGAAATAACACTTCTACACAAGTGTTAATTTCCATACATACTTTCAAAAATTCGTTTTTAAACTCGAGCAACCAAAGATGGCTTAATGTTGATGGATTAAAAACTGATAATTAAAGTATATTTTTTATAAAAATCTCGAATAACATGTTTTTACCACTTTTTAAAATTGTCGGTTTTACGACACACGTGTTTGTCGTAAAACCGTCGTGTTACATCGTCAGTTTTCGTGTCAAACTGACGTCTGTGGATTTGATTAATTTTTTTTTTAATTTCCTATTTTCAAAAGGTCACATTTTTTAATTGAGGTCATGTGAGTCACATGATTTGACAAGAAAGAAAGAAAATACAAATAAAATATTATGAAACAATAAAAAATAATGAAAGTAAAATTCATTTCTCATTTCGTCATACAAACAATACACACCTACATCAGTTTTTGCGTTTTTGTAATCCAACGTTTTAAAAAATAAAAGGAAGGGATTTTTACGCGCTCACTGCAGTTTATATCTTAAACAATATTTTATTTCTAATTAATATTTATCATTGTATCATTTCTGTTTACTATTGATTATTAAAAACTAAACTAATCTAAGCTGCTCTTATAAGTTTAGAATAAAGTTTTTACAATGAAACGACACCAAAATATGTGACAACCAATTAGACAATATTGACTAAATTTTAGGACTTAAGACTTACTGATCTTTAGAGTTCCACTCCTTTATCGATAAAACCTTGTACAACAACTGCCTGACTTCATACGGACTGTGCTCTTCTATTTTCTTGGACTTTCCAAAAATCTCCAGGTAATACTTAAGGGCCTCCAAAACCCAACCGACTCGAATTTTAAGTATACCTCGAAACAATTCGGGATTGGTCGATATCAATCGGCCGCAGTACAATATGACCTCTTGCTGTAAAACCGCCTGTATGACGTCATACGGTTGAATGGTGTCGTATACCACGGATTGTATTTCATTGGGCGTCATTGGTTTGTCGAAAACTGTTTCTTTTTGACCTATGACGCCAACAGTTAACTGAAAAAAAACAAGATTTATCATATTGGGGTCAATAGAGTAATGAAGTTAATTTTTTATAATAATATATAATATAATATATAATAATACAGTGTGACCCATTTGTTTGCGACACCCCTGTAAAATCTTTATTTATTGTGCGATTTTAACCGGATTTGTTTTAAAGTGTATATCTTGATAAATTGTATTTTTGGAGCAAAAGATGCCATATTAGTACAAAATACAAGGCCTACTATGTAAGTTTTTAAGAGTAGATTTTTAAGAATTTTTATTAGCGATTTTTTAAACAAAATCTAAGCACGGCACTGGATTCACCACACCTTAAAACGACCCTTTACTAAATTTTATTGAAAAATTTTAAGTAGAAAAATACACAATAATAACTACAAAAATTTATTCTGTCAAGTTATCCATGAAAAAAAAACATTGAAATAAAATTAAACTTATAGTAATAGTACCATGTTACTATTAGTTTAATTTTATTTTGTGCATTTTTCTACTTAAAATTTTTCAATAAAATTTATTATAGGGTCGTTTTGAGGGGTAGTGAATCCAGTGCCGTGCATAGATTTTGTTTAAAAAAATCGCTAATATGAATTCTTAAAAATTTACTCTTAATAACTGACATAGTAGGCCTTGTATTTTGTAAAAATATGGCGTTTTTTTCAAAAATACAGTTTATCAAGATCTACACTTTAAAACAAATCCGGTTAAAATCGCACAATAAATAAAGATTTTAGAGGGGTGAGTCGCAAACAAATGGGACATACTGTATATATAATATATTGTATATATACAATCTGTCGAAAAATCAGGCGCCCTCCATCTTTTTAGGGACTAAATACAGAAAGTTTTGCCAACAAATATAGTGAAATTTTTAAGCCTTACATTTTTGGTCTTGACACTTTTTGGCCCAACCAATAGAAAACAACATTCCTGTTTTTTTTTTCAAAAAAGTCCAGCCAGTTCAAAATTTTTTTGATCGGTCAAAATACAGAATGTGTCCCTGTGTCCCTGCAGAATTTAATGATTCAGTAGAAAAACAATTTTTATGAGAAATCATATATGCAATTTTTTTCTTTTTTCTAACAAAAAGTCCCAATTTTGAAAAAAAAGAATATAATTTTCTTCTTCTTTAAAATGTTTTTGATGTTTGGGGTTTAGGAGTTTAAAAACAAGCAGAGAATATCATCAAAAACATCAATACTTAAGCTGGATTTATATTAAATTATGCGTAATTTTTTTGCACGAGGATAATTGCGAGTGCGAGGAAACGTTTTATGTTGTGCACTTTGTACTATTCTTTCTATTTGCAAAAATTTAGAATAATGTCGAACAAGTGACAGCATAGTAAGACAACCCGCCGTAAGTGCACACATAATTATCTCTTTTGATTGGCCGGACGCAAGAAACTGAAGGGTATACCCTTTAACACTTATCTTTTCCTTCAGCTACCTACTTTGTGTGAAATTAACAAACATATTATGAATTTACTTAAGTAGTCTAAATACTTACTTGTTTTCCATGTACTAACACAGCCGTTATGAAAGGGCTGATGGAGTCGACATTGTGATGTAATAAACTGCTAGTGTACCGCACTGCCGCCCAGTGACGGACGTTACCGGCTCTGTAGTATAAATTTTGTAGATGTTCCTGAACTGTGTTCTTGTCAACCACAAATTGTTTGCCCTCGCGTTTTTGCAGAATACCGAACAGTTGGCAGCGGGCATAGAGACTATCCATTGCTTTGACGGCCTCGACTATCTCATGCGTTGACTTACTTTTGTAAATCTAAAAGGGTCAATTTCAATATTAAACTTAAAACAATTTGTTAGGCTATAATTCTTCAAAATTCCTTATCATGACACCTAAGCTTAAAATATTAATATTTATTTTCCCTTAGACCCATCTACAATAATTGTAATAATAATTATTATACAGGGCGTTATTTTATCCAAGTTGTTTTTTTGCTAAAGTTTTTTAAAATTTTATTTTTGTTATTTTAATGTTTTGGAAACATGTATATAAAATAAAAAACTTCACAAGTAAAAGTAATAACATATGTAAGGTGTAATAATTATAATTTTTACATACAATGCACTTCACTTGCATTCATTGTTGCCACTGTACGTTTTATTTTAATAGTTTTTTTTTGTATACGCAAATATTCATCTGACGATTTTTCCAAAAAATTGTTACAAAAACAATAACACATGTGTACTTCTAGACGCAACAACGATTTTCTTAGCTGACCAATTAGATCACAGCTGACCATTAAGTGGTCGCATCTTTCCGAGTTTTCTAGATAGCTCTAGGCGGTACGTACACAGTAAATCTGGTATTTTCGTATGGTTTGCAGGTAACATTTTAAAGCAGTTAAAACCGGTTATTTTTGCAAATTTCGCAACTTTTTCAGAGAATAATTTCCACAAATTTTAATTTTATGTTAAATCAGAAAATATGTTAACATCAGATGGCTGCAGATGCCTTATTTCGTACTTTAATTTTACATATAGATTCGGTTTTTAAGAGTTGCAGAATAATTTTAAGAGTGCGGCACGCCGAGAGACGGTTTTCGTAATTCAACAGTAGACCCTACACCGGCGTTAGGTGATAGTCGAAGTTTGCTCTGGATTATTAATACGAATTACGCATTATTAAGTTAATTTATTTTTTAAAATGATTTAAATACTTAAAATGTAACGTAATCACTTCTAACCAAGGGCGGATCTAGAATGTGTCATTGGGGGGGGGCGGAGTTGAAAATTTTTGTAAATAATAAGAAAGTTGAAATTAAAGTTATTCCATTTTTCTATTATTTTCTATATTAATTTAAAAAGTTATGTTCAATTTCAACTTGATAACTTACTTCCGGGGGGGGCGATCGCCCTTGGATCCGCCAATGCTTCTAACAGTAAATTATTAATTAAAGGAGTAAAATCATTATTTGTTTTGCATTTAACTAAAAGTGTTTTCTTGTAAAAATAAAACGTTTAAACATAAAAAATCTCTTTAAAATAATAAAATAATTTTTTTGAAAACAAATTAAAATAAATAAATCAATTTCCTTAAAACAAAACTAAAAATCAAACTTCTTAAATTAAATTATTTTTATTATTAAAAAACATTATTTTTGCAGTCTTGTCCAAAATGATTTGCAATGCAATTTTTGCATTAAAAGAAACGAAAAGATCGGAACATCCTTAAACAGGACTTACATTTTGACAAAAATTTAAACAATTTCTAAACATTGTGGTTGCATAAAATAATCCTTGGTGAAACTGAAAAAAAACAATTTTCCTTTTTTAATTAATTAATTAAAATGTCGGGTGAGCGGTGGGTTGTTTTTGGGCAAGCGTGCGGATGCGTAAAGTGAAATATTTTCCAAAAGTGAAAAAAAAATACGTTTTTTATTGTATCGTAAAGTAAAAGAGTCACCCTCTACATAAAAAAGAACATCGGGATTCTACGATATATAATTTTCCAGTGAGTTTTTTAAATTTCCCCTGACTATTTGGGGTTTAAAATTAATTGGTTTATTTTTTAGGCAGGTTTAACTTATTTCAATTTTTAAGAGATGGAAGAAATAGTTTAGGGGCATATACATAAACCATAAAATTCCGCATTTTTAGCATAACATCACAAATAGACCCAAAAAAATAATTTTTTTGGGCTGTCGTCCCATCTGGAAAAAAAATTATTTTACTAAATTGAATCAGTAATAATTACCTGACTCTAGAGAAATTTCCCTTACATTTTTTTCTCTGACAAAATAAATTCCCTGATAAATTAGTAAAAAACCCTGTATATTATTATTATAAAGTTTAAACATACCGTGCAATCCTTTTCTTCTTCTTGATAATGTAAAACTCTGGGAACATCTGTTAAACTTTGATAACCAATATAGTCATGTGCAAGTTGCTTGAATTTGTTAAAATTATCGCATGGAGCCTCCATGATGTTCATAAAGTCGAGGTGTTCTAGAATTTTTACAACTCAGCTAAAGCCTAATCAAAAATAGCAATCACTGTTTACCAACACATGAACTCGATATTAGATTTTGCAGTCTTCCAATTCTCACTTTAACGCTATCGCAATATCCTTTTTTCAGCATGGCAAGCAAATCTAGCATCTGTTTGAATTGCGGATCTCTCATATGCTCCTCCCTAATAAGCAAGCAAACTGTAGGCCTCCCTGATAACCTCCAATACCTCCCAACGAATTGCAGTTCGGTTTTGATGTCGTCTATAAGTAGCGCCATATCACGGTACAAGTAGAAATCGGACACTTCGAATATAAGAGGGTAGCAAAGCACAGTGGCACCACATACTCTATAAACTTTGCTTGTACCCAAACTACCTACGGGTCTTACAGGCCGTCCTTGCAGTTTAAGCTTGCGATTAACGCCCAAATTTTGATAGACTTTTACCAACTGAGTAGATGACCATATCTGGACGGGTTCCACCTCGTGCGGTGTTTGCGTTTGGATGCCATAAGTGGCCATCATGGCTTGTAAACGCATGCTTTCGGCAATTAAAACAATTTGGACCACCAAGTCCGTGGCTGTGCCCTACAGTAAAACTTATTTTATAAAGAAAAATATTTTAGTTTTTCTAAATAACCTAAACAAACTTTAGGAGGTAATTCCTGACAGGATTTTAATTAAACAGGTTTGTAGAAGAAGTAAAAGAAGTGTGCAGTAAAAGTATGTATGTAATCAATTTTGTTTTTATTTTTCTGTTTGTATACATGTTGATTCACTAATATTGTAGCAGCCCCAGGACGCCACTGGAATAATTAAATTAAATCTAATTACATCAAAAGCGAACACAAAAAAATTTAAGAAACGGAACGTTTTTGGAAACTAGTAAATAAATAGTTTTTTTCGAATTTCCATGCAAGGAATATCATACAGATTTTTTTTGCAATATTAATGAATCAGTCTGTATATTATTTATATTATTATTGCTAAATATATATTTGTAACTAGTGCATTAAGTTTAGGAAATATATATTTAATAGGGTGTGTCATTTTTGAGCAACTTTTTTTTTCAACTATAAAACAGGCTAAAAACTTTCAGGAAGGTGAAAAAAGAAGACTAAAAATTTGAGCTTTTAATAATAACATTAAGTGGTGCCTGTTCCTAACTTTTTTTTCCATTTAATTTTTGTAGCTTGACATTTAATCATTGTAAAAAGAACTGAAAATTTATTTTGGTAGGAAATTGAACGCTCTACAAAAAAGTTCTAATTTATTTTTTCATAGAGTAAGCCGTTCTGAAGGTATTCAAACTTGCAAATGTATGAAATTACGACTTTTATTTTATTTTTTGTCTTAAAAATTATTTTAAGAAAAAATAATTATTTTCGTATAGAAAGAAAATAACACTTCCATCTCAATTTTTTTTCCATTTTATTTTATTTACTATCAAAAAAAGTTATTTGTGTTCAATAAATTTGTTCAATAATTATAATAGATTAAATAAAACAATGAATTTGTTATTGTATTGAATTTTTAATCTTTCTTTATTTTTTATAATTTTACCTCAACTATATTATTTTTTATTTTAAAGTCGATAACTCTAATAAAAGATTATATCGGCTCAGTCGGTATATTACCGTCCGGATTACACAGTGACTAAAGGCACGCTAACGTGCCGCGATTCGAAATGTTAAAGGCAACTTTAAGTTTGAATACCTTCAGAACGGCTCACTCTATGAAAAAATATATATTGAAACTTTTTTGTAGAGCGTTCAATTTCCTACCAAAATAATTTTTCAGTTCGTTTTTACAATGCTCAAATGTCAACCTACAAAAATAAGAAAAAAGAAAAAAAAATCCATGTTATTTAAATGGAAAATGGAAAGTTAGGAACAGGCACCACTTAATGTTAATATTAAGAGCTCAAATTTTTAGAGGTTTCTTTTTTCACCTTCCTGAAAGTTTTTAGCCTGTTTTTTAGTTGAAAAAAAAGTTGCTTAAAAATGACTCACCCTAATATTAAAGTTTTAGTATTTGTTTGATTAAATTTTGTTACATACGAAAGTTGAAGATTGGATTTGTCAAACTCTTTAAAATCGTGAAATTTCCTTTTTTACAGTTAACTTTAGTTGATTACCTACCATCTAAAATTTGTTTATGTTATTCAGGACCCCTGTATAAATGAAAATAGCATAAAGTATGTTTTCAACGCTGTACAAACATTTAAAAGAAGCGCAAAAGCCCTGTAGCGCAAAATTAAAATAAACATAAGAAATAAAGAAAAAATAATAATAATTTAGGGCGAAACTGGACAAAGACGTAGGTAAGCAAATCACAGTTAGTAAACTATAGATAGGCAGAGTAACAAATATACATTTACATTACTTACAACAGATGGTTTTGCCTGTAAGCATGGAACACAAAAAATAATGTTATTTAATATTATCACATATAATAAAGCTTTTTATTTAGGAAGGTAAGTTTTAATATTTAAATTCAGAACCCTCCAAAGCAGTGCAAGAAATTATTACATGATGTCTGGAAAATTAACTTTGGTCTTGGTTCAGAACTTGTTCACCCAAAAAGTCAAGCGTTTGCAGCGGAAACACAAGAGGGCTTCAAATTCACTGGAAAGGTGAAATTTGGTTTAAACCGTATTATAAGCCAGGGAAAATTGTCGTTATTGTAACTATAATAAAATTAAAATAAATACGTACTTGGTATTCTTGCACTGCTTTAAACTACATAAAAGCTTAACAAAAACTAAATTTAATTAAAGTGTAATTTTTGGTAATTATTTAATGATGAAATTATTTATTTTACAAGTATAGGTACCTGAAAAGCGGAGTATCTGCCTCCCTTTCTAGGCCTGTTATATGAAGGCAAATACCTCCTTATAGGGTCCAGTTCGTTGATGTGTAGTAGACCAGCTGTCAACAATTGTGCTAATATAAACATGGCCTGGTTCCAAAGGCACAAACCTCCTTCAGTTAGGGCTACCCTACGGCAACTGTTAGGTTCTTGCCTTTCGGCCTCTACATAATCTTTTGGGACATAATAATACATTGGTATTATGGGATCTACAAGAAGCATATGTTATTCTTTTTGGGAATTTTAACTTAATGAATTTTTATGTTACCTCCTTGAGTGTCAACATATATTCTTTTTGTTAAAAGTTCTTGATATTCTGTTATTTGTTCTGGTAGTGACTTAAAAACCCCATCTATTATCATAAATATGTAAAAAAGAGGCCATTCACATTCTATGTTTTCAAAGTCTTTTAATTGCGATTTTTCATAATACCTTAAATCAAAAAATAAAATTATGTATGTAGAAAACAAATAATGTGACATTAATATAAATAAAAACATACTTTTTGTTTGGATCCTCAATAGCTGTTTTATATCCATCTCTTATAAATCTCTTAAATCCATAGGGGCCTTTTAATTTACTGATTATATTATTTTTGGCTTCGCCATATAAAATATCCTCGTGTGTAGAAAATGCAGGAAATGATATTGTAGGCAATAGAGAGGAATCTACATCCTGAAACACAATAAAATAAATTATGCATACACTAATTGCTATGGGCACGAGGGCGAGTGGCGCAGCCAAACGTCAAAGTTTTATACTATTTTTGATCAAACCTATTATACTATTATACTATATTATACTATTATACTATTATTATATTATGTCTGTTAATAAAGATAATAAATATTTTTCGATTTATTAAGCAACTAAGGGTTGTTATGAAAACGAAATAAACAAGGCATCTAGCAGTTATTTGACAGAATAAAATATAATTTTGTATTATGTGCCTCCTACCTACTAATATTCTGCCAAAGTATTTTGTATTAAAATAAATTGACCATATTAGATTTTTTTTGAAAAATGTTTGATTTTTGAATCGTCCAAGCCCGTCCAAAATAGCGCAGCAGGAAAGACATTTTTTACCCAATTTTTTTAATGAAATAGATTCATGTATTAAAAATACAAAAATTAAAACATTACATTAGAGTGGGTCAAATATCCGCTTTTTTGAAATTTGTTACTTAATTAAATTCTTAACAAAAAGGGTAATAATAAAGTTTCATGAATATTGTGGTTTCAGAGATAATTTAGAAAATTGCGATTTTATCTTAATTTTTTTTTAATTGAAATCGCAATTATCTCTGAAACTATAATATTTATGCGATAATAAAAATGAATTTTTAATAGACAATTAAACTTATTAACACTTAAATAAAAAAAAAAATTCTTTTAATTTTTAGTGCCATTGGCGAGCTTAAGATGTCAACCAAAAACTTTGTACCTTCGCACATAAGTTTTTTTCACCTCAAAGATTAATATTTACATAACAGATTTAAAGATATTAATTTAGAAGGTTAAAAAGTCTTGTCACAATAATAAAAATAATAAATATTGTCCGCATAAGCTGTCATTTAAACGGTTTTAACTATAGTTGGAAAACTACGGAATATATATATTGCGTAGGTTTCATAGTATCAGAAGGCGCATATGAGAAGGCATTGTTAGTTGTGTTTTTATATACAAATAATGCAAATTTTATTTGTTTGGCGCTTCTAGAAAATGACGGCGCTTCTATAACTTTACAACTTAAATTAAATCCACAACTAAATTTTAAAGGCAAAAAAAATTATGAATTCCAGCTTTATTTTCTTTCTCTAGTCAGCAATTTATATCCCTAAAAAACGTAGGGTCAATATGACCCCCTATGGCGCTTCTAGATGAAAGAAAATGACGGCGCTTCTAGTGTTAAATTCCTATTTTGGTTCGTCGTTGATAAAGTATGGTATGCAACTCGTTTTATAAACTTCTCTAGACACTCGTTTTATAAACTTCTCTAAACTAATAAAATTCATAACTAAAACTCGATACATAATATACTATTATTCGTTTTGTGTTGTTTTTACAGGAGTAATTAAAATCACAATACGCAAGACTTTTTCCGCAATTGTACGATTCCCTTCTTTAACTAAAGCCTCACTCTGAACAGAAAAATATTAAAATGTTTTAGCTAAAATTTATTTACCTTTGAACAGGATTCTCTGGGCAACAAAGTCTCAAAGATACTCCTGTTTCTGTTATGTGCATCAATGTCAACATAAACAACACTCCAAGAGGCTCCCTTTTCCCCAAAAAGATTGCAACCATTAATTGCCTCCAAGGCAGATTTCGCTAATCCAATGGAACTGGCATGGATTTCAGGGGTACCATCATTGTATTTGCTGCCTCGCTCCCACATTCCAAAGTCTGGGGTTCTATAGGCCCTTTCGACATAGTACACCAAATTTTGGACAAATGCTACTTCATCTTGGGTGTAAATGATTTGCATGCCGGATGTAATCATTTGAACAAGAAATAGTAAATAAATTGATACCACGTCAATTTGCAAGTGGTTGTATTCATCATCAGTATAGACTATATTGCCTGTGGTTAGATGAAATTTAACATGCAAGGCATGGGCTGAACATTGGTTTTTCTTAAATAACTCTATTCTTTTAGCTTGCTTTATCCAACATTCCAATATGCCTCTCATGCATTTTACTGTAGATTGCCCCAATTCATATGATTTGCCTCTGTCATCATCTATTCTCCTAATATAACAAAAAATATATATTCATTGTAAGTTTCATTAGAATTGGTCTTAACTATTGTTAAAAATACTTTTTTTAAGAAGAATTATACCTACTCAAATTATTATTTTTTAATTATTGAACAAATTCTTATTTGATTATTTTAAAAATATATTTTTACAAGAGGAACTAATTTGGTTCAACTAAATTGATTAAAAATTGATATACCTACATACTTTAGGATATTAAGCATAACAATTAATATTATGGAAATTTTCGTATATTTTTCCCTATGAAAAGTTATGAACAATAAAGTGTTGCTTTAAAAAATAATATTGTTATAAATTGTACAAATGTACCTACATAGGTAAGTACTATAAAATAAAAACAATTTAGTATGGTTTTGCCTATGCAGATTGATTTTATCAATTTAAAAATAGTGCACAAAATGTAAGTGTAATGTTAAGAAAACAAATTTACAAAATCTTAATTATCAATTGTATTTCTGAATTAAAAGGAATATATATTATATATTATTTATAAATACCTATAGGCTTGATATAAACCCCAAACAGCTGCTGCACAGTAAACACTTTCCCTTACACTTCCTATTTCAGTATCTGAAGATAAAACTGGAAATAATCCTGTTATCGGGCTTTGGTAACGTAACAACTGCCTTTTGACTAAAATAAATATATTTAATTATAATTAAAAACTTTATTGTTATTTATTACCCATTCCATAATAAATATCAAGTTGCTTAACTGTATCTTCATAGTTTGAAACCTTTAGAAACTGATCTAAATAAATGTTTTCTTCCAGGGTACTACCCTGTCTGGTTAAACTAAAAAATACATATTTTATAAAAACATTGTTTTCTTAAATATTTTGGATTTACGTTTTAGTTCCCATTTTCAAGAATCGTCTAAAAACGGTGCGTTGCACCTATTTTTAAATTTGGCACCTATCAAAGTCAGAACAAGGACAATTATTTTAGGTTATGCTAACATTTATTTGTAAATAATTTTCATTCGTTCAAATTTATGAATTTTGAACAAATGAAAACAAAATTATATGTAAATTATTGGCGGGGTTGCCAAATTAAAAAAACTAAATTATATTAAAATCAATAAATGCAAACACATGAAGTCAATCTGCAATAAATTATTAAATAATTAAAATAATTTGTTAAAAAAACAAATTATTTTACAAAATAAAGTGATAAAAGGCAATTGCATCAAATGGTAATTATGACAGAATGGGCTTGCCAACATTGCAAAAATTAATATCATCCAGGTAGACATTTGCAATTATTTGTAAACACGGCAAATAAGGTGCATTTCATTGTTTGGTTCAGAAGACACAATAATAAACACTTGTAGCTGGTCAGTAAGAGTTTTCCCGACTCAAGACCAATTATCTCAAAGGAGAGAATAAACTGTTAAAGAAGAAGATTGTTTGGTTCCTTTATTTTAAAAAATGAGCCAACACGACAAACCAATTGAAGATAATCCGAATTTAACATTAGGGCAACCTTTAAGCGACTTTTTGTTGCAGCTAGAGGATTACACGCCAACAGTAAGTTCTAAAACAAAAACATTTCGTTTTCTTACGTTTTTCTTAGATTCCAGACGCAGTCACTGCCTATTATTTACGTTCCTCCGGCTTTGAGCCAAAAGATCCACGTCTTCTACGTTTAATTTCAATTGCTGCACAAAAATTTATATCTGATATTGCCAATGATGCACTACAGCACTGCAAGATGAGGTCCAGCAACTCTTCAAGCAGCCATGGAAGTTCGAAGGTTAGTAGATTTCTTTATTTGTTTACATTTTACTTAAAATAAATATTTTAAACATTGCAGACTTCCAAGGGATCTAAAGACCGCAGGTACTGTCTCACAATGGATGATTTAACTCCAGCACTTGCAGAGTTTGGAATTAGCATTAAGAAACCATCATATTATGTTTAGATTTAAGGAATTTTGTGGGTAAATAAATGTATTAGAATAGAAATAACATATTTATTTTTGCTCATCAACTTTGGCAATAAGGCAGTCCCAGCCACAGGCAAATGCATGACGAGAGGTTTTTAAAGACAATTATTCTAATAAAATATTTTTTCTAAAACCAGAAAATCCAGTCTCCGATGGTATGACCATCATAACTTCAGTAAAAACTTAATTCAACTAAATTTTCTTAGGAAATTCGTGTGTAAATATTAATATTAATATCTCATAAAAAAATAATTTATTCTTGTTCATCCAAAAATTTCTGTAATAAAGCATTAGGTAAAGGTATTTGTAAATATTCTGCCCCATCATAAGACCGTTTTAACTTGACCATTTTATGGTCTACAAATTCAGTTAATTGTGCCCTAAGAGCTAAATCAGAGCTCACAATAAAAGATTCTCGACAAGACATGTATAAATCCTTAAAAGCTAGACCTTGATAATACTGATTCTTGGCATTTTCTAGTTGATGTTTGGCTATAATTAAATAAATACTCTTTGAATTTGTTGTAAGAGACAAAAATACGTTTTTAAGAGATGATAAAGCCAATGATCCAGTCTTTTGAACCATCATAGACCTTTCAAAAGATGTTTCTTCTATGTAGGGTAAAAATGATGTGACATCCCACCAAATGTAATTAAATTTGCTTAATTTGGAGTGATCCCAAATTAAGGGGCCATTAATATGATCAATAGATGCTATTAAGTGTATATTTCTAACTGCAGCTAATCGAGAGAGGACATTTTGTGCTTTTCCATTGCAGATCATGTCACCTTCAATGTTGTGCACTATAAGGTACAAATGAGTTTCAGGAATTTTCTTGAACTCTTCTTCTATTAAATCACAGGCTTCATACAAATTTCCAGGATTTTCTTTCAGTTCCAACATATCGACTATTATCCCATCCAAAACATTTTTGATTGATAGTGTTGGAAAAAAACCATTTACAACAATAACTGGCAAATTTTTTAAATAAGTGTTTTGGAAATTTTGTAGAACATTTCTTTTAGAACCTAAGCCATATACAAGTATACTAAAATTCTCATTGAGAATATACAGCCATTTATCAAATTGAGAATTATTTCTTTCTAACAATCTGTTTACAGCTTTATCATGTTCTTTGGATAATTTCATGTTTGATAATATTTTTTGTAATTCATATTGAGGTAATCTTGGAGTATCTAATTTATCTAAAGTATTATTTGAGGTTTTATTTTTGCCAGTAGAAGCAAAATATTCATCAGTTTGGATTGTGTACTTATTTGTTCCTAAAAAAATAACCAATTTTATTAGGTAATATTAAAATTTGTAACATTTTTTAGGGGAATTTTATTTAATTTTAAGCATTAGAGTTGAAGTAATATAGGTAGCGTTGATAGCACTATAGTCTTATACTTTTTTTTAAGAAAAATATTAAACTAAAAATATAAGTATATATGCCTTTATATATAATACTAAAATAAACATATGTAATTGATCTAGTAGGTATACCTATTAGGATATAAATCATCTTTTAAAAACAGTACCTGAGGTACTGTACCTCCCTTCATTTGGAAATTCAGTATAAATTGTAAATTACACAAAATTTGTATTACCTTTGGTTTTTCTGTTATTATCAGCCTTAAGATTTGAAATCTTTAACTGAGACATTTTCTTCTGAGGCTCTTCATCAGAATCTGAACTCTCTCCAGAACCTTGTGATTCTGACTCACTTGAACTTGCTTCAGAGTGTTCATATTCACTTCCAGACTCTTCCTCTCTAATTTTAGCTGCAATCATTTCCTTCATCTTCATCCTCTGTATATTAGGCGTTTTGGCACCACATGATTCAGCTACTTTATTTGCCAAGCTATTTCTCTGTTTTCTGGTATGAAATTTAAATATATCTTCCCCGCGTATATGTTCGTCGTCGTGCAACAATTTTGGAGCTTCAATTTCACACATTTCCACATCATCGTCGCTAAATTGAAACTCTGGTTCTTCATCATCACTATTAATTTTCGCCACAAAACCCGAATGCTGTAAATTATTTAAGAACTGCGATTCTAAAGCCTTTAAGCTCGGTTTTTTCTGTCGCGTACTTCTTTTAGTTGGTGAGGGATCCATTATAAATAATATAAACCTTGTTTTTGATATAAACAAACAAAACCTCCAGAAAGCGGACAAACATGGAAGAGAATTTGTGGTTAGGTCATAGATAACCGAAGGTTAGGTTTAAAGTTGACGTTTCGCGCCAAATAAAAACTAGATAAAGGCCACCAACAATACAATACTGTTGATGTAGTTGCATAACATCAAAACTTTAAAAAATATATTTATACTTTCCTGTGTTATTATTCTTGAAGTTCAAGAATAAGAATATATTTTTCAAGTTTAAGACTTGAACATTCTAACACGCTTATAAAAAATAATAGTGTTTTGTGGTTATTTCTATGATAGCACAGGCCCACAAAAAGAATGATTGGTCTGGGCGATGCATAATATCATAATTATTATATCATTATTATCAATATCATAATTATTATATCAATGATTATATCCTATGTATTTTTCAGTGGAGTTTAGAAACATGTGGTCTCATACATGATACAGGGTGTATCATGGTCTCATTATGAGACTCTCATACATATTGTGCTCTCCCTACAGAGGCTCTGTGGCTCTCCTCTTATTTATAGACCTAGATAAAATATCTAGGTCTATAGATAACCATATAGACAAGAACAGATTAGTTCTTCTTTAATTCATGAATCTAATAGATTCAGTCCATGTTAAAAATTAAAAAGTTAAATGTATTTTAATAAAAAACAGCTTTAATAACATTTAATTATTTTAAATACAAATGTTTGGAAACATCCCACATATTTAAATCTGTCACAACAGGTATAGTTTTATTTGAAACTTTAGCATCATTTTGTTCATAGAAATCTCTATAACATTTTTTTAAATTCTTACAACTACAATTACCCAAATTATTGGTACAATTATTGGTGAAAACTGTAATCCTTGATTTTCTTTGACCCTCTTTGTCAGTAATAGTTCTTAAATCATCAACATTGGGAGTCATAAGCAGTCCTAAACTAGGATATATAAAAAAAGCAAATAATGTGAGAACAGTCAACAAAAAAATTGGTATTGTTACAGCCCAGTGTCGTTGAGGTAAGAAATGAATACCTAGGGATTCAAAATACTTTTCAGGCACTATTGACCATACAACATACAAGATAAAAAATAGTTTTGAAGTTAAATATAGAGCAAAACCATAAACTGCTCGACTTGGTGTTGGTGCTGGGGAGTGTTCAGGCATTATTAAAGTGACTATAACTTTCACTCACTGGAGGTCCAAAATTATCAAACGTTTCTGTGATAAGGTCGATTTTGTCAAAAAATCCGTTTATTGATACTCTAATTTGACGAGGTAATTCGGCTGTAAATTTCCTTTAAAAAAACATTAATTTTTTAGGTAAATTTAATTTTATTAACTTACGCCACAAGAATACAGTCTTTGACTTTTAATTCTTTTTCAACACCGCTTCTACTGGGCTCTCGATCAACCCTAAGAACATCATATACAATTTGTGCTTGTTGATTGTTTGGAAAAGGTACTTCAATATTTCTGATTATTCGTTAAAGAAAAAAAAGGAAAATATTATGAATATGTTAAATCTTAAAAAAGGATACAGAGTAACTCCCATTTTATATTTTAAATTTTCTAAGAGAAATTACTAAACATGGTAAACAATTTAAAGGTTATGTTTACAACCCACATTTTTGACATTTAACTACAGGTTTCTATTTTAGTAATTTAGGTTCATATATTTAGATCATAGATGGCAGCAATCACTAAAATTTTGAATCAACTTTAATTTTTTAACATTTTCTTATTATGGATTTTACTATTAATTACCTTTATTTTCAAAAAACAACAGGTGGTTTATATAATATATATTTGTTCAATTAATAAAATGGCACATTAACCTACTTAACTTACTTCTTATAATATGTAGGACTTATAGTATTATGACGACATGCAGGTAAAATTGCACAATTCGTCTGCTCCGGAAGAGCCAGCGCAATAATAGAAAGTATGTAGCAAAGAAAGTGCTCTTTGTTATGTAGTACCTATATTGCACAGGAACACTCAAAACTGCTTTGGGGACTTATCACAACGCCGAACATGATCAAACAACTGAGAATACATATTTTATTTAATAATCTTGTAACCAAAGCTCTTAATCAACATCATGAGCTGGCCAAATAGCTTTTAAATTAGCTAAAGGCCAAAAATTTTGAAGAAGAAGAAAGCTCTTAATCCACAATAACCTTATGATCTGATATATTGAACCCACCCCCCAATAACCCTATAATCTGAACCTCAACATCACAATCTTGGGGTTTAACTAATTAAGTTTTATTACTTCGCCATAAAAGATTGCAATGAATTAAGTTATTAATGCAGAAAAAAATACAAATAAAACATTTAATTGAATTCAATTGATTTACGAAAATAAACGTAAACGTTAAATATACTGTCGGTTGGGTCCTTTTTGTAAAAGGAAGTCCATTGAAAATACCCATTTACAAAATAATGAATGATTTATAAAGTTAAATTACAAAATTATAATTTTATAAATCGATGTGTCAAATAAAACGATAGTTATGTTAATGCAGCAACAAATTTTGTTTTGTGACCCAGTAGAAGATTCTTACTGAATTATAATAATAGGAATAACACTAGGCAACAAATTTTAACTTAAAAAAAAGGTCCTGGTTAAAAATAGAATTTTTCGATTGTTTATAACTGAAATAGATCCAAAATGTTTTTAAAAAAAATTTCTGAAGTCGTAAATAAAAAATGGGGGCACAGTATTTTGGTACCATTTATTGCATAGATACACCATTTGAAAATTTTAAGATGACGATACTTTTAACTTATATTTCAGCATTCCATGAACAACATATCTGTACATATTGTAATAATTGAAGGCATGTTTTTTTGATGTTTTTTATCGTTCAAATTATTTTGTTTACTAATTTTTATCGTTATTATTTAACAATTTTTCTTTGTATCATGGTGCTGCCCGTATCGTCTAAACAAGACTTTGGAAAATTTTTTGGTCGCCGGATTTGCGTCGAGCAGGTCAAAATCTATAGGAGTGTGCTATTTTTATTACCGACCTTTTTTATTTACTAATTTTTATCGTTATTATTTAACAATTTTTCTTTGTATCATGGTGCTGCCCGTATCGTCTAAACGAGACTTTGGAAAATTTTTTGGTCGCCGGATTTGCGTCGAGCAGGTCAAAATCTATAGGAGTGTGCTATTTTTATTACCGACCTTTTTTATTTACTAATTTTTATCGTTATTATTTTACAATTTTTCTTTGTATCATGGTCCTGCCCTTATAGTCTAAATGAGACTTCAGAAAATTTTTTGGGCGCCGGATTTGCGTCGAGCAGGTCAAAATCTATAGGACTGAGCTATTTTTATTACCGACCTTTTTTTATTGTTTACTAGTGTAATTATTATAATTATGTATTAGGTACATATATGATTGTAATCAGAGTCGAAAATTCCCATCCCAAGCAACAATTTAAGTATTTGTTACGTATATGGGACTATTGAAGAAACTTTAAAGTGTTTTGCGACAGTCGCCGGTCTCTTTATATTACTCTTTTATTACTAAGTTACGACTAAAGTGGGGAACAATTATTGAGTCCCAAAAAGGTAGCAAATATGTAACTAGCTATAAACCCTGCTACTATTTGGAACGTAGCTGCTACGTTACTAGAACGTTCCAGTATCGTTGCTAGAGCGTTATAATTACTTTTATTTATTTGTTTTTACTTCTATATTAACTGTCTTTGTCAAACTTATATTAGATTATACTATCCCTCCTTTTTTAAATGGAACCACTACGGACTTGGCTTTTCAATGTCGTCGTTTATTAATACTGGTAGTTTATAACTTCCAGAATAAAAATATAATGTTTAATTAGGCAGGTAAATTTATAAACCCTTTAAATTTTACTGTTGAACTTATGAATTTAGTTTTTGTAAAATAAATGCGCTTCATCAATATTTAAGTATAAACAAATTATTTATTTAATAATGTTTATAAATAAAAAAAAATTAATATTTATTATTAATTTTTTGATTTCATTATTAATACCGTCTATTGCCAACAAAATTACTATTTATTAAAAAGTAAACAACCATTTACAAACAATTAAAATAATTTATTATTTACATTACCACGTGGTACTGTACAGTAAAAAATGGCCGATAAGAAGCATTTTCCTTTGAAGTAGTTTTCGCTACTTTAAAGTTTTTTCCACTTTACGGTTGTTTTGATTAGTACCATAAACGTTCCAAATACTAAAATAATAACTTTTAAGTTATTAACTTTGTAGTTTTTAACTCATGTTCCAGTTTCGAGATTTTAACTTGGAAAGGGACTACAAAGTAAAAATAATTATAATGTAATCTTAAGGTAGCAACCGAAAGTAACTGCTACAAATTAAATTTATTTAAAAGTTTTTTTTACTTATAACACCTTTTTTAAAGTTGCAAAGTCTTCTTGGGGGCAACCAAGTTTTACTTAAATGTTTATTACTTTATAGTAACCATTTAAGGAAAAATTAAGTTACTGTTACAAAATATTGCTATTTAAAACTTAAAATTACTTTTAAGTAAAAATTAAAGTAGCTGTTTAGTATACTTAACTAATTTAAGTTATCACCACTTTGGCAATGGTTTTTGGAACCAAAAATGCTGCTTGGGATTTTTCTTGATACCAGTGTACAGATATTTGAAAATTTTCAGAAAAATTGACTTTTTCATTTTTTTATTACCCTTTGAATAAAATGTAAATGTTGTCTCCGAAAAAATAACCTTTTTTTTCGCCGGCTGCCCGTATCGTCTAAACAAGACTTTGGAAAATTTTTTGGTCGCCGGATTTGCGTCGAGCAGGTCAAAATCTATAGGAGTGTGCTATTTTTATTACCGACCTTTTTTATTTACTAATTTTTATCGTTATTATTTAACAATTTTTCTTTGTATCATGGTGCTGCCCGTATCGTCTAAACGAGACTTTGGAAAATTTTTTGGTCGCCGGATTTGCGTCGAGCAGGTCAAAATCTATAGGAGTGTGCTATTTTTATTACCGACCTTTTTTATTTACTAATTTTTATCGTTATTATTTTACAATTTTTCTTTGTATCATGGTGCTGCCCGTACCGTCTAAACGAGACTTTGGAAAATTTTTTGGTCGCCGGATTTGCATCGAGCAGGTCAAAATCTATAGGAGTGTGCTATTTTTATTAACGACCTTTTTTATTTACTAATTTTTATCGTTATTATTTAACAATTTTTCTTTGTATCATGGTCCTGCCCTTATAGTCTAAATGAGACTTCAGAAAATTTTTTGGGCGCCGGATTTGCGTCGAGCAGGTCAAAATCTATAGGACTGAGCTATTTTTATTACCGACCTTTTTTTATTGTTTACTAGTGTAATTATTATAATTATGTATTAGGTACATATATGATTGTAATCAGAGTCGAAAATTCCCATTTTTCTTGATACCAGTGTACAGATATTTGAAAATTTTCAGAAAAATTGACTTTTTCATTTTTTTTATTACCCTTTGAATAAAATGTAAATGTTGTCTCCGAAAAAATAACCTTTTTTTTCGCCGGCTCAGTTTTTCCGGAAATTTTAAAACCCTATAGTGACTATAGTGACCAAACGTATGGGATTTTGCTGTATTGTCCGGAATTGTGCTGCATTGTCCTAAATTTTACCCGCATTCAGCATGTCCAGCAGAATATACAGCATTTGCTTAAAGTACTTAGATGATGCATACTTAAAAATAATATTAAATTTTAATTTTTTGAATTTCCTATAACTCCAGGCTTAATCCGACACTTGAGAACCAATTTTGGTTAAATTTAACAGGAGTTAAAAATTCCCCCCTTTTCTCAAAAAGTTTTTTGTCTGCGGGCTTTTCACCCTTTTCGGCTCATTTCGACTGCCCCACCTTCCGCTGTGTACAGCATTCATGGTTTTAAAATCTGGTCACCCCAAATTAAAGTACCCCTGGGATAAAAAATAAAGTGTACCAAAATGTTGAGGGCCATCTTCAAAGGGGCGAAGCTACCTTATACCCAAGCAGGGGCGTCCTGGCTGAATCAATGCAGGCCTGGACTAGATGATAGAGCAGTCCAGGCCCAAGCCAATTTCATATAAATTGTAAATATACATCACAATTAAATACCTCGACTGATAAAACGTGCCGTGATTAACTCTCTTCGCAACAAAGAACTGTATTCAGCTTGTTCAATTATTAAGTCACAATCTAAACCATTTTGCACCTTTCTTGAGATCTCCACAGCAATCATCATAAAAGCTTCCAAAATTACGTCACTTCACACTAATATTAAAGGAAAGTATCACAAATAAATCAAGACAAGAACTGCGAGAGGGGGCTTTTTTGAATGCTTTTGTAATTATGTTATCTATAAATCCGAGCTGATCCCCCCTTCCGATAATTTATAAATTTACTAAAATTGCATTTTATTGAAGTGGCCCCGGATCAGTTTGGATTTTCAAAGATACGGAAAAATAATTACGAAAGCATCCAAAATATCCCCATGGTTTAGGGTTTCCACCTGCGACTTCTTGGTTAAGGGTTAGCATAAAAAATACGTGTTTTAGATTTTTTTACGGGAGTCAATTAAAACTTT